TGTTATTTGGCAAAACACTTACATCCAAATAACGCATCCCACTTTTTGTCAGCCAAACATGTTATTTGGGTTCAAATAACACAAAATCTATTATTTGACCCCAAATAACACCCCAAATACTCAATCCAAACGACCCCTATAAAAATTTTCTCACACACAAATTAGAACCCTAAACAACAAAAAGAGGAAATCATAGCTTCTCCTAAACAAGTGAAAGCACACCACTGTATAAACTATGAGGGAGAGAGTAGGAAAAGGGAAAGGTAAGAAGTAGACAAAAGGTGAAGTGATTCACATGGGTTTGCATGTGATGTGAATGTACACTTACATCTTCTTGTCTACCATGTGAAATGCCCTATCCTATTCCTATGGATCCACTTCTCCTCTTAAGTTTTTAACCCTTTCTTTCTTCCCCATTTACCTCTGGCACCAGCTAAGCAAAGCAACCCACCAACTGGATGGAGACGACGACGACGATTCTTTTCTTTCATTTCCCCTTTACTTTTCAATAATGATAATAAGAAAAGGAGAACGTCTCTTCATCCATTGTTTCCCCTTTGCTCCACATCACATATTTCTTAGTTCTTTGGTGAAAGATTCTATTTAGTGAACAAAAAGAAAAGCATCAATAATGTATATATAATCATCTTATGGAAAGGTTTACACTACAATGCATGTTTGTGTTTGTGGGGGGTTGCATATACATCACACATTCTCAAAGGAGCACAAACACACACACACAACAAGGAGAATTTTCGAGGCTTTTCCGCAGATTTTCTGTTTCTCTCTTTAATACGCCTATGGATGGAGAGCAAAATATTTCAAAAAAATAAAACCTATAAGAAAATCATTGGTTTGCCCATGCTTGCAAATATTTCTTTCTTGTACAATATACTTTTTTTTTATGCAAACCGAATTATATTATTTTGGATGTGGATCATTCTATAGATAACAACACACGTTTAGTAGTGTGTTCAGTGCCAGAAAATACTTGACTTGTAAATGAAAAGTAAATTGAGATGCGTACGAAAAACAAAATATTTCGTAGTGATTAGAGTCCAATTGATCTGATAAATTCTTATAATAACATGAACTCACTCTAGATCTCATAAAATTCATCATACCTACATGTCCAACTATTAAGAGAAGCATTAAAAGTTGGAAGATGAGGAAGACAAACTGAAACTTTGTTGGACTTCCAATCGAAGTTACAAGTTACGTTACTTCAAATAAAAAAACCAACACCAGTCTTTTCTTCCTTCTTCCATCACTTCAAAATAGAATCATATTACATGCTGTATGCCACAACATTACCGTACCAAACAAAAACAACAACAACCGAAAAAAACCCTACAAAGTCACTAATTTGTACGAAATTATATAAAGTCAGTTTCGGCACCAAATTGCAAATTATGATTCCCCCTCTTTAATCTCATTGCCTTTGTACGTTTTATATTTTGGTTCACTTTTACGCCAATCATATAGCTAGATATATTTGAAGGGCAGAAGAATGCGCCACTTACATTAAATATCAAAAGTCATTACAATCATTACTAACCTTCCATTAGTGATGATTATGGTCTTCGAATAGGGTTAAATTGAAGGCCAAGGCCCCCTAATTATAATCATACATGCTTCCTTCCTTCCTTCTTTGCCTTCTATAATTCCTTTTGTCTACATGGTGATCATTAATAATAACACCAAAAAGTTCCGGGCCACCGATTAACACCCACACTTCAATTATAAGCTCTTCTCCAATAATTCACTTTGGTATCCACGAAAATTAAGAGTAAGTCTCTCAATCAATTAATTAACCTTTTTCAAATTCTTTTATATTATCCAAACCTATCGAAATACTAAGAATTATCCAAATGTTGACTTTCAATCGGCAATTTTGTTAGTTATATTGACTTGGCAATATGATACTGACTTGGAAGATATACATGAAGGTCAACATTCCAAAATTTTAGTATTTAACTAAGAAAAAAGTTATAAAATTATTAACGATAACGTAAAAAAGGCTAATATTTTGAAACATTACGAAAGATTTGGCTAATAAATAGCATTTTAATAGGTTTGAATAATATAAAAGAATCTGAAAAAAGGTTTGGATAAAAAATAGACATTACCCATTAATTAATTATCAACAACATGAATTATGACTAAAAGAAGAGTGATTAAGAAGCAATATTATGGCCTCCATGTTCTTAAGATCCCAAAAAAACATGCATTAATTCACGATCAATTATCTTTCTACATTTTCACACTTCGTTGTGCTGTACTGTCACAGGCAGATGCAGCACAATGTTGAATCATTAGAACATGAGAGCACGTGCATGTGTGTGTAGTAACAATAAAAACCAGAGAAAACGATCCCGAGGAGCAAGCTGGAGTGCATTAATTACGATGCCTAGCTAGCTTAGCTACTTAATCATGGTAAGCGCCGGGGATTAATTAATTAATTAATTAATAACCACTTTCAAAAAAGATAACAATAACCAATTATCAAATATGTGGCGTTCATTATAATGATAAAAGAGTAGTACTAAAGCTTGGTACTTGTTGTTGCTGCATGATGATGAAGAAGAACAAGGGATACCAACACTCCAATTGAGGACCAAATGGACATGATTTTTGCTGTTGTGTCTTGTGTGCAAGTAAAAGGCCTGTTTGGTCTCTGATATATCGTTAACGGCTTATTATACCTATAACCCAAAAAGAAATGACTATAAGAGAAATGCCTAAAAGCCACCAAAGCAACCCTTTCTTTATAGTGGAAAAGGGGATTATGTAAGTAATTGGATTCGTAAAATGGGCAGGAGCCCCTCTAAAATTTGAGAGCCACTAAAATGAATTTTGGAGCAAAAGGAGTGGAGGCGCCCATGTGACCACAAGGAACAAATTTTGTAAGGTTAAAGTTTGAATGTATATTTCACTTTCCCCACAAACCCTATGTGTATAATTCAACCCCAAAAGATATTCATAAAAGTAGGGTTGTAAGTCTAGTGACGAGTAGCAGACCATAACATTGAAGCGGGTTCGGACAGTTTTTTTAATTATAAGGTCAGTTTAGATTGAGTTATCTTTTGATCTTGTATAGATTTAGTATATGGCCGGGTCAACTTAAAGTCCCTCTTCACTCACAGAAAGAGAGAAAAAAGGATATGCTCCTGAGTTCGAATCTTGGTAACAATGTTGACCCCCTTTGTAGCACCTCCCGAGCAGATGGAGGCCTTGCTTTGCTTGCAGCGAGACTAGGGCCGTTTCGGGGCCGCGCCTGTCAGACATCGTAGCTTGCCTCCATGAGCTCATCTTCTTGAACGTCTAGACCGCTTGTTATGACCTAACAGGCCAAGGGACTAACTTGCATGTGGTGCAAGGTTGTCAACCCGCGAGTTGACCCGGACCCGATCGAGTTAGTGGATCAAGGGTTAATGGGTCAACCGTTGTGGTGTCATTAAAAGTGATGTTCACATGTAAGGATTCCTCATAAAAAAAAGGTTAGAAGGGAGGTGAGTGAGGGAGGGGGAAATCGTCTCTCACGTCGACTTCTTTGATTTTCTATCTCTTTCTCCCACATCTTTATTTGCACTTGTATTATGTCATCGTATATGTCCTCTTCAATTCTATCTCAAATCTGAATTGATGTGAAAACTGCCAAAGGAAAAAAGGAAGATTGTTTGGATAACAGGATAAGACTCCTTCCTGCCCTCCAACCCCATTTTCTGTGGATATGGTAATTGGTAACTCTTTCAAGGTCACCTAGAAAGACGTAATATAATTCTCATATGTGTTAAGTAACACTTCATTTTATTTGAAGTGAGAGAAAAAAAAATTCCACCAAAATGACAAGTCGTAATAATTGGCGAGTGTCAGATTCTTAAAATTGACGAGCCATATGCTTATATGGTAAAATAATCGTACAAAATTTCTTAATTTATCAGCATCGCACACCCTAACTATATATTCGTACTATTTTTATAAATCACATTACGTTCTAAATATCTCAAAATCTACAGAAGCCCTAGCATGTATATTTCTTCTATTGGTTAAAAATAAATTAAACATCTTCTAATTTTAGTAATTAAGACAATAAAGACATTATTTTTTCTGTCTTAGACTTGGAGTCATTCAGGAAAATAAACAAAAACTGGAACTGGATATTTTATTATTTTGAACTTAAAAAGAAGAGCAACAACAGAAAAGGGTACAAACAATTTAGCTTATGTCATTATCGATTGCTTTGTTTACCTTTTATTTTCTTCCTTTTACTGATTATGAGGATGAGAGAAAGAAAGAAACTGCAGTTAAATGCGGCGTCACTTCTGTTATTTTGTTACAAACAACAATTGAATTATTGGGATCGAGTTTTTTTTTTTTACAATAAAAAAACTTATTTGTATAGGAAGTGGGGTTTTTGTTTTTTTGGTTTGTAATAATGCTGAGTTGACGCAATGATGGGAGCTCTCAAACAGCGGTTTTCTGGCGGCAACTGGAAAGCGTAGTATGTTGTTTCAGCGTGCCGCCGATTTTCTTTTCTCTCTTCTTCTCAGTGTGCTTTGCCTTGGCTTACGACAGAAAGAAGGAATTCTCTACCACACACCACATTGGGATCTTCTTTTCCTAATGCCACCAACCATCACTTGCAATTCACATGATCGGTAGAATTCGATGAGTTGATGTAAATCCCAAAAAGGAAAGAAACACCCTTGTTGCTTCCATCACCATTTTAACCACTTGTCTAATAGACGACGAGGATGTGGGGAATTTGGTTGACCGGAATAATCGAGAACGGGTACCGTTGATGATATGAAATAATAATTTTGGATTCGATGGGAAGCTGTATTCCATATGGGGAGGGTAACCTGTAAGAGGAAGGAGTCGAAGGTGATGAACAAAAATGAGGCCTCGGAAATTGAAGAAATGAAAACGAAAATGGCAATAACGACCTTCGTGTAGATCACATACTCAATGGCGTGTCTGATTTCCTATTCGAAATTTATGATGTTTTAGATTTATTTGAATTTTTTTTGTGGTTTATGTTCAACCTTATAGACATAAGTGTATATTACGGTAAATTGCATGGTTGGTCACTGAGATTACAAAAGACCTTCAAGTTTGGTCACTCAAAATATTTAAATCATTGGTGGTACTTCAGTTTACTGAAACCGTTCACGTTTGGTCGCTCTCCGTCCAACTCCGTTAACTTTTGCTTACATGGCGCTCAACTATAAAAAGGCTGAGTTTCGAGTTTGGGATGTGACAAGGTCCCAGGTTCGAATCCCAGTACCACCTTCTTGGTGTTCTCGGAGGCACCCTTGGTATAGGAGATGAAGTCTCTTAGGTAATGGTAGCATAACGCCGGGCACTGCGTCGGGACAAATTCCTTGATGGTTAGTATGCAGGTACCCCCAGGTTTAGTAGGCCCCGCTGTCACTCATGTGGCAAGTGGGTTGCTGATGTTCCTGGGTTATCAAATAAAAAATCAAAAAGAGTTGGTCTTTTGAATTATATGTTAATATATATATATATATATATATAAATGTAGATTAGTATTTAATAGAGAGAGAGAGCCAATCAAATACCATAACAAGTGATAAACATCTAGTCACGGTTAATACCGTCTTAAAAGAAGCCATCGCGTCTTTAAAAGTTTTTTTTTTTCTTCTCACGGATGTGTGCTCCAAAATTTGACAATAGGCACGATTTTTTTCACGAACTTTACAAGTGGACACAGAGATATATATTACAGTAATTTTTCGCGACTAAAACTATTAAACACGTGAAACGCACTTTCAAACACGAATTTTTCCGTGATTAAAGAATCTCTTTCCTATACTGTCAGTTTTACTCATAAACGGAATAAACATAAGCACCTATTCATAATTTTCAAACTTAAAATTCACAAGCATACAATAACAGTGTGTGTTTGACATACAATGTAACATTGCCATCATTTTTTTTTTCCATCCTTTTGACTTGCATCGTCCACAATTTTTTTTATTGTGGAACCATATCCAACAGGTTGGTGGAGGTAAATAGGTAAAAATCGTTCAATGGTATAACTAAATTGACCATGTGGAGGACGATGATGATGATAATGATGAATACATTCTTTGTCGCAGTAAAAAAAAAAAAAAAAAAGAGAAAGAGAATGAAGAAGAAGAAGATTCCCTTCTTGCATTTACAATTACAACAATGGACGAAGGAAAGGGACCCACAGAAAGAAGGGTGGCGATGATAGATGAAGGAATTGACACCCCTAAAAAATGAGCGGCATACTCTGTTTCTCTTCTGCATCTGCATGTGGTGATTATCATACTCTACTTCTCGAGCAGTAATAATTTCTGACATAAAAAAATGAAGACGAAGAAGAAGCCGTATTTATCCTTGACAGCAGTATTGTAATCCTGTGTATATAAATCATCCATAACCAACCATACAAATTCCTTTTTCTTACCATCTCCATTTTGCCCTCTTTTTTCTCCCTTATTTATCAGAGTACTACGTGCCCTCTTTTTCATTTTTCTGGGACCTCAACTCTTTTCTTCTTTCCTCTCAATTCTCCGCCCTCTCCCTCTCAACTTCTCTTATTTATCTGGGAAAATAAATAAATAAATTACAACAACAACAAAAAAAAAAGAAACCAAAAAGATTTGATCAAAACATAAAATTCAAAAAACCCCAAACGCCAAAAAGCTATATGTGCTCTTCTCTCTCTCTTTTCTCGACGACCAGCGCGCTCTTTCAGTCATCACCAATTTCTCGCCTGCCGATTTCCTCCCTTCCTCCACCGCCCAGCCTGCCGCGATTCGCGGCAGAGTCCGGCGGAGTCACTGCTTTCCATTGATCAATGACAATGTCTTCTCTTACTTGCTTCTTTTTAATCCTCAGCCGCCGGGATTCATTGAATGCGGCTTGTTCGAGACGAATTCGTACTCGCCTGTCACGTCATCCTCCTCCTCCTCGTCATCATAATCATCTTCCTCCTCCTCGTCACCGTGATCCTCGCTCTCCGCTTCCTCCATCACTGTATCCTTCTGCCGCTGCTGCTGCGGAGGAGGAGGCACCGGAGGAGGAAGCGCCTGAGGCGGCCACTGCTGCTCCGGCTGAACCATTAGAGGCACCGAATTGAATTGATCGCCGCCGGCGGCGACGGACGAGGAGCCACCGCCTTCCAGATTCTGCTTCTCCCTGTACAATGCGTCCAGCTGGTGGAAGTACGGACAGGTCTTTGAATCCTCGGGCCGCTTCTTGTTGCTCTCCTTCACTTTCTTGAAGTACTTGTTGATGTTCTCCCACTTCTCCTTACACCGCTTCGGGTTCCGGTTGTAGCCCAGTCTCTTCATCCCGGCCGAGATCTCCTCCCACAGTGGGCCTTTAGGCCCATTCTCCTGATACTTGGAGTCCAGGTTCCTCCTCAGCGAGATCAGCGCTTCCACTTCCATCTTCGGCCACCGCGACGAGCTCGCCGGCAGGAAGTGCTGATCCACATTGTCCGCTCTTACCATCTCCTTTTGGTTTTGACCTTGACTTTGACTTTGACTAACCGGATGTTTTAATTGAGGTTGCTGTACGGGCGCCGGAGTCGCCGCTGCTGCTGGTGGGGCTGATTGTACTTGATTCGGCGTTGATTGCGGTGGTGGCTGCGGCAGAGCTGCTGCTGCTACTACTACAGACGGCCTCGGTGGTGGTTGTTGCGGAGGAGGTTGGTGCGACGGTGGTGGAGCGATTTGGACGGCTTGATTGGGGAGGTGGAGTGGTGGAGCGCCGGGGTTCTGCTGTTCGGAGAGCTTCTGGAGGAACGACATCACGGCGGCATCTTTGGCGGCGGCGATGGATCGCTCCTGAGCAAGGATCTCGCGCTCCCGATTTATCCGGGCCATTTCTTGCATTCGCCACGACTCCTCACGCGCCATTCGTTCGTGCTCGCGCTTCTCGATGGCTTCTAGAAACTTCCGCTGCATCTCTTCCTGCTTGTGGACCACTTCCGTCGTCAGCCGCTCGAAGAAGTCCTTCCACTTCCGCTTCCGCTTGTGCCGGCCGCCGCGGTGGAGCTCCACGTCGGATGATGTCGAGGACGAAGAGGAGGGCGAATTCGACATTAGATCTGTTGAAAAGGTGGAGAAAGAAGGAGGATAGAGAGGCTGGATCGTCGGTTGTGGAGCCGGCGGATAGGAAGGAGCGGCGATCGTAATTGCTGGCGCGGCCGACCGCGGAGGAACAGTTGTCGATGGAACAGTAGTACTGGTTGGAATGTGATCATGAGCCATGGTGACGAAGGCGACGGGCTGAACCTGTGGTGGATTGAAGGCTGGCATTGTTGTCGCCGCCGGCTGCGACGGTTGCGGATGCGGCGGAGGAGCAGTGGGAGTGGCTCCGGCGGGAGGCTGGGATTCGAAGGCGGCTAATTGCTCGAAGAAGCGATAGTTTTTGCCTTCTTGTTTGCTCGTACGGACATCCTTGGTGCGCTTGTGGTACTTGTACACATTCTCAAACTTCTCTTTGCATTTCTTGGCGCTTCGATGATATCCAAGCTCGGCCAACTTCCTGGTAATCATAATTAAAATCCCACCGTAATAAACACTTAATTACACACTTAGCAGTCTCAAATTATTGTTATTATTACAAGATTACAAACAAAAATTCAACTAAACTAAACTACTAAATATTATTAATCTAATCACGAATTCAGCCGTAAAACAAGCACCGCTGCCTACTGACAGCTGAGGTCATCAGCTCCACTTTCACAACTGACATGAAATACGCATGATTAAAGAATAAGAACAATTCGGGTAAATGCGAATTGGATGAACATGGAAATGGAAAATGGGGAGTTCCGTTGGGGATTTAATCATTTTTTAATGAACGCCACTAATCATATGATTACCTCCCACCCTAAGTGCATGCTTAGAAGTTAGACCCAGATTAATGAACCAAATCTGAGACGAAAAGAAAAGTAGAATCTTAAGAAACTAAGAGATCTAATTTATGTGACTTCTAGGCAACATTAACGTGATTTGCTAGTAATCACAAAACATAGCTAAAAGGGGCGAAAATCTTATTCGTCCCATTATTGAAACCAATTCCATACGAAGAAGAAGAAGAAGAAGCAGAAGGAAGAAGATGATGATTTCACCCATTCAATAATATTTCCAATTAGAAAGAAACGAAAGTAGGATTGAAGTGGACATGGAAGGAAAAAGTGGAGGAGATTTTTGGTCTGGAAACAAAATTAGCCAGAAACGGAATGAAAGGAGAACAGATCTCCTTTGGGGAAGCTACCAAGTTTTACCAAAACTGAAGAACCGTGAACAAGAAAGAAGAAGATGAAGATATGACAGCAGATTGAAATTCAATTTCAATTTCAATTTGAACTCATGAAAATGGTGGATTAGCGGAAAAAATTGATTGCTGCTAGGCGCTAGCTAAGGTTACCTACCTGGAGACTTCATCCCAGAGAGGCCCCTTCACACTGGCATCGCGGAACGTGGCGTCCATATCCGTTCGAATTTTGAGCAGCGCCACCGTCTCCTGCCGCGGCCATCGGTTCCCGCCGAAGCTCCCGCTCCCACCGCCGCCGAGCCTATCTTCCTCGCCGCCGGAACTCGAACCGACATGCCCCGCTCCACCACCGCCTCCTCCAGCATCGGAAGTACTGATTCCTTCTTGAAATAGTCCGCCGCCGCCAATTGCGGCGGGATTCGGATTGCGATGTGATTGATGCTGCTGCTGGTGGAGGTTGTGCTGGTGTTGTTGTTGGTGGTGATGAGTATTAGTGGCGGAACCGCCACCGCCACCGCCAGGATTAACGGAGGAGGAAACAGTAGCGGTGTCTCCTAGCATTGAAGGAGAGACGGAGACGGAGCACTCGCCTTTTCCCCCAGCCTGTAATTTTGAAGTAAATTGAAGAAATTGAGAAGGAGAAGAAAGGAGGAAGAGATGAAAATGGAAAATGGGGAAAAAAAAAAAGTGGTCCAGGAAAAGAAAAGAGAGAGGGTGAAATTCGGGTGGGGAAGAGTTTATATGAACAGAGAAAGAAATGGGAGATGAATATATATATTTGTTTATTTCTTCCCTTACTAATATATATATTTGTTTTTTGGTCTGTGCCTAGTTTTATTTTGTTGTAATAATTTAATTCGATGGGATCTGCTTGTCGATCTCAAGAAGTTTGTTTTCCTTTTCTTTTACATTTTGCTTATTTTTTTTATTGGGATAAAATGTTACTTGCATTTAGGTACTTACTTATTTATTTGTTTAATTTTATTTATCAATATTTTTTTTTCCTCTACCGCTTGTTTCTTACTTTTATCTCTCTTATGAGTTATGATAGCTGCGGTGGAATCTTTTACATTTCTCTATTTTCAGAGTTTAGATTTTACGGTATATTGTGACCAAAATGCATGATATTTTTGTAAGATAAATACAATCTTTAGAAACTATGTATTGGGACAGTAACGGTAACGAGAAATATAAAAAATATATATTTGACTCAATTTGTCAAATTAATCAGATCCAAAGAAGTATACATACAATTTTCGTCAAAAAAATACATTTATTTATTGGTCAAAATGTTACAATCAATTATGTAAAATGTAAAAAAAAAACTAACACTAGAGTAACAAGAAAGCGGTTAAAAAAAAATCCACCATCTCAATAGACTATAACACATCAACCAAATCTCATATCGACAAAATACGAGAGAAATCAATAATTTATAAGTAAAAACACGTTATTGTAAGAACTTCAAATTAAACGTACACACTGTACAATAATGCAAGGATGAGTGACCTCTCGAGATCGAAATTGTATGTGTAATCCAAAATAGAATCGTAAAATGATATAAATGGTAAATATACTAAGTAAATAGGTAAACTTAGTAATTATGAGTATATGAACACAAATTATACCGAATAATGAACTTTCATATATTTTATTTTTCCCTGGGGTAGGATGAGCAGGGTCGAGTGGTTAAAAAAAAGAGGGGAAGTGGGTTTTCTCCCCGGCAATAATAAAGGTGGGAATGGGATGGCAGGCACAGAAAGATATATACACTCATAAATTTAAATAATAATAATATATCGACGGGAAAAAAGAAAAATAAAAACCGAAAAAAGAAGCAATTACAGGGAGGCTAACAGTTATTATTACAGGGAATTCATCAACAGCTGCACAAAGGGACGACGGTGATAATTAGTCGGTTTTTGTCTGTCCAGCTAAATTTAGTTAAAAGCCGGCCCCATTCTAGGTCAGCTTTTTTTCCTTTTCTCCCCCCTTTCTTTTCCCCACTTTTCTTTTCCGAATTAATTACTCATGAACTACGTGTAAAAAAAAAAAATTACAGCGGGGAAGGGTAGTAATTTTAAGCTGAATTTTCAGGATTTTACATGGTTTCAAGATAGTGTTACAAGTCGGTTTAAAAAAAGCAATTTAAAAAATGAGGCAGTTGAGTGAATTGTCTTATTTTATAAAATGAGATATTTATAATGAAACAACTGAAATTATATATTACTGATGAAATAAAATTACTTCAAATGCAACAATTTAAAATCAACACGTTTAAATCATCTGATTTTGTAAAAACGACTTAGTAAGATTCTTCTATGCATAGCTAGCTCGAAATTGTTTAGGGGGTGTAACTCTATGATGCTTTATTATTACGTTCTCTGCTTCAATGAGATGTATATTTTGTTCAATGTCTTTACCATCGATGCATGAGCTAATTTATGCTTGTATAATCAATTCTCATTCATTCGATGCTTTAGTTATTGATTGCTTTAATTAGTTTTTCTGTGGGAGTAACTTCGTCCAAAAGTCAAAGGAATTTGAGTTCAAGTCTGATAAGGTCGATTGTGGTCAATTTTAGGAGGAAAAAAGACAAGAAAACCACCCTTTTGTAACTAATATGAATAGAGCAACATGCCTAGACTTTAAAAACACATTCTTCTTAGCACTCTGTCCCAATAGGCACGAGTAGCAATCTGTAGAAGAGGAGGAGAAGCTCTGCTGGAGCTCGACTAGGAAGAATTCATCATCGATGCAGTATCAATGGTAATTTCGTTCCTTTCTCCTTTGTATTGCTAGTCAATTTGTTTAGGGATGTAAATTCTATGGGGATTGTGTATTACTTTTTATGAGTTAATAAGATGCTCATTTCCTTCTATGCTTTGCTTCATCAATGCTTATTGCTTTATGGAATGCATGCTTTAATCATCTATTTTATGTGATCATCGATACTCTTTATCATATGAACTTTTGATTGATCTATGCGTGTGACTTTATTATGATTTTATTATAGATTGTTTATACTACTATTATGGGAAACAAGGAAACTAATCTCGTGTAGTAGACATCCTTCTTAGGCGTGTATAGCAGGATTAGCTACCCTTATATGCATGACTGAGGATGATGTTTGATTCTTAGATCATTAATTCTATATACTAGAGTTATGGTTCGTAGAAACCCACAATTAACGATATGATATCATAGACTCCATGTTCTTCCTTGATTAGGTGATGGAATGAAGTGAAAGCATGCATTAGTTAGTCAAATCTCTATCACAAGAAGCACATGCATGGGTAGAGAGTGGCCTTAGAGAAAGTAATAGGGCATCATAGTAGATTATGCATAGATGCATCTTATTAGAGATTGTATGCATGACCATCTAGAAGAAGCTACCTAAACACGTTCTTGATTTTTCTTGCATTAGTAGTGTAGTACACGAGTAGAGGGCACCTGAACCCAACTAATTTACTTTTCTTTACATTGCATCATCAAACTCAATTGGTTAGATTTGAGTAGTTACTATTGAAAGACCCTGTGGAATACAACCCTAGACACCTCTAAAACCTATCTCTTGAATACTACATCAAGTTTTTGGCGTTGTTGACGAAATTTTTTTAAAGTAATTGAAAGAAGCTAGCCTCTTGTATTTGATTTTCATTTCATAAAAGATAAAATATTATGCTATAATTGGTTTAGTTTTGCAGGAATCGCACTCGAGGAAGCCAACAAGCCATCCAAGGATGTGAAACCAAAAAGAAAGAAGAAAGACAGGCCAAGGAGGATCGAATGATGAAGCAAGAAACCATATTGTGTGGGGTGATGATAACATAGATAAAGAAAACCTAAAGATAGTAAGGGAAGCATATAGAGACTACGTAACTGTAGAGGAATGGGAGAAAGCTCATGATTTCCTCCAATTAAGACGCCAGATCAAATCAAGACCTCCTAGGTGTATCGATGCTAGCATACAATAAGAAGGGTTCAAGCAATTGCTAGAAGATGTTCAAATCATCAAGGAGACTCCCGAACCGATCAAAGAAGTTTCAATGAAGTGTGTGAAGGTTTTGAAGAAATCAAGGTACAAAAAGGCCTTATGGAGCATAAACATTTCGTGAAACATGAAGATAAGGAGGATCATAGCAATGCCAACACCTATAATGAGGAAGAAGATTAAGAGAACGTGGACCATGGAGAGGAGGATCAAAATGAGGCCGATAGAGAAGAAGATGAGTTTATAAATATATATTTCCCCTATCAACATGCTCGATATGAAAATCAAGTTTCATTGTCCTACAGATGAGGTTCCCCAATGCAAAGGAACTTCCCTATGATAGAAATGAACTATGGAAGCTGCATCCATGCCTGATGCCACCACCGATCTATGTGATTGATTACAGGCACGAAATGACGGCGACACTTGATGGACGATATAGTGGTCTAGTATCATTCATGGACCTCCTGATAATGCACGTAGTCTTAATCATTAATGAAAGTCGTTGGGAAAAGCTTTCCGCATTGGTTGCCTAATCGCAAGTTGGTTGTCCGCAGCAGAGAAAGTAGATAAGCAAGTGGTAGAAGCTTGGGTTTCAACGCTCAAAAGCAGGCTGTTTTCCAGTACTTGAAGAACCCCCAGCTAGGTGTTTGAAGTAGCTGTTCTGTTGCTCTAGTCTTCGGGTTTGGGCCCTCTCTTTTTCTTTTCCATTCTCCTCTGGAGTGTGTTTCTTTTCAGTCCTTTTCGATGGCTTCCCCTACGCCTATTTTCCTCTTGTTTCTAGTTGGGCTCTGCCCTGCTGCCTTTTGTAACTCTTTCAGTTCTTATTAATATATATCATCCTTAACAAAAAAAAAAAGTCTCTTAATTTAGGTCTATGATGTCTATGGTACCCATAGACTGCCACTTCCATCTGACTTGGGAGCAGAGGTAGGAATACAAAACTGATCTCCCTAGAAGCCTGACCGTAAGTGTCTTATTCTAGGATGTGACATAGTCGATATAAAAGTTTGTGTCAAATTTTCTACCAGAAAAGAAAAAAAATGTCTCAACAAACTTTTTCCATTTACAACCGTTGAAATAGTTCTTATGTAAATAATGAAGCAGTATGTTTTATATGTAAAATTGAGTAATAATTTAACTATATAAGAATCAATGTATTATGGCTTAAGAAACTCACACTTAACTATATGCTATACTAACTTCCTTGTTTTTCATTAATTAGGTAATGGCACTCAGACCTAGATAGTTGGTTCAATTGAAGGATCTCGAGCTTGGCAGCATGGCCACAAAAGAATTCTACTCCAAGTTCATTCCACAACAACAATAGATATCCTTACGACAATGGAGCAACATGACAGTTGATACTTCAACCTCGTCTAGAAATTCAAGAAGCTTGTCAACCAAGAATGAAAGGTAAAAATTTCATGATAATTGAGATAAGATATCATTTGTTAATCCTTTATGATCCGAGTCTTTATTTTTCGACCGTGTAGGACTCTATGGGTATTGTCCAATCTTGCTTAATTTAAGTATCATGTAGGAGCGTACTTTTAGCGTCCCTTTTTTTTACCCAAAAGAAAAGAAGAATACGATAGATGGGTGGTATGATTTTTTTCAATTCTCACAAAATATGGATATTAAACACAAATCTCAATTTCAAAATTATTTTTAGGTAATAAAACACGTAATTTTTAAACTAATTGATGCATTTATGCAATTTGGACCCAAATTCCTCATCCAAACGGTCAATTAAATACTAGTACCTGATCTCATTGCATATCACTCATATATGATTGATTCAGATGTTAACTAATTGTGGTTGACTTGGAATTAAGCTGTTTAGTGATTCGACCTTACTTGTAAAAACTACTTTGAGGAAAGGACTGAGATGTTCAATTCTTTTACAAAATGTATGTATCAAAGGCACTCCACTGCAAGAGAAAAGTGGAAGAATTTTCTTTTTGATTTGGGTGGTAGATTTATTTCTTCAATAAAAGTTCAAATACTCATTACATGTACAAATAATTTGAGAGAGATTCCTTTCAATGGTGGAGCAGCCCTGCGAAAATTCAATGAACCTTTTTTACAAAAAAGAAACTATATTTTTTTTTTACGTCACAAAAAAGAAACTAAGTGCTGTAATATTACTAAGCGAATAAAACAAAGAAAATCCTAAACCACTAAGAAGAGGGTCGTTTGACTCGTTTGGCAGCAGAAATTTTGAATGAAGCAATTTGGCTCGGGGATTCTGAATTGTCTTATTTTGAGACAATTACAATTATCTGGGGTGGGGGCAGGTAATTCAAATTGAATTTTTTTAAATGACTCATTTTGTAAAACGAAACAATTGGCTGAATTATCTAGTTTTGCAATTGATTCATTCTAACAACCTAAGTGATAAGAAAACAGGCTTAGCACAGTAGGTTTCTGGATCTTATTTATTATTTTGGAAAATTGACCTTAATACCAATAAATTATAAATGTATAAGGTTTTTTATAATAAATGTATAAGGTTGAATCATTGATTCTCATAATATATTTAAATCGAGTTACATATACACCAGAATCATGCATAGAAATATATATATTGAGGTTAGTCGGTTACGCTAATAAACTAATTGATTATGAGTTAGCGGTGCGACTATTGACAGATTAAAATAATTTTGGGTTTAATCGATAATCGATTAACCGCTTAATGATTAACCGACAACTTACTGAATAGAAATATAAACATTAAAATTGGATTGAGAAGATTAGATGAATTATATTGGAAAAAGGATAGCAAAGATTGTATCCCAATTTTTTTCATCAGTAATTTTCCTCACCTAGTTCCCTCTCATCACTCTTCTCCTTCATCACTTTGCTTTATTCTCTCGGTCCTAATAGGAACAATATAAGGCAAACCCAAATCAATGATAAAATATATAAAAAAGAACTCATACTCAGAAAAAAATCAACACAAATACACAATTGATAAAAAAGAGGGAGACAATGAAAAATGGGATATAGAGACAATGAAAATGTGTCTCTAATCTCTATAGAATTCTCATTTGTCTCTGTATTATTCTAGATACAGATACAACATTTGTTTTCAATTGGAAATCTCATTTTAATTTCTCGTAATTGCTATAACTAACTGGTACCAATTCCATATAATTCAAAATTTAGAATTGAAAACGAATTCTTTTAAATACCAAACACAAAAATGTTTCATTTCAAAATAAATTTCTCAAAAACTATGAAATTCATTTATACCAAATCGTAGGTTAAATATCAATTTGGTAGCACAGCAAACGGTGAGAGAAAAACCTTTTGCTTTGTTACATATACAAAAGTTGCCACCGAACTTGTGGTGGGTTCAAATGAAACCTTATCCAGTCCATGAAGATATCTCTATAGTGTTCTGTCAAAGATAAAGACAGGTTTCTGCCTTTTAAATTTTGCCTACTATGGCGCCATGATAGTTACAGGAGCTTCCTGAAATCTCAAAGAACACATGCACTGCTCTCTCTCTCTCTCTCTGCAACTTCACAACAGAAACAGTCCAGATCACAAGTGTATATGTATACTATATATAAATGTAGTATAATCATGAGAGACCATCCATGACCATTAAAATACTACTGGGCTCTCTTCAGATACCTAACTTTTCATGGGCACTTTGCAATAATGTACCCCATCCCATACTCCCAAAGCCTTAGGGTTGCTAAAATAACATACTTAGTGGTATGTTTGTTCTTCCTCAGGGAAATAAGTTGGCAACTTGCAACCCATCAAGATAACTTGTATCTTAAAATGGTTTTTTTTTTTCCATTTGTATTTGTGGCATATCCTAAAGAATCTTAATTTAAGGGATTGTTTGATGCACAATCTCAACCGAATCTGAACCCACAGTCACCCAATTTGATCCAATCGGGTCGAAGCGAATAAAACCCATTATTATGATCTAATGCCACAATTTAGACATAAAAACATGGTGGACAAAAACGACAAACGTAACTATACGAACCATACTACCCACACAAATCATAAAAACTATACCAACAATAGAAACGATACATAATGAATTTACAAACAATACAAACGATAGGAAATGGGAAAACAACCTGATTGACTTTGGAGGCTCAGTTTCTAATAGAGGAGTTATGTTCCAAAGTCAACCAGATTGTTTTTTTTTTAAGTCTTATAAACATTGCAAACAGAGTAGACAAAGCTTACAAACATCCCAAACATGAGAAACAAAAATGACAAAGCTTATAAACAATACAAAAGAAATCAATAAACATTACAAAGCCGTTGAAGAGAGGAAAAAATTCGAACATGCCCACTTTATATTTTTATTATTTTAATTCATAAATAAAATAATCATGCAATTACCATCTTATCATTCATTAAATGAGACTAATTTGAGTCATTAGATCATAATTTAAATAGAGGGTCGAGATTGACTTTGTCAAGTAACTAAAATCCTCCTAATCACATCCCCCTAATCACCTATTCCTATCCCCCTTTTTTGGATTTTTCCACGTATTTACGATACTAGAGTTTCCTTCTAGTTCTTGACATGATATACGCCATCATTAATTAGCAAATGAAGAATTAGCCAACCTATCATTAATGTAACAGTTTCTAACAAAATCATTTTATTTTGATTAATTTGAAATTATTTGAATTTTTTTAACATATTATAACTTTTTCACGATATAAATTCCGAGACATTCATATAATTAACAATATTCTAATACCCAACTTGCACATACAACCTCTTTGGCAAAAAAAAAAAAAAAAAAAAACTTGCACATACAACCAGACAACTCAGACATACAACAGCTATGCAATGGCCACCAAAATGGTTATGGAAGGGTGATTTATTTTTTATAAAAGCAACCATAGTGCAAAATGGGAACAATGTATGGTGGCACTCCCAAATATTATCACCAGTGAATATATTATCCAAAGTTTTTCAAACTTGGGCTGTCAAATGATAATGATGAGTTGTTTGATGGATGAGATATGAAGAAAGAAATATATAATAAAATAGCAGCAAATAATCAAATCCATGATGGGTCTCTCAGCTAGCTCAAGAGAAATGAAAGTCAACTACCATCATATTTGACAAAACCAAAAGGATAATAAAAACATAAAAACAAGTGGAAGCCAAGCCCTATTTATGTGAAACATTTTTTTTTTTAACAAGGAAAATTACAGAGAGGAAGTGTAAAAATCGTGAAACTTTTTTCAAAAAATATTGTCCGCTTTAGGTCTATATTCTCATCGATTTTGTGTTGAAGTGTATATCAAGATAACTTCTTATAAGGTCACGCATTCTTGCAGTGCTTCATCGTGAGCATGTTTAGGGAATGTTTAACTTTGAATTCTTACAAAAACTCTTCCATTTGTCTCCAAAAATGCATCTTGTCAATTAAGAGCAGTGTATTTATAAATCACACATTTATCTCGTACTTTGTCGATGTTAAATCATTCTAGGCTGTTACATGCATTGCACCCGGTTGGGACTAAAAAATGAGAACTCAATGGAGAAAAAAAAACTCAAAAGAGAGGGAGGGAATTGATTGAAACTAACTCAAAGAAGAAGATTCTTATTAGCTGCACACATGTGATGGTTTGGCATGTTAGAGAAGGGGAATAGGCAGAGAGGGCCCTCCTTATTGAAATTCCAGATAATTCATAATCAAAGCTCTCACATTACAATGTCGCGCCACCACCAATTCTAATATACAAAGATTTTATTTATATAAAAAAGGCATGTATCCAGGTCATATACCAAACATAGCCTTACTATAATTAATGTGTTAGGATATCATTAAATATGTTAAAGTGTATGGTTAAGTATAATTAAAGAATTCATAGAGACGTTGTGTAGTAAATGTTGGCTTGTTGGCAAGGGGGTAAATAGCTCTAATTTTTACGAGAGTGAAAGGGGGTAATAAATGTAGAGACCATCGAAAGGACAAAATTGTAATTTGCGAAAGAGCTAAATGTTTGTATTTATTCGAGTTATTTTTTCTATTAGTATATAGATTAGACATGAGTTCTCCCGAGTTGGGAGAGGGTAGCCACCAGTAATTTGTAATCTCAATTAAATAAAGAAATATCAACTCCTCAATCGTCAAATTTGGGGGTCAATATCCAAATCTGTACTATATATCAACCAACGAAAATTCATTTTGTTTCAAATGTTCCATTCATACTCACGAATGACAACTATATTTCGTGCAGTGGGTCTGATGCCTGATGGAAGCTAGCCAGTCTTGCATATCAAGAATATAAGATGGTGTTGAGAGAGTTGTGCATCGCGGAAATCAAGGGTGCATGTCTTGTGTTTACCGAAGACTTCCTGATCATCGTTTCGAGTTTATTTTAAATGATTACTGAAGAGAACACATTGGTTCCCACCTTCCAACCCCAAACCATACATTTTTAGAAACACAAAGTGAAAAGAAATATGATTGAGGTGAGATCATCCTCCCAAAACGGCCACACACAAAGAACAAAAAACCAAACACACCAAACAGTTCATTACATCCCCCCACAAACCCATACTGAAAAAAGAAAGAAAAGGATAGACAGACAGATACATCACTGCAAATTCTCCCTTTTTATTTCTTCCACTTTTCTTCTTTTCCGCCTCATCTCCTCTCTCTATATATGGACACAAACTTTAAATACAACAAACAACTCTGTATAATAATAATTATAAAAAAAAAGAACCCTCCTCTCTCTCACTATCCTTTATGCAACAAACAATTCGCAAAAAAATAAAATAAAAACAATTAAATAGAAAAAGCAACAGAAAAATAAATAAAAAATTTTGTTTATGATCCCACTGTAGAATGCAGCCCAAAAACCAACCCCATCTTCCTTTTCCTTCTCTCCGCCCTGTCCCATGTGTATGGGCATAATTGAAGTCACACACATTTGTAGTGCCACCACCAACAACCCCTCACGTTTGCTTAATCATAGTTTAACTCAATCGCTCCGTCCTTCGAAACTACAACAATACCGTTACAGTGACGGTATCGTTGTAGTTTCACACGATAAAAATCGAGTCATATAGTATTTTCACCAACGGATTGAATTTTTTACTATTTTCTCAAAATTCACTCACTGCTCGTTCGCGGCTATGGGTCTATTCTGTACAACTTGGAATCCACCTCCATTATCGCCGCCGCGAACCCCGACTCCTTCTTCATCGTCCTCCGTCTCCAAATCCTCGTAATCCTCCTCCTCCTCCTCGTCATCCTCCTCACCTTCTTCTTGTTCTTCATCGTGGTGGGCGTTAAGCTGTTGCGACATAACCGGATGAGCCTGCCATTGCTGCTGAGTCTGAGCCATGCCTGCCGCCGGCTCCACCGCCCTCAACGGATTCGCCGCGATGCAGCCATCCGTGGGCGGAGGCGACGAGGACATTATTACTGTTCCAATCTTGGCCGTCGTGGTGGTGGTGCTGATGCTCTTCTCCCTGTACAGCGCGTCCAGCTGCTCGAAGTAGGGGCAGGTCTTGGAATTCTCCGGCCGCCTCTTGTTGCTCTCCTTCACCTTCTTGAAGTACTTGTTGATGTTCTCCCACTTCTCCTTGCACCGCTTCGCGCTCCGATTGTACCCGATCTTCCTCATCTCCGTCGATATCTCCTCCCACAGCGGGCCCTTCGGCCCGTTCTCCTGGTACTTCTCGTCCAGCCTCGTCCTCAGCGCGATCAGCGCGTTGATCTCCACCTTCGGCCACCTCGACGCGCTCGCCGCCGCGCCGTTGGTGCTGCTCTCTCTCCTGACCGCAACAACCGGCGCCATTGCCTGCTGCTGCGCCGTCGGAGCAGGCTGCGGCGTCGCGTGAGCTGTTATCGGTGCCGCAGCCAGCGGCGGAGGAGGAGGCAATGAGAGATGAGGAATTTGTTGTCCGGACATCTTCTGGAGGAAGGCGAGCAGGGCGGCGTCTTTCGCGGCGGCGGTGGAGCGCTCCTGGACGAGGACCTCGTGCTCGCGGTTGATCCTCGCCAGCTCCTGGACGCGCCACGCGTCCTCCCGGGTCAGGCGCTCGCGGTCGAGCTTCTCGACGGTTTCCAGAAACTTCCTCTGGAGCTCCTCTTGCTTCCTTATCACGTCTCTGGTCAGCTTCTCGAAGAAGTCGTTCCACTTTCTCTTCCTCTTCCGGGTGGTAGTTGTCGTCCCCGCGGCGGCAGCCGGGTCCTCGTCGGAGGCGGTGGAGGAGGAGGTGGAGCTGGAGAAGAGATGCGCAGTGGCGGTGGCGGCCTGGTTGTTGTGGTGCTGGCGGTGGTGGTGGTGGTAGGAAGGGTGGAAGACGCTTTGCGGGCTGGGATTCAACGGCTGGGATGAGGAGATCGGCTCGGCTGGCGTGACAGCTGTAGGGCTGAGATTGCTCGGAGGGGTGATGGTGAAGTTGAATGAAGTAAGGGGAGTAGTAGTACTGTTGCCGTGCGCTGATGGAACAGTGGGCATTATTTGATGAGGAATTGTGTTGTGGTTTGGCAATGCCGGAGTAATTAATGCCGGCGCCGGCTTCGGCGGTAGAGGAGGAGGAGGAGCGGCCACGGTGGCGGGGGCGGGGGATTGGAGCTGTTGCTTGCCTTCGAAAGCTTCCAATTCTTCGAAGAAGCGGTAAGTCTTGCCGTCGTGCTTGGCGGTGCGGCCATCTTTGGTGCGCTTGTGGTACTTGTACACGTTCTCGAACTTCTCTTTGCATTTCTTGGCGCTTCGATGGTATCCAAGCTCCGCAAGCTTCCTGCTCTTCCAACAATTTTGAAACAGATTAAATTACTGTACACATCACAGTCCCGCAACTTTATTAAATTGTGCTGGTTTGCTTTCTTTCCCCCCTAACCAAATTTGGAGGCGGTTCTAAAAGAGCAAAAAATGGCTTGCAGCCAAAAGGCAAATTTGAATGCAAAAGAGAAAAAAGCAAACAAAAAAACGGATGGGGATTTAATTGGCTTAAATCAGTGGAGCGAGGAAGAAGAAGAAGCAGCTGAGAGAAAGAAGGAAATTCTGATTTCCCAGGAAATGATTGCAAGAGATCTTCCTCTCTTTCTGTACTAGCTAGCTACTACTGTTTCTTACTTCCAACTTCCCACTTCATTCATTATTATTGTATTCATTCATGGCGAGATCCCAGAAAAAAGGGGGGGAGAAGGACAGAAGAGAGAGAAAGCGAGATTGGGTGGTGGATCTAGAGAGAGAAATTGATTGGAGGAGCTTCAATTTATGAAATTGTACCTGGAAACTTGCTCCCACAATGGAGCTTTAGGAGTGGAGTCACGGAAAACCGAATCCATCTCCGACCTTATCCTCAGCAGCGCTATTGTTTCCGGCCGGGGCCACCGGTTTCCGCCGTAACTACCGCCGCCGCTGCCTCCTCCTCCGCCGCCGTCTCCTTCTTCTCCTCTGTTGCTGCTCCTCTCGTCAATCTCGCCTGAATTCGAATTGCCGTTTTCGCGGCCGGCTGCTGCTGCTGCTTCTTCAGCAGCTCCGAGTTGGGGTGGCGGAGGAGCTGCTGATGATGCTGCCATGGCGATGTCCCCGCCAGAGGAATTAATCTCCTTCTTCCCCCTTCCCTACCAGAGCGTACTGCAAATTCCCTCCCCACAAGGTGGGACAAGAGGAATCGGAGTGAAAAAAGGAGGTGGCCGAAATGGGAAATGGGAATTTTGGGGGGGAAGAAGAAATGATTAGTGAGAGAAAGAAGAGAGAGAGAGAGGGAGGAGAAGACGAAGAAGAAGGGGGTGAATTCTTGTGATGGGAGGTTTTATGAAGGAGTGGGGAAGAGATGGATGGTTTGTGTTGTGGTGTGCGCTGGTTAATCGTTTTTTTTTTTCATTTCTTCATTTCTTTTTCTTTTGGAGCTTGTGTGGTGAGATCTGATCTGCCTGTCAAATAGGCAACTAATTTAATTTTCATAGTTGAAATTAAGTTTATTTCTTCTTCTGAAAGTAATTAGTGCTGTGGAATCTTTCACTTGATGATCTTCTGTAATTGTGCTTCTTTAATTCCTTTTATTTTTTAAGCATATTTTAATAGAAGAGTGAGTTGTTTTAATCACTTAATTTATGGGAATGAATATACACCAACACAAAAAGTGGGGGGTCATTGGGAAGGAAGCTTTGCTTTGCACGCAAATGTTTCACAAAAATTATATGAAAGAATGAAAGAAGAAGCACAGACATAAAACATGTTATAAGCTAACTTGTTCTAAAGCGTGTCATTGTTAAGTTCCTTATCCGTATGCTAGCTTAGTTCGGATCATTTCGAGTCTTGCTGTTGTGCTTCAGATAGTTGGATCGAGTGTGCGAGAGATTCGTGATCGATGCATGGATGGCGGTAATAATTTATACAAAATTTTCAAATTTTTTTTATTAATCTCATTAATCCCATAAATTTTGATCATAGAAAATACTTTATTCAAAGTGCTCTCCACATGCTAAATATTTTATTGGGATGAAGCCTATACATATAGTTGAAATGCTATTACAGTTAACACGATCGAGGACAAAATGAGAAGGGAAGCCTGCGGGCAGGCACCAAACTCTAAAAAGAACACGTATAGAGAGAGATGTGAGCATTGCAAGGCAGAACTATTCAATAAATTGGAAATAGTAAAAACATAATAATTGTCGAACAATATTTGATCCTTTCAATTGCCGTATAAAAACAAACAGAACAGTTAAAATATGGAAAAGAAGAAGCAGAGAGCAGTAAAACTGGGGAGTAGAGTGAAAAAGAAGGTGAGCAAGGAGAGGGGTTAGACGCTGATGGATTGCTGGCCGGTTTAAATTAATAAAATATTGAATTAGGAGATATACGGATTAATTATTTTGTTAAATGTTCAAATTAAAATTATTGCATTGTGTAAAATGAATTTTTTTAATTATTTTTTACTGTGCAAAACCAAAATTTTGTTACCATTTAGGCTAATTGCCCTAAAAAAAATGGATAAGGTATAATTAACGGGGAAGGGTCGGATGAGTGAATTAAATGATAAGAAGAAGAGAAGAGGCGCCTGTGGGCCCCAGTCACGTTCATAGTGTTGTTGGGCTTTTTTTTTTGGACTCCAGAGTCCAGTCCAGGTTGGAATAATCAAGCTCCTTTGCTTTTTACATCCTCCAACTTTTACTATAGAACCCTCCCAACTCCCAACAATAAGAATCTGAACAGAGCACACTCATTCTCCCGCTTATTCTATTGCTCCCAGGTGATTTTATTATTACATAATTTTCCTACTATCAAACTCGAACCGTCCGATTATGTACATGTATATTTTTTTTTTGATAAATTATCATTATTTTTTTCAATGTATTTTATATTTATTATAAAATGTTTAATATGTATATGAAATTGTGTTGTTTTAACTAGTTTCTTCATTCTAGTGATCTATTGTCGCTCTTTTTCACTTAGGTAAAAACAATGATTGAATGTTAAGACAATGATTGGAGTTATAAAAGAAATACCTGTGGATAAACCATAGATACCGGAAACCTTATCAAGTATGAGCCTGATTTTGATTTTTTACCCAAATTATTTTGGATATGATAATGAATATGCACAATCCGCCTTGATCGATAAGTTCTCATCCCTACCGTTTATGTACAAAACTTTAATATTATATCATAAATTAACCGATCCCAATAACTCCAGTTATTGAATAGGGCTCATATACCACTTCATTTCAAATAAAATACAAAATACAACCTACTCTATCCTTTAATATTCAAGCTTTTTCTACGGACAACTACTCACCCATATGAGAAACAAGGGATGGGATTAGGTGCTAACCCTTATAGGGGTTAGCACCGTGATAACTAGAAAAAAACGCTACTAAAAATAACGAAATCGCTACAATATCTAAGCTAAATCACTACTAATTCAAACTAGTAGTAGTTTTTCCTTGATTAGGACGGTGCTAACTCTTGTACAATTAGCACCGTAACTCCTCCCGAGAAACAACCATGAATCATGTCCAGCCATGTTAAAATAGTTCGCATGGGAACTCGGAATTAAATAACACCTCCAGCCATGTTAAAGAAGTTCGCCTGAATTAAAATAACTTCACCTCCATACACTCTTTCCTTTAATTAGGTTAGAGTTGATGATTCTTAATTACATTAACATATTGTTTAATTAGGGCAAGTTGGAGCGTTCGCTTCTTTTTAATTCCTCCACCTTCTTACCTCGAGTTGTATTATAAATTTAATTATATTACTTTGTAAAAGGAATTGCTATTGATTTACATATTTTGGTTGGTTGTTTATCGGTTTATTATGTTTTAAAAAGAATTGCACAATGATTAGGTAGTTAGTTTTATCATAGTAGGCATCAAAAGGATACAAGGTAGTATGCACGAAATGAAATAATCAACTAGGATGGTCGAGAACTAATCAACTCGTCTAAGAAAGAGCGTTTATATGACTAAATGGACAACTCTGAATGCCGTAACAAAAGGGACTATAAATCCACAAAAGGATATAAAAATGCCTTAATCCAATACATTTGCACATCTATAGAGATTTAATGAATTAAGCATAATGTCATATAAGCTGGGTAATTTGGTCATTTTGTATGCAAACCCTGTTTATAGATTTGTATTGGTATTTCGATTTATTTAATTTACTCAATCAGAGTGATGACTTATTTTCAGTTGTGAACTTAGAAGCATTTTTTCCCCCCAACCAAATGGGATTGCAAAACCATGGAACTCGTGGAGCCACATTGAACAAAATGTGGGATCACAAATAATCCAAATTGTGGTTGGGTAATTGATGTGGCTGGATCGACAATAAAAAAATTGTCCTTACCTTTTCAGGTGGGTGTGTTGCGGGTCACATAGATGATTCGCATTTCATTCACATGGCAAAGAATTGTTTCCTTTTTATACTATAAAATAATTTTCATATTTACACACCGAACCACGCCACACATTGATAATTGACTTCTAAAGACAAAAAAAAAAAATTGTTCAACTACTACTATTGGTTACTATATTGTGTAATGTTCATTTGATTTTGGGATGTAAATTATAAGTTGTTAATTGTATCAAGGTCATAAAGAGTCACTTTTTTCTACACAATTGGTTGATGGATGGAGTAATGAAATATTTGATACCTCTTTGAAAGAATTGAAATACACATGTAAAAAGCATCTCTAGGAATATGCAGTTAGTGACTTTGTTTTCTTTGTCAGTGAATATTTTATTTAAAGTGGCCAACTGAAAAGCTGATATGAGTAATAAAATTAAAAACTTTACATCTCTCAGGCGGATTCACAGGAGACAAAGTGAGAAGTGTCTAATTGATTATAAATATTAATTAGTCAAATTGCCTAATATAGAAAGAGAATTTATTTGCGAGTAAACCCACAACTCAACCGCATCCACACACCACCCACCCAATCCCCGAAGAAAAATGTGGGTAAATAACGGACCACAATTGATGAATCAACTCGTTAATTTATTAACGAATAAGTCAATTTTAGATAGAAAACCATCCAAATTTACCCATTACCCACCCTTACTTATTATTAGTGGTGAGTTAGGCCAAGTCATTTATGGATGGGAAATAAGTAGTAACCAATTTAGTTAGGGTTGTCACCTACCATAAGAAATAAGGATACTGAATTTTTTTTATAAATTTATTTGGTTGCCATTCATTCATTCCTGAAAGCGATGATCTTATACAAGTAAATAATTCTGTCCACGACTTTATTTTTGCCAAAGAATTTCCCACTTCAATGGGTGTTCTCTTTCTGTAGTATAATTTTGGGAACCTAGCTGGGGACCAAGGTAATGGTAGTTGCCAGAGTTGTTAGATGTTAATTTCTGAGTTATCTGTCAAGAACATGTCTTGTACCCCTTCTTAAAATTCCTCTCTTCACAAGAATTAATTGATTTCAGTACCAATAATTAAAATTGTTGGGACAAATTCAATTGGTTTCTTAATAATGCTACCCATAATTATAAGAAATTTTTTGGGCAATCCATCTCATAACAAGTCAAGCCAATTGGCTCGGACTATGAGTTGAGGCAGGTCACCCAAAACGAAAGATAGAAGTTCTAACAATCAGATACTGAACTATTTCGGGGAACTAAACACGATACTCCCACTCCTATCCACCCAGACAAATACTCTCTTGTATAATTCGAGAATGAAGAAGGTACAAAGATTTGAACCCTCTTACAAACCCTAAAATCACTATAACTTGGTTGTAGACTGTTAAGTTCTTCATACGAGGATTGGGGGTACAAATACCGAAAGGGAATAGATCCATTATTTGTGGGTGATTCGTTGTGGTAGGATGTCTGTTGAGAAGCGCAAGAGCGTAGGCTTCGATGGAGCTTCGAGAATGGCGATATGTTTTTTGTGGTTCTTGAGAGGATGAAGAAGACGATTGAAGATTCATATTATTTTGAAGTCGATGATGGTTCAACGTCAACTAAGGCCAAAACGATGTTGAATATATCTTTATTGTAGGAGTGATGTATATGTAGCTGGAGCGACATTATTATGGAGGCTTTAAACGGTCTTCTGAAAGGTATTAAACGACACGATTTTGCTAGCTCCAAGTACTGCAACATGAAAGAAAATGAAGCTGCACATATTATGACCCATACAAATTGTCATTGGAAAGGGGCTGAGGTGTGGCTGACTGGGACACCATTTTTCTTGTTTTCACAACTATACGTTGACTGTAAAGATATTGTTACTGGTTAACTGAATATTCACAAAGTTCTATAAGAAAATCCATTTGATGATTGTTCATATGCATGTTACATTAAGAAATAAGAGCATAATTTTTTTTGGAAAACTTTTCTACTACATTTAATATTTTAAATTGAAGCTGGAGTGTACAAGACAAGAACACAACCCCATTTCTAGAATGTTTGAGGTTTCACTCCAAAAAAAAAAAAAAACACTCCATATATCTAAGTACGGCCGCCCCTGGTTTTGGCACTTTGAAGGTGACAAAAATATAAATACTGATAATGAAAAGCACGTAAGAATAATATTTGATTAATTGGTAAATTATAGTATGGCATATACGTACAAATGTACAGCTTTTACCTTCATATTCGTTGTTCAAAAGACAGATTGTTATTATAAAAAAAAAAAAAAGACAGATTATTATAACATAGATACGTACAATCTGTACCCGGCCATAAGTGCAATGTTTTTAACTCTCTTTTGAAACTGTGTAACGTTGATTTCAATAGTCATAACTAGGCAGATTACAAGTTGATCTCTATCATATAGTTAATTCTGTTAAGAAGAGAAATGCATATATGATCTATGTATTTGCTTTCAGGAATAGAAAATTTCAGACGGCATTCTCGAGTGCCGGCTAGATTAAATCATAGTAAATCTGGCCTTCTATTGTAAGTTCTTTTTGGAGCATTGGATTTGCTTGCCTGGATGGCAATGATTCAATCAACCGATCGTCTTATAATCCCTGGCATGTCAACGCATTTAAGAGCGTCTTACTTTGACTAATCACATCTTACGACAATTATCGTGTCTAGCTATGCGTAGTAGCTACATAGTAAATTGAGTTTGAGGCCGATATGATACTATATACTCTAACATCAAATGAATAAACCCCATTTCCCAATTCTCAAAACTCAAATCATATGTTCTATTTAGGCAGACTTGTGGTTCAAGGAGAAGTGTTATACACTGTGCTGTTCCAATATTGTTGGCACATATTCTAAAAGCGGATATGGTGTGAATTCACTTTGATTTGAGAGTGAATTAAACCTAGCCTTGTTATGTGGTTTTACTAGGGTTTTGTAACTTCTCTTTTTGCAGAAAAGAAAAAGAAGAATCAAGATAACTTGTGTGATGAAATTTTCTGTCTTTAATCATCTGTATGTATGTCAGCAGTGATTCTGGCGAAGAAGGGGAAAGAAGAAATGAAAACAATATTTTAGAAGTGAGCAATTTTATATGTTTTTATTTTTAAGCATAAGTTCATGCGAACGGGCTAAAATTCAAAACGGAAAAGTTTAAACAGATTACAACCGGATTTGAAAAAACCAAATCAAACAGGCCCCAACAAACCGGATCCAGAATTCAATAGGGCCCAGCCCCAAAACCCAAACAACAACATCCCGCCAACAAACCCTAGTAGGAATTATTAGTCCTTCCTCCAACATATCAGTTGAACAAAAGATATCAAATGCAAAAAAAAAGCCGTATTTGCGAAATCGTATTGCATCGATACTCGCATCGGAGTCTAAATCGTTAGACAATTTATAACGGTATGAAACGACCGAACCACTACTAAATCACCGTTTCAATACAAAATATCACACCACTAACATTTTCGAAAGAAAATCGTACCCATAACTTGGAGGTTCTGCTGTAAACTTCTTAAGTATATTATCATATATGCGCATAAAGTAGCTTGAAAAAAAAAAAAACAAAGTCACAGACAACTGTAGCTTTGATGAATGCCTTCATTGGCGGCCGTAGGTATTATCTGGTGGTGGTGGAGATTCTAAGTTGAGGGAGAAAGTTAAGTTGGAGACAAGGCAAAGTTGCTTAACATGGAAGGCATGTGGATGCATCATCATACACATGTAAGCACTCTTTTTCTGCCTACAATCTTTTTTTTTCTTTTTCCAAAAGGGGAACAAGAACAACAGTTATACCCACTAGATAAAAGAAATACATTAAAAGTGAATATATATTACTATCAGTTAATATGGGATGTTTAATTTGGTTAATTAGGCGTCATTGCTGTTCTTTTTCTTCCTTCCCATTATCCCTAATCACCTGTATACTTTTGAATGGAGTTTGGTTTAATTATGTGTCGCAACTAATTATTTGAATGCATAATAGAAAATTCAATTTAAGGAGATTTCTTTTTCCATTATTTGAATTATCAGGGCAATAAACAAATTATGTAAGGTCAATTTTTGCGAGTTGTCTTTCAATATTAAGCTCAGAGCCTTTGTAGTAGCTTCATCGATGATATCACATACCAAATAAAAGAGCTGATAAAAAAATCTATCTAGCTCTCTTGTAAATATTTCTGCTACAGAAAAGAGGCTGTGAAATTATAAGAATTGCTCATGGCACCAAAAAAAAAAAAAAAAGAAAGACTTGCTCAATTGTTCGTGCTATTGGAATAATGGTAACCTCCAATATCAATACTTAATTAACGTATATACATGTATGATCGATCTACATAATTTCTAAATTCAATGAATTTCGTTTGAGAACACATGTAAATGAATTATGTTTTGTGATTCTGAAAATTAGGGTTGTCAATAGGGTACGGTTTTCGGGTTAACTATAACTGAATTGTAACTGAGTGGTTAGTAATTTTTTGGAACATTGCATAAGAGGGTCCTTTAATGAGTGCAGTTACTGATATGACCTATTTTGCAATTACACCGTTAATCGTTAACCACCACGTCAAATAAGGAAAAATCCGTTTAAACTACTGCTAATTGTTGGTGCGTCAAATGTCGAGAGACTTAGAGTTTGATTGAAAATATCACTTATCAACAGGTGAACTTCGTGTTCGTGGTGGTTGTTGTGTCTTTGCAATGGACTTTGTACATCAAACAAGTTTCACCACAGAGGCAGTCCAACTAGGCCCAGAGCAATAAGCCGGTGTAAGTCTTACAGGCTTTTCTTCCAGCCGAGCGAGATCGGGCATCTTCCTCAATTTCCCATTTCTCTTGTTCGAGCCCAAATTTCTCGGCCCAGTGGATTGCCCATCCACTCTATTATTACCCTGTCTTCTTTAGTTTAGGAGAAGCTTATGTGACGACTGAGGTGGATACAAGGCCCCGATTCAGCAGCTCGCCTCCTCCATTCTGAGTTGTCCTTCAGCTCCAATTTGGAGGCCCAATATTACTCCTACGCTGCCACGCTGGTGCGCCTTGCTAGTAGTAGCTAGTAGGGGTGAATATACGGTCCGGTCCGGTTAAATTGGTCCGAATTGATCTGGTTATGGTCCGGTCTTTTCGAGGATATAAGGACCAAAAATTGGATTGGATACAGTCCGGTCTAGATCCGGTTCGGTCCCAATTCGGTCTTGATTTTAGATTTGAGCTTGTGGCGATTTGAGTCGCCTGAGGGGGGGATTTGAGTGGTCTAAGGTCTGAAAGGGTTAGGAGCAATGTTGTCAGCCGAACCGGAGCATGACCCGGTAATGAGAATGGCTCGCACTTTAGCGGTCCAACCAGCATTAGACCGTTTAAAAACCGTTAGAGAACCGGTATCTAATAAACGTTATCAGTATAAATAGTGGACATTTCTTAATCAGAGCTCATCTCTTTCCTTCGAAATTGTGAAATGGAAATAAGGATTCAATTTGAGAGCCAGCTCATCTCTTTCCTTCGAAATTGTGAAATGGAAATAAGGATTCAATTTGAGAGCCCGACGTTTTTGGTTTATTTCAATTTTCAAATTTCTACAATTTTTTTAATTAAATTTAGTGATCGAATGGCAAAAACCGGACGAGCGGCTCGATCGGCTCGAACGGTTAACCGCCTCGGCCGCTCGCCAACCGCTACATAAAACCGGAGCGGCTTTTAGACTGTTCCGAGCCGGTTTTGTGACCGGGTGGCGGTTTTACCGGTCGGGCCGAGCGGCTCGGCTCGGCTTTAATAACACTGGTTAGGAGGTTAAATTTGAGTGTTGGGCTCTCTTATCCGGTTTTTGGTATGGTCCCAAACGGGTTTTTTTACCTCAAATATAGGCCCGAAGATTTGATTGGATTGTTTGATATCCGGTCCAGTTTCGGATAAAACCAAAAAACCTGAATCAAATAGCCAGCCCTACTTGCTAGGCGTGAATCCATGGTACGACCGTTTCCATCGTTAATAACTGAGGTAATTTCCCCCCTTCACTGTTCCGGCTTGAGTTCTCATATGAAAAAATGATTGTGAAACTATACCGGAAGTTATACCGAAAAACTAACCAGTGCTAAAACCGCTCATCTAACTTACCAAATCAAAATTATGACAGTCAATTGGAGAGCTAGCTACAGATCCTAAGCAGCTGATTAAAGAATCGAGATCCACTTATCCACTCCAAAGAAACAGCACTCTCAAATCTCAATCTACAGATTTTATTTGGTCTCCCAATATATTTCAACATACACAAACGAACGTGCTTAATGAGAGTTCAACAGGTCCATCATCCAAACTCCAAAGAGGATAAGAGATTATTGCAAACTCAGAATATTGCGAAGTGGACATGGCTGTAGTTATTGACCGTTAATTAGAGGTGAACAGTTTAGCATTACCAGCACATGCTACAAACCATTAATTCCTTCTGATGTTGAGACGACAGCACCTTATAATATGATCATTTGGGTTTGCACATAATTAAGTTATAGTTAGCTAGGTTAGGTCTATCAACTCTTATATATGGAATGGGATGATGTAATAGTAAGTTACTGCAAATGAAAAGTTGTTATCCCATAGTCCCCGTAACATATTATTATGTACCAGGTTAATTGTTATATACTCTCGGTGTATGCTAGTTTTTGCCATTTATAATTGTAACTTCTCGATCAAAAGATTCTGATATCATTTCATAAACTGATTAATTTTTAAAAACTCAATTTGTTGATAGAGAGGCAAACTAGTATACATCATTCGGTCTAAATATCATATACCAAACAGGACTGCACAATTTGGTTCGAGCTATAGATCGTTAAGAATGGTCTGGTCTGATCCATGCTAAATATTTATATAGCATTTTGGTGTATTCTCCTTTCTTTCCTTTTGGTGTGTTCTTCTAGTGGACTGCCCCTTTTATTTGTTTCTTTCTGAAGCGGCAAAGGGATTGCCTCTGCCTTTAGGGTAAGAGGCGATCATAAGATCTATGGACCTACCCCTTCCGGATCTCCAACCAGTCGGCCCCGACATTGACCGATGCCGAATTGGTGTAGGAGACAGAAGCTCATTTGATTTCTTGGTCTATTTTGGTCCAAGCCGCGGTTTATCTGACCAAACCATCGACTCCAGGCCACTTCCTGATGATTCTGTTAACAACGCAGTCCACCACTTTCTCAACTCCACAATGTGTATAGCAGCCTCCACCATGTTTATTCCTCAATTGAAAAAAAAAAAAACGTTTTTCATGTTTCAATTCTTCCGCAAGAGTATTGCATAGTGCTCAAGTAGTTCAACGAGGACAACGGCAGACCATTGTTCCTTGTACGGAAAATTATGGAGTTGGACTTCTTGTTGTGCAAATTCTAGGGGTGGAAATTTAGGGAACAATTTATACGGGTGGAAATGGAGTAGGCCATTTTCTGCTGTCAGTTGTCACTACTAAATCATTTTTCTGCCTTAACTGGTTATGTAAAATCAAAAGGCAGCCCTACACAAAAAAACAACTTTGTCACTTCGAAAAAAAGAAATTTCACGTCACTTTGTCTTTTGGCAGACATATACCACAGTTATATAATAAGAATGTTTATTCATCATACAAACTGAACTTGTACGTCTAATTTTATGGTAAAAAATAGAAATGCAGTTATACTTGTACATTTTTTGTACAAATCCCTTTGAGGTACAAACTGAAATTCTACCTTTAAGGTTAAGGTACAAATTCCGTTTGTACATATATCTTTATGTGAAATTTCCTTATGTTCTAAACTGAACTTGTTCTTTTCACGTTATAGTGCAAGTCCAGTCGTACTTTTATATTTTTGTACAAATTTCTGTATGATTCGATTGAACTTTCACCTTTAACATTATGATCAAATTCAATTTGTACATATACTTTTTCATAAAAAATTCTTTATGTTACAAACTAAACTTGTACCTTTAACATTATAGTACAAGTTCAGTTTGTACCTATATATTTTCTTACAAATTTCTTTATATTTCGAATAAAACGTATACTCTATAGTTCAAATTTCTTATATTTGAAGGCACCAATACTTTAAATCTTAACAAATTCCTTCACAGATGCTACCAGATTTTTTTTTTTTTTTTGTATGGATACCAGAATTAGATTGTGTCATACAACAACCAATACCGCATGATTGAACATACCACATGATTGAATACAATGATTATAAAACTAATAATAAATATTCATTTAAATTTATTCTCTCTACCATTGTTGAAGGTTGGAAAACTCTAAATTTCTTTCCATTAAGGCTACAAAACTAAAAATCATGCATTGTAAAACCGTAACAAAAGTTGTACATAAAAAAATTAGCGTTAAAATATTTTTATATTGAAATCGTTGTTCAACAATTTCATGCTACTTAAAATCACCAACCTATTTAGACCTATAATATAAACAAATTCTTATCAAACCGTCGGTACCGTATGATTTTCACAAACAATACTACAAACACAAGATTGGTGTGCCGATAAATGGGCTCTTGTCTTCAACCACTAGTGGGTCAAGACTCAAGATAGGGTGCATAACCATGGGTTATGCACCCATCAATAACCAAATCTGGACCTTTCATTAAGAAAATCCAGATCTAAGATTGGTGTGCCGATAAATGGGCTCTTGTCTTCAACCACTAGTGGGTCAAGACTCAAGATAGGGTGCATAACCATGAGTTATGCACCCATCAATAACCAAATCTGGACCTTTCATTAAGAAAATCCAGATCTAAGGATGGAGAATTAAAGACAATTTTTATTTTTCCTAGTTTTTTTAATCGGCTCATATCTTTTTCGTTTTAACTCGAATTTTAATTTTTTTTGCACAGATGGAATGAGTTCATCTTGCTCTACAAAATGAGATCAATTTTCAATATTTTTTTAGAAAAAAAAAATTCTGGCCTCTCGATACCAACTGCATACCATATGGTATTTTCTTCGTTTTTAATTCGTTTTTGAAAACGTTTGCACAGAAGGGACGAGTTCATCATGATCTATTGGATCTACAAATTTATGGGTGAACAAATTACATGACCAAAAAATACCATACAATACCACCCTGGTACGGGGTGGTATATTATGGTATATTATGGTATTTTCTTCGTTTTTAATTATTTTTTGAAAACGTTTGCACATAAGGGACGAGTTCATCATGATCTATTGGATCTACAAATTTCTGGGTGAACAAATTACATGACAAAAAAATACCACACAATACCACCCTGGTACCGGGTGGTATATTATGGTACACAATGATAAAAGTCGTAAATGACAGTTAATATACTTCTACTATCATGTATTCAACCATCCTACAGTCTTGGTTTGTTCATACCACCATGGTACGCTTTTCAAACCATAGGTATGTTCTTATTTCAATACCAGTCAATAGGGATGGCAATGGGTCGGGTTGGGGCGGGTTTTGTCAAACCCGAACCCAAACCCATGGGTTTATCCGTCAAAAAAACCCGGGGTAAAACCCGTTGGGTTTGAAAAACTCAAACCCAACCCAACCCGCTGGGTATCCGCGGGTTCATGGGTACCCATGGGTTTTTGTGGTAAAAATTTTACAATAATAAGTTTCTTTCAAAACAAAAGTTTAACATAAATTTTCTCATACAAATTATTCATACAAAAAACACCAATCTAGAGCATACAAACAAACCGCAAATGATCATTACAAATTGTTCAAAATTAAAGATAAACATCTATAAAGAATAAGATTAATTGAAAGCTTCTTCCTCGTCAACTAAATTTCTTCACTCTCCACTTCATAATATCAACTTCATTCTAAACAATTAGAAAGAACAAATTATACATGTCTCCACAAACATAAAGAATATTAGTTGTTTAAGGAAGATATATTATTTAGAATATTAAATATACCGGGAAAATAATTATATGTGTGTGGGCGGGTACCCATGGGGCGGGTTTACCTAAACCCAAACCCAACCCGACCCGGTGAATAGTGTAGCGGATTTAAACCCGAACCCGGCCCAAAACCCGTCAACACGGGTTTTACCCGCGTTGACCGGGTTGGGTCGGGTGGGTACCCGTGGGTTCGGGTTTTGTTGCCATCCCTACCAGTCAATACCATATGGTATAGACTGGTAAAAAATGGCTCAATTTTTTTTGTTCGAAAAATATATCAAAGTGGATATCATTTTGAAGAGCACAATTAATCTGATCTAACTGTGCAAAAAAAAATTAAATTTTGACTTAAAACGAGTGAGAAATCGTCCGTCAAAGATTAAGAAGGAGAAAATTAAAGACTTTCCAGGAGAAAGGGATGCTGATGTCATGCTAATGTAGCTGATTATTCATGGTTACTCACCATAAAATTACTGACCTGATCCGTTCCCACCACTAGTGGGCTCTTTTCTTAAGCACCCTAGCATACAACAGTATTACAACTGTACAAGAAACAACGCACAACCATAAAAAGTTTAAGCAAATAGAAAGTTGACACTAGCTAGACAAGGAGCTATTTCCTTCTTTATGTACGATTTTTTTTTTTTTTTTTTTGACAAGGTCTTTATGTACGATTTGGTGCGCTGAAAATTGCAATATTTTGTTCCCCAATATAAATACTTCACCTGGCCATTCCAGTTATCTCATAAAAATACCTGAGCAAACCCCAAAAAAAAAAAAAAAAAAAAAAAAAACAACTACCCAAAATAGACAGCATGAAAGCAATCGAAACCCATAAACCTTACATAGCGATGCTACTTGTGCAGTTAATATATGCAGGGATGGCCCTCCTCTCCAAAGCAGCCATCTCTTCAGGGATGAGCTCTTTCGTCTTCGTCACTTACCGCCAAGCTTTCGCCACTCTCGCATTAGCTCCATTTGCTCTCTTCATCCAGAGGTTCCATTTTCCCCCATTATGTTACAAACCAGTAGTGTTATTGTTACTGTGAGCATTGCTCTGATCACAAGTTGTTTCCTGTTGTTTTACAGCGAAAAGGATGTCCCCTTGTCAAAAAAGGTTCTTCTCAAGATCTTTTTCATCTCCTCTTTCGGGTAATGAGCTCCAAAATCAATCCTTTTTTTTCATTGACGTATGTGTGGAGGTTTGATTTGGTCTAATGGGTGATTTTTTTCGTATACTTGCAGGCTGAGTTTGAGCTTGAACCTCTACGGTATCGCAATCACCTACACGACCGCGACATTTGCTGCAGCTGCCACCAATGCAATTCCTGCCATAACCTTCACCCTGGCTGTTCTATTGAGGTGGTGATAAAAACTCAGGGGCTGATACTGTTTTTTTTTTTTTTTTGTTGTTTATCATTATTATTTACCACTTACATCAACTCCTCGAGGTTCGTTTGTTCGATCGATGGATCGTGTGACTATGTGTGGATCGCGTGACATGTGACAGGACGGAGAGGGTGTCGATTAGGAAAGTTCACGGGGTCGCGAAGGTGGTTGGTTCTCTGCTTGGTGTTTCAGGGGCACTGGTGTTTGCTCTTGTGAAGGGCCCTGCTCTCGTGAACAATCTGCAATCTTCGTCTGCGAATCGAGATGGTGGCGATGGGATCAAGGAATGTTGTTCCAAGGGAGAATGGGTTAAGGGATCTTTGATCATGATCCTAGCTAACGTGCTATGGTCACTCTGGATCATTTTTCAGGTAAAAATTTTGGAACTAAAAAAGGTTCCCCTGCTTTGTGCTGTGTCTCTGTCTCGAGTCTGAGCTCGCGAATCGAATGTTCGTTGCAGGGTCGAATAGTGAAGCAGTACCCGGCGAAAATCCGCCTGACGACTTTGCAATGTTTGTTCAGCTGCTTGCAATCAGCCGTTGCAGCAATTGTGGTGGAAAAGGGGGACGATTCTGCTTGGAAGCTTGGATGGAATATACAGCTTTACTCTGTCGCGTATTGTGTGAGCAGCATCATGTCTCATCATCCCATGTTTACATATTCCAACATTCTCTAACTTCATTGTGGCTTGGATGTTGAAACCATTTTTCTCCATATTTGCAGGGAGTAATTGTGACGGGGCTGACATTTTGGCTACAGATATGGGCAATAGTGAGGAAAGGCCGGTTTTCACAGCCATGTTCACTCCTCTGGCACTCCTCGTTACAGCCATTTTCTCTGCCTGCGTCTGGCACGAAGTCCTTTACTTGGGCAGGTAGTCAGACAAGTGTATTCTGGCTTCCTACTGATCTCAGGATAAGCCTCGGTTTTGCGTCCGAATAACATGTGTTTGACAAATGAGGTTGTGGGAATTCAAACACGAGACCTTCCGGTCACAGAAAATTCTGATACCACGTGTCAAGAATCAATCGGTCCTTCCTGATAACTCGTACTAACAATCACTTGCTAAGCATCACAAATGGTTTTCACAAAGCATCCCCTTTTTGCAGCATCTTTCTCTATGTAGTGCATAACACAGTCATGTTTCACTTGTTTTGGGTTATACATTCCCTTTTCCTTTTTTTGGCTCTTCTCTTCCAAAATTTTGCCTGACGATCACATCACCAAGTTCATTGTGCTTTGTGGGTTCAGTGCTGGTGGGGCTGTTTTGCTAGTGGCTGGTCTCTATCTTGTGCTGTGGGGAAAGAACAAGGAAGAAAGGCAGCAAACCAAGTTGATGATCATCAGTGAATCCAATAAGGAGGAAACCAGCACAACAACAACAACAACAACCGCAATAGAGGGCATTACACATCAAGATGAAATGGGAGTCTTAGAAAATGGAGCTTCCCGACATGACCATCATATAGCTCTTTCCCTTCCCTTATCTCTCATTCCTGCTCCACTTCCACCAACAATCACTTCATCCTTGTAAAAATTGCGACATCAATAAGTCTAATCGATATCAGAACGTAAGAAGATGGTTGAGTTCTTGAGTTTGAGTTCTTGTTCTTGTGTCTGCTTGAGCTTAACCTGCTAATATCAACAAAAGAATCGTTGATACAACAGCAGGACAAGACTTTTTTTTCCACCGTAAGGAATTCCACTCCATTTGTAGTGGAGTTAGCACCAGTAGTATCGTTCCTCTTTCTGTGTGATATCCAAAATATCCAGCAGCTTACCACTAAACTTCGTCTTTGCTAATAAAGATTTGATTTTATAGATCACCAAACGGACCAATAGTAATATCACTAGCTCAATGCAACTTGAGCCATACATGAAAACAGTGAAATTCTTCCTAGGAATAACAGCTACCAGATTAATAAAATAAAAATTCGTTTGGTATAAATTCTTCGTAACTAATTGAGTGTCAAATCGGTTGATCGGAATGTCATTTAAAAATAATATATTTAAAATGCGTACTTTAAAATTTTCAAATGATTTGAAATGTTTAATTTCATATAACATTAAGGTGACATTGAACTATATTTTAATTATTTGAAATTCTGATAACCTTTCATCAATAACCAAACATTGTATTCTTAATGGTTATAATTAGGGGTGGGCAAGTGGGTGGTTAATCCGCGGATTGATATCGATCTACCCGCAAATAACCCGACCCGCAAGCAGTGTGTGATTAATGAGGGTGGGTTGCGGATTGGTAAATCTGTCACCCGCACTTATGTGGGTGGATTACGGGTCACCTAAATGACTCGCATCCTATTTTCACATGAAAAGATGTTGTTTCTTATAGTATCGACTATTCACCATATTTTCGAATAGCACTACAGTCTGAACATATACTTCTAAAGGTGGAGAATAATTAAAGAATAGTTTTGACTATTATTATTGGTTATGGTGTTGTGTAGAGGTGGCAAATGGATTGATGGATTGGATGAGTGGATCCATGGATCAAATGGATTGGTGAATTCATGGATTGGATCAAGTGGATTGGTGGATTATCCATGAATCCAAATGACATCCTCAACCAAGGACCAATATGTAAAATGTGAAAAGTTTAGGTACTAAAATGTCATAATGAAAATTTTTAGGTACCAAAACGTAATTTTCCAATGATATTTTTTGTATAAAAATTAAATTTTGGGTACCAAAATGTAAACTATAAAAAGTGTAGGTACCAAACCGTAATTTGCCATTTGGATTAAATGGATTAGATTTAAATGGATTGGATTAGGTGAATATTTTTAATGGGTTGGTGGATTGGATTGAGAATTGCCACCTCTAGTGTTGTGTAATATTGATTAGATATTGGAATGCGAATTAATCCATTAAGTATTTGAATGCAAACTATAAATTATTAATTGTACTAGAATCACAAAATGCGCAAGTTTTCTCTACACAATTGGTCGATAGAGTAGTAATATTTTTTATGCAAATACTACATGGCTCACTTGAGACAAAGTGAGAAGTGACTAAATGGATTACAATCTTCCTAATTTGCTATGAGTTTATTATAAATGTTAGTAAACTTTTTTAATAACTAGTTGGAGAATTGCTTTTGCGGGTTAACCCACGACCCAACCGCACTCATTCGCCACCTACCCAACCCGTAGTAGAATGTTGGTGGATTGCAAATCACAATTATTACAACTCTCTAGTATGTAGGTGGGTCAATTTGAGACAAAAACCCACCCAACATCTCATTGCCCACCCCTAGTTATAACATTCGTAAATGATCATTCATTGCCAGTCTATTTAAAGACGCAGTCACTTTGTTATCTATGGTTGAAAAGGAAATTGTCATAACAAAAGAAAAAACAAAGAGTTTGTGTGGAAAAGTCGTAGCATACATAGGAAACACACAACCATTAACGTTTAGCCAATATTTGGTTCTTTTGGAATTTGTCCATCGTCATTTACTCAACACTCAGCAGTGATGGTGCCTAAAATAGACATAGAACATGCACCTGACCTTCTGAATGCGACGTAGAAACCACGCAATTTAAATAGAGCAACTAATTTCTGGTGATTTTCTTACCCCACAGAAACGAAAGTTGATGTTGCTTTTGACCAACGTTAACTCTTTGTCATGGCAGAGCCTGGTGTACACAAATCTAGTAGACATAGAAAACGAGTGAGATGGATATGGAACACATATCTTCCTCACTATGTTGGTTTGGATCAACCAGCGTTTGTCATGGCAACAGTACCGTTGAACTGATAAATCAATAATCGAATCGATTTTCTCGGTAAAACTAGTCAATGACGACTAGTACCGAGTCAATCGATACTTGTTACACTCAGTCACAATATAATTGACATCTTAATTGACTATAATGACTGAAAATGATAAACAAAAACAACTACAACTCTAAACGCACGAGCAACAATAAAGAACATATACTAACTTATCATCATCATTCGATTTTAACTTTGTCCATGTTTGTCGACATTTCCGAGTAAAATGCATTGGCCGTCGGAGCGAGAGATGCCGGTTTCCTCTTTGTTTTGTCACTATCGTCTCTACTCCCACCTTACTAATAAGATGCCAGTTTCCTCTTAGTTTCGCATAAAAAAACAGTTGGGAAACGGAGGTTGCGAAGGTCTTCTGGCAAAGAGCTTTAGGCAACAGGTCATTGTTCCTTAATTTCTGAGCAATGTACGTAGCTTTGATGTTATATTGCAATATATTAACACCACAATAGTGTACAAACAGTTGAAACAGTGCATATACAAGAAAAGAAGGGCTGTCAGCAAACGGCAGAGGAGTTTTTTTTTAACTTTGGTTTGGTGGGGTTGACCTCGACAGCAAGTTTCCAAAGGGTTCAGCTTCTCAAAACCCAATTCCAGAACTGAAGACAGAGTAGTACTAAGAGAAGGGAAAACTACTACTCTCGGAGTAATCCGAAAGCCGAAATGGAAGACCAGAAACCATACATTCTGCTGCTGTTCCTGCAGCTGATATATGCAGGAATGGCTCTGTTCTCCAAAGCAGCCATCTCTGGAGGTGGAGGAATGAGCTCCTATGTATTCGTCACTTACCGCCTCGCTTTCGCCTCGGTTGCATTGGCTCCCTTTGCCCTCTTCCTCAAGAGGTTTCTGTCAACTTCATGCAAGTCATCTTCATATCTGTTTCTGATGAACTTGTGGTAGATTGATCGTGTGATGATACTTTGTTTTGGGTCCAGTGAGAAGGCTGTTCCCTTGCCATACAAGGTTCTCATGAAGATCATTTTGCTTTCCTTCTTTGGGTATGATGATACTTCCATCAACTGTCCTTCCCCTTTGCTAGCTTGTCCTGTGGAAAAATTGATTACTTCGGGTTTCTACTTGTGCAGGCAGACTGTGGGTTTGAACCTCTACTACTATGCAATCAGCTACACAACTGCAACTTTTGCTGCAGCTGCTACTAATGCAATTCCTGCCACAACCTTCATTGTGGCTGTGGTAATGAGGTACGAAACACGAAAATTTAACAACCCAAAGTCCCATTCTAATTCGACAAAGTGGACATTCAATCGATCTCAAATGGGGATTTCATTCCTTTTGGCAGGATGGAGAGGCTGTCCATAAGGAAAGTCCATGGAATGGCCAAAGTAATTGGCTCTGCAGTTGGTGTTTCAGGGGCACTAGTATTTGCCCTTGTGAAGGGCCCTGCTCTTGTTAACGATGTCCACACATCAACATCAAAACATGGTCCTCTGAAGAATTGCTGCTCCAAGGGTGATTGGATTAAGGGCTCCCTCGTCATGATCTTGGCCAATACTATTTGGTCCTTGTGGGTCATTATTCAGGTCAGACTTCCAATTTCCTCCATCTCAAGCTTGATCTTTTAGCAAGGAAAACTCTGTGCTACCAACTAAACTAAAAGTACCCCTTTTGTTTCTTTTAATTTCTCCATGCTTGTAGGGTCGCATGGTGAAGCAATATCCAGCAAAAGTCCGGTTCACAGCACTACAGTGTGTGTTTGGCTGCGTAATGGCAGCTGTTGTAGCCGTCGTAGCAGAGAGGGATGCCTCTGCTTGGAAACTTGGATGGAATATCCATCTGTACGCTGTTGCCTATTGCGTAAGCTCAATCCCCATGTCACTATACCCTTAAAGTTTGAGGCCTGCCAAACCTGAAACTGATTCTTAAAATTTTTGCCCAGGGAGTGGTTGTGACGGGGCTAACCTATTGGCTGCAACTATGGGCGATACAGAGGAAGGGACCGGTTTTCGCAGCGATGTTCACCCCATTGGCGCTGATCGTGGCAGCCATTTTCTCAGCAATCGTGTGGAAAGAAGTCCTCTATTTGGGAAGCCTTGGTGGGGCTGTTCTGCTGGTTGGAGGGCTCTATTTGGTTTTGTGGGGGAAGAACAAGGAAGAAAGGCAGCAAACCAAATTCGATGGCAAGATCAGTAACCAAGATGAAGCAAAAGCAGAAGGAGACGAGAAAGCAGAAGACTCTAAAGACGAAATCGCCATAGCACATGAATGCAATACTCAACATCAGTTGAATCAAGATGGGATGGAAGTGGCAGTTCATAATAGCAGCCCTTCACAACAACAAAGCCATATAGATGTAACACTACCACCAATCAACTAGCTAGCTAGCTCATCTCAAGGCTAATAAAAATAGGATCTTGATCAAAGTGAAAGTTGTGTATTCTAATTAAGGGGTGGGTAGGGTTTTCTGATTGGTTCGAGATCGAACCGGGGAAAAAAATAGGATCTTGATCAGAGTGAAAGTAAACCAATAAGATCCCAATTGCATCTGAAGTGCTTTGATTCCGTCTAGTAATAGAAACAATACTATCAGAATATATAAACTGAACCCAAGAGAGCTCACCTTATAAAGGCTTAAAATTGCCCGTCGGCCGGCGAACGAATTGCCAGAGTGATTAAGAAGGGTTAATGGGTTATATAAAGGATTTTTCGCTGCGTGTTGTTGTTATACAGAGGCTTGCTGTTCTCTGAGTCTCTGACATTGTGCTGATGCTCCGCGGCGTGTTACAGTGATCGGTCGGCGACGGGCGAAACCGAGAGCGGTGGCGGAGGAAGCGGAACCGGGGAAACGATCTGAATTAGCGAGGGGAATTTTCCCGGGAAGGTTTTTCTTCTTTGTTGGAATTATTTTCATTTGCTTACCGAAACAAAGGGGCTTTGGAGCAGCTTCTCTTATTGGGCCGGGCCGGAGCTCTCGTACCTAACTAGACGATCGATTTTCAGGAAATGAATAGGGAGGAGATCAAATAGTATTTGGGCTTATGCTAGTGTTCATTTTAATTGTTCTTATTTGCTTTGACTATCATTTCACGAAAAAGTCAGTGGATTGTGGCTCTCTCGTGCTTACCTAGTTAATCCGCAAGGGTTTCTATGACAAAAAAAAAAAAATAGTATTTGGGCTTCAAGGTGGTATGAGCCCAAACATTCCAGGGTTAGGCAATTAATTCAATTCGATAGTATTAAGAGAGTTAGGGGTGGTAACGATTCGGGTCGAGTAGACACTTCAAATTTATATTTTTTTGTGATACATATTTTCGTATAAATATATTTTTGTGATACAAACTAAACATGTACTTTGATTTCATTATACAAATTCAATTTGTATCTAAACTTTTCATAGAAAATTCTTTTATAATACAAACTAAATTCGTAACTTTAACATTGTGGTACAAATTGAATTTGTAACTGAAAGCACCAATGCTTATGAGCATTTGTAAAATGTAGTAATAAGGAAATCTTATGGATTACTAACTTAATTACCATGACAACTATAATACTTAACACGATAAGCCTCTAAAGATAAATTATATACGCATCAGACTTCTCTTTTCTTTGTCTCTAATAAACGCCCATTTTTCTTAGAATGGTTGGGAGTAGTACTAGTGCTTTCACTGTCGCGGCCACCATCAACGCTGCTGGCGCCACCACCACCATGGCCACCGGTACGGAACCTAAAGCTTAAGCCAGCAACAGGATAACGATGATCATGATCAACAACGATGCTTCCTGAGCGCGAAGCTAGTTTCTCGGCGTCGAATGTACCAGCCGTAGCACCACCACCACCAGCCTTATCGCCGGCAGAGTCTACAATCGCTCCCCGACGACGATCACCGCTTATGTTAGCAACTGCATTAATCTCACGAACTGTCGGGGTGGGCAGCGAAAAGGTAACGCTAATCATTAGAAAAATTGGTATGGTGAACAAGAAGTTGGTCGTAACAATTGCTGGTGCTTTTTTACCCATTGTCGATTCTTTATAAGGTTTAACTTGTGGTGGTACTGGGATTATATGTGTGTTCAGGAGATAGATTTTGCACGTTTTTAATGTACGTGTATATATAGGAAATGTTTGAGTTAAAAGTTAAAACCATAGAAAAAAAATAAGAAGAAGTTATTATTGTTGAGAGTGTAGGAAGGAACAAAATGTAACATCGACCAGCTCATGGAAATTTGGACGGTTAATGTACGTTGAGTCATGGGTGTGTGTATGTAGTAATTTGTGATTGTTTACTTTGTCCGGTTAATTGGTCCGTGTCGACATAATTTGTCGGGTAATTGCCACGTATGGTACAAGTACAACTAGGGATTTGATCATTTTAAAAAGGTGTGAAATTTTGGTTTGATTCGAAACCTCAAAGCTTCCTGCAAATTTAATCAATATATTGTCAAGAATTAGCTCGTAGCCTAGTCACATAACATCATTCCACATATTAATACTCATTTCAAACAAAAATCTATTTATATGGACGTGAAATTTGCACATGTATCAAATATCATATGCTTATTAATGGGATCAACGAAATTCGCTTTGAGTTGTTGATAAACAGAGAAGACCTCTTCTCAAAGTCCGAAATATGTCTTGCTGTAAGGAAATTCATTTTCTAATGGAATGGGCTACATACAATTCGTATTAGCTATTTGGTAATGTGGGCTAAATAGTTGCGATCTATATATAGAGCCCATAAGATTTTCATAAATGTACATGCAAACCTAGATCAAAACTTGATTTGACTAGACTTATTTGTAACCTCAGTCGTTGTACCAAATATGTTAGTTTCATATTGGATTAATAGCATTTTCCACCCCTCTACTATCACAAGTTTACAATCGTACTCTCCTATTTTTTTTTTTTGCACAAACATATCCTTTTTAATATTAAAACGTAACAATACACCTCTTCATATAATTATCTGTTAATTAGTCGTTTAAATGGCTGGAAAATGACCCAAATGTCTTCATTTAATTGGGTTGTGATTTGGGATATAAAAAAAATAACGACATTAAAACTGAATAAGTCCATTTGAGTCATTTTTCAAACCCACTAAATGGACGATAAACACACCTCTCTCCCGTATTTATTTATCTTAATAAAGACTGATTTATTATTACATTCCGTTTGCAACAGACAATCAAAGGCTCTAACTTTAGACTTTGAGACATCAGCGAGAGCGGGAGAGAACAGAAATATTTTTATTTTATCCACGCTTCATCTTTTTGTCCTTCCGTCTCCACCGCCACCGCCTCCACTATTAAAAACCAATATTTTTATCCCGGCGGCGGCCACCACCGACGCTGCTGCTATGGCCTCTACTAACGGCACCGCCTCCACCACTAACACCAACATTTTTATCATGATTACGGTGATGACCTTGACTGCCTGCGAAGCGAAAATTTAATTTCTCGTCTCCCATTGCCCTGCGGCCACGCTGACCATTCTTATTATTACCATTTGCTCCTCTCATCATATCACTAAGGGCGGCACCAATCCCTGCGGCTGCAGCATTACTTCCACCACCGCCGCCGGCACCGCCTCTGGTTCCCTTTGCGTTTTTCACCGCCGTGACTTTACCACCACCAACACCAGCACTACTCCTACTACCCCCAACTTTACCGGAAGCGCCCATTTTTGCGGCGACTCCGCCTCCACGACGGTGATGATGGTGTTCAGCGCGAGATTGAGCAAACGTTGAAGTGGGCAGCAAGGAGGCGATGCTGATCATCATCATCAGCAAAAATATTGCAATGGTGAACAAGTTGGTGGGCTTCGTTGTTGGTGACGATATTTTCGCCATTGGATTAATCTGTGTGTGTGTATTATAAGGTGCACGTTTATATCTATAATGGTCATATAATTTTGATATTTGTAGAAAATCGTCACATAGCTTTTGCGATCAGTTAGTTCATTGAGGATATATAGATCCGGCTAAATGTTGAGTGAGTTTGTGTAGACATAACTTTGTCCGGATTTTGAAGTGGTGGGATTTTGATTTTGGTGCTTATATTATATATGCATTATAGTAAACAAACAAAATAATGTGTGTGTATATGCTATGTAGTATTTGGTGTGCTATTGCCATTTCTTTTCTGGCGTTTTGGACCCATGCATGGTCACACGCAATTAACATTTTGGATTTTTTTGTTGAGAAACAGAATTGAACAAAAACGCTGAGGGTTTGTTTTTTAAATTTGGATGAGGATTAAGGAGTCCAAGGTTGTCAAACCAGTTTATACCGTTGTGCCGGTTTAGTAAGTGGAATGGTACGACCGGTGGTATAACCAGTTTGTGCCGGTTCATGCCGGTTTAAAAAAATGTGATAACAATTAATATCCAATGTATTTAATCATATATAAAACATATCTGTGGACAATTTAGTTACAATCCAACAAATATCATTAACTTTTAACTATTACAATCATAAAATAAATAATAAATTAATTTTTTTATTCATTAAATTCATTAAAATAATGTCATTTTATTTAAAATGCGTAAATCGATCATACCGGTCATACCGGTAATGTCATGCCAGTTTCATGACCGGCACAAGTTGAACCAGGTTAAACCAAGTGGCATGCCACCGGCATGACAACCATATAAGGACACAAGAAGGTCGAGATATGGGTCCTTCACACAACTCTCCAATGAATTTTATAGGTATAATACGCCGCCGTGGAAGGGGTAAACGTATGCATGTAGTTTTTTTTTATAGGGGAAGCGGGTCCAACAAACATGAATTAAGAGGAGAAACATGAATCATATATTCACTTTTTTGTAAGTTTAGCCTGAATTATGTATACTTTATTCTTCTATTTCCGGCCTGTATTTATAAGCAGACAGGAAATAGAAGGAAAAACGGTTAAACCGATAACTGGCCGGTTATCCACTAATCGGTAACTGAAGTAATCGAACTTCGGTCGGTTATTGGAGGCTGAACGAAATGGTTTTTGGTATTAAAAGTGGTTCGGTTAACCGATAACCGACACATCGAAACCTATTTTGAAAGATTTTCGATAGCGAGAGTGATTATTTTAGTCAACCAATAACCGGCCAATCGGTTACTGATTATAACCGAAATAACCGAACTGTCACCTCTACAGGCATGGTCCTTCAATAGAGGCCATGTAAACCATTAACGCACCAAATTTTTGAAAAGCCCAGATAAATAGAGAATATGTCCTTTCAATCCAAAATCATAAACAAGGCCCAACCCAAGTTCATATGGACAGAGCCATAGTCCATAGACTTAAAAATCATCCCCACCACAGCACCATCCGGTCTCCACTTTTCTTTTCAATTCAGTGATCAGCCAGCAGCAAGGACTTCTTTCCTGCAGTCCTACCAAATATTGCAAGTCAAAATATAGAATTGCAAAATGGTACGGGAGATTGTACAGAAAAATTTGGTGGTATAATATTTTATGCTGAAATTTGGATTTAACCGTTACTTCGTTAAAATTGGATATCAGTTTCGGCTATGATAGACTGTTTTTCAAGTTAAACAATTAATATAGTACGATTTTGCAAATAACGAATTCTACCTTAGAGAGGACGTGAGAAAGAAAATGCAAGCAAGAAAGTTAGGCGCAATTTTTATAGGTATTAGTGAAACTTAGGGTGCATCAAATCCTAAGTCCAAACACAATGAAAGAAAGCTACCACTCTCAAGTATCATCCATTATCTTATTGATGTTCCATTTCAAAACCGGCAAGTACCTATTGAGACAAATTTCATCAATATAATTCAACAGGTCACTATTACTTTGCCATCCTTTCATTGGCATAATTCCACCAAATAGAAACAAAAGAATTGAAATTCCCCGTAGAAACATAAAAATTGAAACTAACATGAAAAAAAAAGTTTGACATAACAAATTATATAATATATTCAACGAACAAAAAGTGTATACTTTATTCTTTTTCTCGTATGTTAAATTTTAGAAGAAAAAATTGCACTGGAAAAAGGGACACAAACATGAACTAGATTAAGTTGTCAAAACGTAAATGCACCACTTGTCATTACATCATTATCCCGAAATTTATTTAATGTAGCAATTTTGTATCCAATCCACTAAAATATCTAATTAAATTAATTCAAATTATTTAAATCCAGTTTATTTAATCCAAATTCAATTGAATTTGTAGATTAATAAATATTATAGTTTAGTACTTACGTTTTGTAATATTTTTTTATTTTGATACCTAAATTATTGTGATATTTTAGTATTTCAAATTTTCAAATTTTACATATTAATCTAATGTCTAGATTACATTTGAATCGCCAATCTATTTGATCTATGAATTCACCAATCATATCCATAAATACAATCCATTGTCACCTCTAATTTCAATCATCCAAACATCCAAATCCCCATTAATTTCTGACCCTCCCCGCCATTGACCACTGATTATTGAAACGATGGCAACCATTTCCCACCTCGCTTAGACCGATTTTCTTGTTCTTGGTATCCTCAGGATCCAAAGAAATGTTTGTGCGTATTGATTTGGATGTTGGTGGGATGGAATAGATGAAAATTGGTCTCTTGCTTTTGTTAGGTATAAATTGTGTCTCTTAATTCATGTGTAGAAATTAATATAATTCAATTAACTCAAGATTATTACTGCATGTGCATGCCGTATTTGAGCAGAGAAAATCACGTACTAAATCAATTTTGATATCCTGTCACAAACTAGTTGGTCAAATCAATTGATCTCAATAATTCGAGTTATTGAGAGAAGGTCAATGATTAATATTATACACTCACTCTCTAACTTATTTGAGTGGATAAAATCATACTTATAACACTAGTTCGAAGGATAAACTCAACTAGAATGGTATCCCTAATTATTGTATAAATGGGCCTCCACTCGAGCTTTCCAAGTTCGGTTAGATAAAACTTAAAAGCACTTGATAGTAATTGAGAGTCATCTAATGATATACAGTATGACATTTTATATACGTATACTCTCTCTTTTTAAGAGGTTGAACCATGTTGGGTTTTGTATGATGGCTAATTATCTATCATCACTTCCATTCACTAATCAATGAACAAGCTAGAGAAGTTCCAAAGGAGTTATTATTATTTATCTACATAACACAAAATCACTCTGTCGCCTTGGACTTCCGACAGAGCAAAATACTCCGGTAGCTAGTCGTACAACCTCGCGTCCATCTCAAAAAAGAAAGTCAACAAATTAAGAAGAAGCAGCAAACAATTACACGCCGATACAAAAGATAAACAACTTTGACGCAGTTAGATCCCCTGAGTCCATGAACCCATATAATCCGAAAGCCGACACATGATCAAACCCAGTCCATACGGCTCGAGTCGACCGATTTGGTCAGAGCAAAAGTGAGCGCCATGGCCACCCACCCGCCAACCAAAACCCTCATCCCGGACTTAACCACCGGAGCTCTCCCCAACACGGCTCCAATCCAACCGAAAACCACCAACGCCAAGCTCACCGCCGCAAACATCACTCCGATCCTCACCTTATACGCCTTAATGAACGAAGCCGCCAGCAGCGGCACCATCGCGCCCACGGAGAACGCGAGTCCCGACGCCGCCGCCGCCTGCATCGGGTTCGGCAGCCCCTCCTCCTCCTCGTCCTTGTCTCCTCCTTCCACCTCAGCAGGAGCTTGGCCGCCGCGCTCCTGGTCGCGCCTCATCTGGGCCACCTGGATGTCGTACTGAGAGTATACCGAGACGAACTCGCCGATGGCCATGCTGCAGGCTCCCGCCACGAGGCCGGCGAACCCGGTGAGGATCATGGCCTTGACGTCCTGCCTCACCGCGCCCACGCCCATCATGAGCGAGGCCGTCGAGACAAGCCCGTCGTTGGCTCCGAGCACCGCGGCTCGGAGCCACTGAGCCCTCTTCGCGTAGTCGAACCGGTCTGGTTCCATCTTGACCGGTTGGATTTGGTTGTTGTTGTTGGTGGTGGCCATTTCCAAGGAAGAAGAAGAAGAAGAAGGAGTATTTAGTAAGTTTGTTTGGTTGTAGGAGGAGTAGTGAAGAAGTGTGGTGGACACACGCCGGTATTTATAAAGAAATTGATGGTTTTTTGGGGTTTTGATTAATCAAATGAAGAAGCGCACTAATCAACCAGCTTAATTAGAGGTGGTGGTGGCTGCTTCTTCTTTTTTTCCGATGGGGGTGGTGGAATTAAGATAAGAGATTATGATGATTAAGAAAATAGCACTAGTGTTGTCATGGGTTAATTGCGGCAGAAACGATTAATAAAAGAGTGTTTAGGGAAGGAAATTGAATGGGAGTGGGATTGGGAACAGAAGGTGAAAGGCTATTTGTATGTTTATCAGCAAAGTAATAATAGCAAAATGAAAGGGAATCCAAGCAAGAGAATAAAACTGTGTCCGACCAAATAGAGCATAGCCAAACTACGTGCAACAGTTTGTCGAAAGATATTTTGGTGAAGCACCGAGGTGCTCCAAGAAAAAAAGTTGGAATATTGCAAGTTATCGTACCGTATCAAGTATCAACGGTTAGATAGGGAGAAATATTTCTATCGGTGTCTTAAACAGGTATAGGATGTTTTTTTAAGAGTATGAAATGTTGAACTACGATTAAATCACGAGTTTATGATAAATTAGCTTATCGCTTTCGATATTACGAAAATAACATTTTCTGACTTTTGAGTATGAAGAAAATACTTTTTCATTAACAAATTTTACATCATCATGTCGATTGTTTGACGCAAAATAAGGACAAGTGGCAGCACTACTCCTAAGGTAAATAGGTATTGAAAATTGCATTGTCTGTTTCAAAAATGGGGGAAATATATATTTTGTATCGACATTAATTGGAAAGTACTAGGAGAAAAGCAAGGCATATTTGAGATGTTGAAGACTAAGCTAACGGTTTCCTTTTTTTCCTTTTTAGTGTGTTTTCGTGAATAGCCCTTCTACCATATGCTCTAAGGTTACAAATTGAACTCGTGCAAGTTAGAATTATAAGTTTAATTTGTACCATTGTACCTTTATGTTATTATTATATAAGTTCAGTTTGTACTATAATGTATAATAACACTAAAAGTTAATTTTGTAACATAAAAATAACATTTTTTTCCACCAGTAATGTAAAATTTATTTTTCTGAATTGTAAAATTAAATAATTGGCTATTCCAAGGTTCTATAGATAATAGGCCCGTGAAGACAAAAGATCTTATGGAAGTCGCGAGGGATTATTATCCGAATTTGGCAGAATTGGCCATATATTAATACGGATTGTACGTGCTTAAAGAATTGGCCGTCTATCCTTGCGTGTATTTCTAAGATCCAACCAACTAATTAGATAGGTTTTGTCAAATCCTTTAATCTAAAACTAAATTAATTAAGTTCTTCAGCTTATAAATTTTTAAGGATATTTTGGGAGACAATGAATAGATTATTTTTCAAAGACTGATATAAGTAGACATTCATTTTTCAATTCTGAAAAATAGGATGGATGAAAAACATTGAAATGCACTATTAATTTGTTTGTTTCTTTTATATATTTTGAGTGACTTAATTACCTTAAATTCATGTAGATATCATAACACTCTTTCGCGGTAACATATATAGTAAGAAACTCTATCCAGTGAACGACAAATCCTAACTTCGCCCATGATTCTGTTAAACATAGTTCAGTTAACAATGTTATAAAGGAAATGACATGCAGTAACAACCCGATCTAATTAAAATTCAAATAAGTTTGCATTACATCGTATGATCGTCAATTTCACGTCAATTGATTAAAACTGAAAAAAATAATCCAACAACTAGTATTTAGCTAGGCAGGCTTGGTCCAAGTTGAAACCCACATATCATTTCTTCACCAATCATCTATATATATAATATCACCCACATACATGATCACCTATCTCTAATTAGTTATGTGATATTGTTACATGATGCTCGCCATGATCCAGAGTACTCGTTAGGATTACGACTTACGAATAAACATAATGAAAACTCTTACTCATAACTAATGTATATTTCGTTGTTGTTTTGGTTTGACTCGACTCCAACCCCAAATCGATTATTTCTCATACACCATCTCTTTGTCCTTGTATCCTTGGCCTTCTTCACCTCATATATCACATCAGCACAAAAATGTACACTTGCTTTTGATCTCCTTCGACTTGTGAACTCAATTGTCCATGGATCTTTCTTTTTTATGTGAAATTGTATTGTCAAGCTCTTGATGCTCTCCCAAAGCTTTCTTTTGTTACACGTAACTAGTGGATCTAATAATATGCGGAATATATCTCTACTACTTTCACATCAAATAATCACACTATTAAGTAAGCCCTAGAGCTCTAGAGTGAGAGAGAAGAAAAAAAAAGGAATTTAGAGTAAGAAGCATTAAAGCAACAATGGAATTATGGAATGCTGAAGAGGAACCCACTTAGGTTACTGGGTGGCAATGCAAAGGGGCGAAAGTGGGTTGGAATAAAGACATCATTTTAGCCCATAAAAAATGAGAGAGGGAGTGTGGTTTCCACACGAATACCACCATCCTCTTCATTATTCAAATACTGCCTCCCAAGAAAATCTTTTTGTTTATTCATGGATCAGTAGTGACCAAGAAAATGGACTGGCCAGCCAATCGTGGACATTTTTCTCTCTTACTTAATCTTTGTCCAAATAATAATAAAAAAAAGTTAGTAGTGGATAAATCATTTGGAAGGAATGTTAAATTTGAAAAGACGGGTTCGACCAAATTTTTAGGGCGCTTGTTTAGAGAGGGTCAGTTAAAACCGGACCGTGGTGACCCGTCGAAAGGTGGATGTTGGATGGAGAGATCAACACCGTAGGAGGAGTGCGTTACAATCAAGTTCGATGGACCGTTTATTTCGTCTTTCCTTATCGTGATGAGTTGTGCATCCGGAGGGGGTTAGTGCGAGATTCGCAGGGTTACTTTGTTGGGTGCCTATGTCATGAACTTAAGAAGATGTGTTCCATTACCAGAGTCGAACTGAGAGCGCGAGGCATCACTGACAGACTTGAGATCGCGCTTATTGGCCCCTCGGACATCGAAAGGTGTGAAAGCGCCGCTTGCCTCTTTTGTTGCGCGGGGTGGCCTTCCTACGGAGTTTGTGGAGGAAAAATGTCATGATGCTCGACAGGGATTGTCTTCGTTGCTCCTTCAATTCCTTTACTCTTCCCTCAATTCAGTTTCCACTTCTTCATCTGCTAGTGCTACTCACCCCTTTCTCTGCCGTTTTGAGAGTTTTTCAGGCGCTCCCATCCAATCTAAAGCAAAGCTAAATGACTAGGTTTTATTAATGGCTACGTACTAACATGTGCACTTGCCATAAATTTTCTTTCTAGTGGAGCACCGTATTTAATTAAAGCCATTTGCTTTTGGCCCGTCACCATTATTTCGGATTATCACCCAATTGCCCAAAGAACTAGCTTTTGGGAAAAAAGGGTGACTTTATTTTTGGGATTGGGTTCAATTTGTTGAATGTTGACTGCTGCTTGGTTTCTTCCTTTTCATTCGGTTGTTCCCTCTCCACTTTTTCCCCGGTTTCTGGTTCCAAATTTCTTGTTGGATGCCGTTTAAGATGAAAGAAGTTGCAACTTTGTGAGAATGGAGCTAGCAATTCAAGTGAAGTGAACTACAGCGAAGACAGACGTGTGTGGCCACTTTGATTTCAGCTATCAGCCATCGTCCATCAACACTAATCTCGGAACACAATATCTATAAGTTTGTCGGATAGAGAAATTGGGCACGGTGAGAAGATCAACAATGAAACATTGACGAAAATGCAATATTGGTGACTGATGCAAAGTATTCACAACAACAACAAAAAACAATGACTTGTGTCGGTGCTGTAGTGTCGGCTAGGTATAAACCCGATACCAAACGTAGGTTTTGACTATTTCTGTGATTATGTACTGCTTTCAGAAGATGGTAAAGCAGGAGGTGTAGTAGTCCTGTTGGAAGCAGTGAATGTACGTCAACTCGGCCTGATTCGGCTCGACGACTATGAGTTTGTGATGATATACAGACTCAAAAGCCAAGCAAGCTCCTATTTTGGAGAGATTTGTAATTAAGAGAATGGAATCAAATTAGTTCTCCAAGAATTCAAGCTTTTTTTTTTCTTTTTCTGCAAGGAAGATAAAAAATCGTTCGTGATATGGCGCACAAAGAAGAGATAAGAGGGAAAAGTAGGTACATGCAAGGAAGATGGTATGATATTTGGGTAATTCGTATAATTGTTATCCTGTCCAAAACTGGAACCAAATAAGAACAAAATTATAAGGTGTCATTTCGTGTCTGCCAATTGGTATTGCTCTTTCCCTTCAGGCTACAGATAGTACAGTTCTAGGAGGGGTTCGTTTTTGGATTCCATTATATTCCCATAATATGCAAATTCTGTAATCATGCTCTTCTTTAGAATATACATTTTGTTGAGGACTACTGTCTCCATATGCTTTTGTCTGCCTTGTCTTGGCATTGCTGGATTGCACAAAAAGGAAGGAATGAAAAAATCGTATCGTACCGGCGATTCGATCGGAAAAAAATTTATATTGGGTTTTAAATTGGTAGTATTTAGTGGTATGAAATGATTCAATAAAACCGGTTAAACCAATATTTCAGCATAAAACACTTTACCGTTGACTTTTCCGATACAAACCGCTGATACGATTTTACTATTTCAGCAGTTAAATCTCACTTGCACTTACAAGAAGGAATGAGCATTTGTGTTTTGCGACATATATAACTCCGAAATTCATGAGGAAAAGTGCTTCACAACTCACAAGCTATATTTAAGCGAATAATAAAGGTAGGATTCTTGGAACTTACTCAAGTTAGAAGTAGTTGATTATGAACAAGAGTTTAATCTATTAGTAATAGCACTAGTTTTGAATCTGGAGATCTCAGGTTTAAATTTCTTAAGTAATACTTAATAAAAAAATAAACCTATATCACTCTTATCTATAAAAAAAAGTTAGAAGTATTTGATTAAAAGAACTCTAAAGAGGCGATACTGAGTGATGTTGAATTAATCCTAAATGATGTTTGAGCTAATGGTAAATAAATTAGGATTAAGTGGACATCTAATGTTAATATCTAGTTGGGAGGTCGTTCGGTGCCAAAGTACTTGATTTCTGGTTAAGTGAGTTTGTACCTTATACTTGATGTCTATGCCTATTTAAGTTATTATGAGGTGGGGCAAAAAACTAATTTGGATAAGAAAAACTTGTTTTTAATATTAATGGATTAATGTACATTTGACTTTGTTAGGTGCCAAAGTAGAGTTTGTACCTTATACTTGATGTCTATGCCTATTTAAGTTATTATAAGGTGGGACAAAAAATAATTTCGATAAGAAAAACTTGTTTTTAATATTAATGGATTAATGTACATTTGACTTTGTTGGACAACGATTAATAATACAATTCATTTTTCTTTAAATAAAATTCGAATTAGAACACGTTTGATGTTTTTTATGACTTATGGAAAAACTAAACTAAATACTCTTACTTTTATGGAAGTGATTGGATGAGAGCTCCAAACTAAAGATTATAGCCATAGCTACATTACAGAGAAAATATAAAAGTTTGACATATGCTATGAAATGTTGGTTTCGGACCTTTTGGTAACTCATTTTTCGTCTTCGTTTTTTCATATTTATAGCCACCAGGTGTGACTGCTTCAGGCCTATAGCTGCCTTTCATGACCCCTCGTCTCATCTTGGTGCCTAGCACCTTGGTTATTAACTATCGACTTGGTGCTGAGTTGAACTTCATTCAGATCTTGACGCCTTGCCTAGACTAGACGGGGTTGAAACCTCGTCATCTTGCCTTCAAGATGAAGTCTTGTTCACATTGTCCCCTGCCAGTGAGCTCATTGGCAGCCTTAAAAGCCATACTACTTGTATTTCTGGCCATTTGAACAAAACTATATTTCTCGCATGGGCTCACTATCCATCTTCATGGGACGATAACCTAACCTCTTTCATGCTTAAGTACCTAACCTTCCAATGCATCACATTTTTGTATTGGTACCACACACATCTTCTCAGCTTGGTACCTACCAACAATCCACACTTAGCCTTGAAGACCTCATCATGATGCATCTCCTTGGTTTGGTACTTTGCTCGTCTCGCTTGTACCTTGTTGGACTTGACACCAAACTCGTCTCGTCGACTTGTCACTAATACCGTCTTGTTGCCTTGCTACCTTGCCCGGCTTGATTGTTTGATATCTCTTACGCCTCGCCACTAAGCCCACATAGTCAGCTTGATACATTGTTCTCCCTTACGTTTTGCCACAAAAGCCCGACTCGTCAGATTTGTATATTATTGGCACCTCCATAAAAGCCTGTCTTGTCGGTTTTGTACCATGTCTAACAAGTCTCCACCATCCGTGTTTCCATTCTTAGTCTGAGACGCCATGTTTCTTACCATCGGTCGTGTCATATAACCACATTGCTAGTTGAGTAATTTACTATGCAGGCTTGCCATGAAACCCAAAAACTAAACATTCAAGCCCCAGTTGTATCCATTAATTCATTATAAAGTTGACATGGCCTTATAAAGCCAATAAGGCGGCAGAGTCGAGAAAAACTTTGCCAAACAATCCCTAATGCGACCAATCATATGAACCAAGCCCATTAGATTGTTGGCCCATAAGTCCAGCCCAACTTAAAAATGACCTTTCGCAGAAAATCACTAGCGTATCAACAGCAACGTCGTCGTTTCAAACTACCCACTGCCTTGAGCTTTCGATCGTCTTCCCCCGAGTGGCGGCGGCGACCCCTTTTCTCCGTTTCTCGCACCGCCCCCCACTGCCTCTTAAGTTACCTCCGCCTCCGCCTTCGCCTTCCGCCGGCTTTAGTTTTTTCCCCCTACTCTTCCCCGATAGAAATCAATATTTTCTACAATTTTGCTTCCTTGGTCCCTTCCCTACCGGCGACCAATGGAGGCAGTTGCAGCACCAATCCCGGATTCCGGCGGTGCCGTACTTGACCACAACCCTAACCCGGCCGAAGTCGAGGTTTTGACGCTCCGCGTCGACGAAGTTGTTGAGAAAGTCGATAAGGTAAACGATCTCTACTGAATTCCCCCCATCTTTTTGGCTTCCGTTTTTCTCTCCGAAAGAGACGAACTTTTTATGTGGGAATTTTAACGGGAATGTGTATTGTTCAAAAGCTGGAGGAGAAGGTGAACGAGGTTGAACAATTCTACACCAACTTGAGCAAGAAGCAGCAGCAAACGGGTTCGAAAGGGAGCTCGGCGGTGAAGGAGAAAGAGAAGCAGGTTCTTAGCATGAGGAAGCAGCAGCAAGATGCTTCCAGGCGTGAAGCGGCGGCTGCTAAGAGAATGCAGGAGCTTATGCGACAATTTGGAACTGTTCTTAAGCAGGTAAATTGGGATTTTTTGCTTCCGATTGTTCCTGTTTCGTTGTAGTTGAGTATTTGGGATGAAAGTTTGGATGTTGAACCATCTGAAAGTTTTTATCTTTGTGGTCTCTCTCAGCTGACCATGCACAAATGGGCATGGCCTTTTATGCATCCAGTGGATGTGAAAGGTCTTGGCTTACATGACTACTTTGAGGTGCGAAATATATATATTTTTTTTGTTCTTTTCTGTTTGATTGTTGTTGTCTGCTTATGAATCCTCTTGCGCACCGTAGCTTATGGCTTAAGCTGAAGTCTTGGAATGCTAAAACTTCAGTGTTCATGATAATATCAGTTGCATATTGCATAAAGATCTTGGAACTACTGATAATTTGAACTTCCTAATTGCTGTGTGGGAGGGTTGGTGTTTGTAGCATAACGTGATTTCCTGCTGAACAAACTTAAAGTGCAGAAGGACAATGGAAATTGAAAATTCTCACTTGTTTACTTTGAGTTGTTGTGTATGAGTGTCCACTCCAGTACTTACATCTACATATGAAGCAACATGTAAAGTTTACAAATGTTCACTTTTTCTAAAAAAGGTAGGTCAACTGATGATTGAAATTACTTATAGTGGGAAATGGCTGATTCTTCTTGGTAGGCCCTAAGGCCCATTCTTGCCGAAATTTATGCACGCGAAGATTAGATGTAGTGATTTGTGAATTACTTAATCCCTTGTTTATCTGCTGCTTAGCATGTATGCACATGCGGTGGCCTTAACCATATTGTGATTAGCAATTCTAGTCTGAGGTTCTTTTGAGTAATCCCTTGTGGTTGCCTTCAATATATTTGTTTCTTCGTTGAGTTGATCGATTTGATTCGTGTGGCATTCACTAGGTTATTGACAAGCCGATGGACTTCAGTACGATAAAAAATCAGATGGAGGCCAAGGATGGTACTGGTTATAAGAATGTCAGGGAGATATGTGCTGATGTGAGGTTAATATTCAAGAATGCAATGAAATATAACGAAGAAGGGAGTGATGTTAATTTTATGGCAAGAACTTTGATGGTCAAGTTTGAAGAGAAATGGTTGCAATTTCTTCCAAAAGTCACTGAAGAGGTAATCTTCCATCGACCTACCTCAGTCTAAGATTTTTGTACCCTGATCCAGTTTTTCTATAATTGTTTACTTCTGCTCCTAGTTCTGCCCCCTGCTAACACTTCTACTCATAGGAGAGAAGAAGAGAAGAGGAGGAAGCTGAGGCTCAGTTGGACATGCAGCTCGCCCAGGAGGCTGCTCATGCTAAAATCACAAAAGATTTGAGCAATGAGGTAATGCTGCAATTGCATTTTGCGGAGATATAACTTTAAGAAGCCAAAGCATCCAATCTTATGGGATTGGTATGCCAAGAGATTAACATTACTGACCCGCTCTATCACTTTCAGCTTTATGATCTTGATATGCATCTTGAGGAGCTTAGAGAAATGGTTGTTCAAAACTGCAGGTTTGCGTACTCTGTTTGAGGCTCTATATTCTGATCGAAATCAGTAAATCCACATTCATTTTGGCATAGTTCTGATTTTGGGAACCGTATTCCCCATCCCACATTCCTTATCACATCCACAAGGTTTTAGAACCCCATGCTTAACAGCACAACAATACTAGTCAAGTTCTTAACCTACCTTTGGTTTGGTCACTGCATCATGTCTCTTTGTTCGTAGATTTCATCTCCTGGTTTCTTGTCAACGGGTACAAATTGTTGCGTATGACGAAGTTGCTAACTTTGATTTTTATTAGTCAAAAGGAAGATGTGTTAGTTGACGATATTCTTTTATTTGTTTAACATCTGCAGAACTGGTCATCCATTTGTCTACTGTATCAATGCTCTAATATAACGTTTTATATCTTCTACTGCTGCAGAAAATGGTCCACTGAAGATAAAAGAAAGCTAGGGGCAGCCCTAACAAGATTGTCTCCTGAAGATCTCACAAAAGCGCTTGAGATAGTTGCTCAAAATAACCCAGGCTTCCAATCAACAGCCGAGGAAGTGGACCTGGACATCGATGCACAGGTCGTTATGTCTTATTTACAGTACTTTTCAGGTTTTCCTGACGATTTGACAGTCTCGTCGTTTTCGTCTCCTGCAGAGCGAATCTACACTGTGGAGGCTGAAGTTCTTTGTGAGGGATGCTCTTGAAGCACAAAGTAAAACTGCACCTGCTAGCACCGGTGGAAATACCAACGACGACAAGAACGTCAACAATAACAATGTCACCAGCAACAACCATAAGCGTAAAAGAGAGATTTGTGATGCCATTGCCATTGCTAAAACCGCGAAGAAGAGGAGCAAGAAGCCTTCTTGATGGTGGCTAGGACAGCTTTTCAGTTTTCAGCCATTTGTACAGACAGAGAGGAGGTGGTTGAAGAAGGAGGACAAAAGCAAGGAACCAGAGGTGTGTCTTTCGTGCGTAACGTTCACTGTTTTTTCACTCTTTTCTGTCTTCGATAGATTTGCTAGGATGTAACATAGAAGGGACTCGGTTGTCGGAGTTGCAACTTCCAACTGATTGATTCTTTTTCTTTCTAAGATAAAAGGGTAGCTTTTCACACTTTCACTGCGAAAGAAATGGTTCTGCGAATATATAAAAAGGAAGGAAGCACGAATCCTTCCCTCTGGTTTTGGGTTTGTCCAGCCTACCAATCTGGGCGTTTGACTTTTGAGTTGTGTCTATTTTCTTTCTATCGTTGGTTATTTCTATTCATTATTCCAATAACTCGAGTTATAGAACCCAACTAGTTCTCGACATGTTATTACAGTGTATGCATACACTGTGAGGTCTTTTTATTGGGATCATGATGACCTCATTTCTTACCACATATTTAAATCTATGCAAAACTTATATGAGTTGACTTTTGCTTACTGTTTCTAATATTTGTAACCTCAAAGTTCTTTTTTAGCAAAAATGCAACTCCTACTTATAACATAGAAAATTTTATTAATATTATCGTATTGTTTTGTGGAATCAATGTACGGTTGAACAAATTGAAAAAAGAAAACCCACTAAGGGGTCGATTACTGTACATCAAGACTACTTTTACTGTCCATCATGACTCATTGACACTGTTTCAACTTGGATGGGGCTTGGGTGTGGGCGTGTGCAGGTGGGGACTATTTGGTTTCGGACGGAATTAGGCGAATTGGTTGCTTTTGGACTATGGTTAGTCTTCTGATTGCGAGACCTCTCTGTACTCTCACTCGCGTTGATCGCTTGGCAACAACTTGACCCTAGAGTTCTGCAACCAAATATATTGCTTTATTCCACTTGGGGTTCAGATTTCTGACACTATGCACGTCACTCATGAAAAAAGCTGAGGGGATTTTTGCTTTTGGTGGAGTTATTGAGGTTGTATTTGACGCAGTGAGAGACTGGTTGATGTGCTATCTCCCAGGTCGGCAAAGATTTTTCATTGGCTACAGGTGGCCTGACGTGGCGCGATTATCTATTGCTTTTCATCATCACATCTCAGGAGAGAGAGAGACGGTGAGGTTGGGAGAAGAGTTCCACTTAGCTGGAGGTGAGAGACGACATATAAGAGCCAATTCATTTAGTTACGTTTGTTAGCATTTTGCCCCATTCTTCCTTTCGATTTCTCCATCTTTTCTCTCTACAATCACCATGAACGTCAATTCTCGCTGGACTTGCTCATAATCTCTGAGTCTCAAGGCAGATAAACTTTTTTGGTGATTTCTCAATTTCCTGGGTTTTATATGCAGCATGTCCAGATCGAGATGGTGGGGAAGAGATGCACAACTTCGTATTCTTATCCAACTATGTTACCAGTTTGTGGTTGTAGCCCTTGACCTCGGTTTGGCGGCAGCGGAGACGTTCAAGTCGAGATCCACAAATTCTCTTTTTGGTTAAAGGTGCATGTTCTCTCTCTCGGCAGTTTTTGTTTTGGTTTCGGGTGATTCATTACTTATGCATTCTTTCTCATTAGTTTATTTTCTCTGTTTTCTCAAGTACAGGCGATTCGGTTTTGGAAGGGATTTATGCGGTCGGGGTGGTTGTTGGTTCTAATTCAAGCCAGCAGAAACAAGAAATAGGTTAAGTTGGATGGGTTTTTGATGATGAGGAACAAACAGCTCAGCAGGTTATTATCTCTCAATCTCAGTCCTGTGGTGCTTTTGTTTAGTCTCTTTTTTGTTACTGATGTTGTAGCAAACTGTCAGTTCCTCCCTTAAATTTTCTGCTTTACTAATTCGATGACTGGGTGCAGAACGATGAATGGACGAACGTTTCTCAAGTCTTGGACTTTGGTGGATCAAATTCGACTTGGGGATTTTTCTTCGAAAGTCCCACGTTGGCCAGGTGACTTATGAGAAGTGTACTTTTCTTTCTTTTCTCTGTTACAAACTTACAATGGAATAATGATCCTTATTTTCTTTTAATTTACTTACAGGGAATTTTGATAAGAGCTGCATCCTTTAATTTACAACAATGGAAGCACGAAAGACAGATGATTTTCTGTGTTATGAAGGGGAAGGCTGGTGATTTCAGCTCTGGGTTGTTCGTATTGCGGGTGTGTGGGGTTCAAAGTGTTTTTGGATTATTTCAGTGATCTTTTATGTGCTATTGGCTTCGTCTTATTCCCGTTCACAGTCTGTCTAAGGGAAAGCGAATTGAAGGAGCTCAACTGAGATGCAGCTATCTCTAACTCTCGGTTGTTAGTAAGATCGAAAGCCAGAGATCATCAACTCTGATGCATCTTGCAGTATATCTATATTTTAAGTTATATCATGTATCTTCAATTTTTCATCATACGTGTTTTGTCATTTGCTAACACAAGAAAATTGGGTGTAGTCGAAAATTGGATCGCTCAAGAAAGTGGGTTAAAGTGTTCTTATTTAGAAAGTGGGTTAAAGTGTTCTTATTTGTAGCGAAAGAAAGTAGGTACTTGGTGATATTTTTACTTTGTTGTGTAAAATTTCCTTAACATAGTAATTACGTGTTTTGTTTGGCCACTGGCCTGTAAGATGACATATTTATGGTTAATGGTTCGCATCTTTCATAATTGTGTTGTTATGGTACTTCTATAATTCTCCTCTACAGACTAGAGTAACCTTTCGAGGACATCCGATAACTCTACTATGTGCTCATGAAAGTTTATACAACATAAATCTAAATTTTCGTACCAGTCCCGACGAGGAGCGCGGGCAATAAAACTAGTTAGATAAATAAATCAGTCCATTTTGGATGTTACACCGACACTAAGATTCCTGAATAGAAATAGAAAATGAAGAGATAAGAGAAGCATTAGTCTCTTTCTTTTTTATTGAATAGATTAGTATTAGCCTGAAGGGTAGTTTATGACCTAAATAATTTTTTGGGTAGAATATTAACTAAATAATTGATGTGCATCGCCCTTGTAATAGGACAGTTTGGTGCAAAGGGATAATCACGCTTTAATTCGTTTGGTATAACGTTGCCTTCAAATCAAAATGGTTGCTAGCTAGTAACAGATTGTTGTTGCAACTAATTTGACAAGTTTTAGTTTTTTTTTTTTTGACAAAATATAATCATATATTGATTGAAAGAATACACAGTTACACCCTGGAAAACAGCCAGGCCTGAAAATTAAACGAGCGAGACGTGGACGGGTACAAAGAAAGGGCCTTTCTAGCCACAACATGGGCTACACGATTGTTCCTCCGACCTACAAATCGCACACTAAACCCCGGATGACTCTCCAAACAGTGCCAGATTTCTTCCAAGATCACCCCAATCCTACTATCTCTAATCTCAGCTTGATTACGTTTGTCGATGATGACCTTGGCATCGCCTTCAAATCGCACCTCTTGGAACCCATTGGCCACACACCATAAGAGAGCCTCCCTGAGAACGAGTGCTTCCACCACCAGAGGATCATCAATAGCCTGAAACTGGACCCCTTCCACCCGGAAGACCCCCATATTGGAATCAAGAAGCACCATGCCGCCTGCAGAGTGAGACCCTGCCCTTGTAGCTCCATCCCACATACACACCAGCGAGGAGCCCTCCAGCCCCTCTGGAGGATGGACAATAGAGTGCCGTCGTACCTCATTCTTGTCAGCTGGCACCCGTTTCCACTCCTCACATTGCTGATGGAACTGACGCATCAAGGCAGGAAAATCAAACTGCTTGCCTTCGAAAGCCACCCAATTACGTGACTTCCAAACTCTCCAAAGCACTGCTACCACAGCCATAATCAGTTGAGGCTGATGAATTAAGGCAAACAACCTTTTGAGAAACAGCGGAAAGGTGTGACGCGGCAACCCTTGTCCCAGGTGTTCAAAATATAGTACTTGTTTGGATAGTTGGAGTCAAATCTCCATATTGTAAACCATTGAAAAATTCTAATTCTCTCAAATATTAAAAAAAATTAAATTTTCACTATTTAGTAATTCTGATTGTTAACATTCGATGAAAATGAAAATTCTATTTTTTTGACAAATGACATGTTCAGCCTTAAACAAAAGAACCAAAGTGACTTAAAAACTCTTGTGAATTTATTAATAAGGGTATCTGATAGGATAAATATAATGAATAGATAAAATAGGAGAACAAAAATTTCACAAATCAAAATATAAAATCCCTCTAAGATTATATTTTTTTTTATGTCACTCATCACATTTTGAAAAAAGTGAAAAAGACTAACCTCCTCCTTTAAAGTGAATCTCTTTTCTATTATCAACAAAAATGAAAATTGAATATATTTTATATATCCTCCACTCATAAGCAAACATGGCTCATCAACTGCTTCACTTTGTGTTTGGCTTGATTTCACCTTTTTATTCTCTTCATTATGCTCAAATTATATTTAATTATCCAGCATCGCTAAACAAATCATTATGTCCCTAACTCCCTAGACATAATATCTTATTTTATATTAAAGTTTGTAATTATTTGTTCCATAAAGTTAAGGTACATGCTCATAATGTATCATAAAAAAATATTTACACAAAATTATAGGTACAAACTGAATTTATATAATAAAATTAAAGGGATGAATTCTATTTTTTCATAAAATTTTAAAAATAAAATAACAGTACTTATATAAGCATAATAGCATAATTTTTGTCATTATTAATCTTTTCTCTTCTCAGATGTACAAGGTTGAAGATTCCTTACCAAAAAGTTTCAACATGACAGGTCACTTGTTGCCAAATTTACAAAACTAACTAATACGCGCAAACAAATAATTATTCTACCGAAAACACCATTAAAAGTTTCTAACCACAGCACACGCAATGAGGGGGTAATTATCCTAACCGGTCCCATAACTTCAGAAATCCTATGAAATGGCCATGTAGCGTTTTTTTTTCTTCCACAAAATGGAATTATAATTTTAAAAAGTTATCATAATATGGTCATAGGTCACTGGCTCACTGCAGACTTCGGCGGATCGTTATCAATTTTTTTTTTGCCTATTTTAAAAAATAGACCATTGGTTGTCTATCGTTACGGTGGGTAAGTTTCAGTGCTTAGACAAAACTTAAGTTTTTTGTTCTTGAATATTTTGATGATATGAGAAGTTGAAGTGACAAATTTAAGGAAATTTTGTATAGAGATTATTGGAGATGGCAATAAGTGGTCATTTTACACCACAATTTTTGGGGGAAAAAATAAAAGCTATGGCATCATTTTGTGAATAATGTAAATGTGATATGACCATTTTGATAATTATCCACTCAATCACGGTCTCCAAGAATATAATAATATTAATAAGCCGCTCTAGCCCTTCCACTAGCCCCAAAACAAGGAACACATACCAAAAAATAGTCTTTTACTTACTGAACCAACTCCCAAAAGCTCAGGAAAAAAAATTCCCCCAATTTACTACAAACCACCGCCCTCCCGCCCGCCGCCGTGAACAACCGCCGTTCCGCTATGGATCCCGCCAAGTACGGCGGGAAGCGGCCGTTGGACATAGAGCAGATGCCGGAAACCCCGCAGCGGGGCTACCACCACCGCCGGGCGCACTCCGACACCTCCTTCCGCTTCGACGACCTACTCCTATTCGACCCTTCCGACCTCGACCTATCTTCCCTTGACCTACCGACTCCAACTCCGCCGCGCCGCGGCGCTCCGATGGCGATCGATTCGCCGCCGCTCTCCGAGGACTCCACGTCCACCGGTCCCGCACCGCCGCCCAATCCGAGGGCCAAGCCAATCAACCACCTCCGCAGCCTGTCCGTCGACTCGGACTTCTTCGACGGGTTTGCTTTGGGTTCCGGCTACGGAGATGAGAAGCTTGGCGGCAAAGGGATGGGGATTGGAGCAGGAGGCGGAGGCGGAGGCGGAGGAGAGAGGAGGGTTCACCACAGGCATAGCAACTCCATGGACGGTTCGAGTTGTTCGGCGTCGTTTGAAGGGGATTCTTATCTTATGACTGATGATGGTATTAAGAAGTCCATGGCGCCGGACAGGCTGGCCGAGCTCGCTCTGATTGATCCCAAGAGAGCTAAAAGGTTGGTCGATTTTTTTTTATTTGTTTTCTGTTCAGCTCCAATTGTTTGCCTTCGTGTACTGTTAGGGTTTCATTTCCTTGTTTTGAATCTGAGTATCTGAGTGTTTTTTTGCTGTTGGGTAGGATTCTTGCGAATAGGCAATCTGCTGCAAGGTCAAAGGAGAGGAAGACCCGGTATACCAGTGAGCTGGAGAGGAAGGTTCATACTCTGCAAACGGAAGCTACCACCCTCTCTGCGCAGGTCACAGTGCTACAGGTACGTCGGGGAAAAAAAGTTGTCTGCTTTAATGGTGCTTGGTGTCTTGCTTCTGTGTCTGTAGTGTTTTTAGCTGTTTGTGTTGAGCTCTGAAGTTCTTTAAGAGTTTCTACTTGAGTTCGGCCTGTTCTTCGTGGGTCGGTTAGCTTAATGGTGGAACTCTACTTACTAGCATAGTTTGCTGCCTTTGTAGATGATGATATAGTTTGGTCCTTTGTAGTGACCGGTTTTCCTTTTTCGTACTTGACACTTTATATTGAAGCTTGTTGCTGCTATGGTCATAGGATAGGTTAACATGTATGAATCTCATGGCATTCCACCGTGTCACTAAGTATAGTTGTTGCACTGGATGCTTTGAGTTCCAGGGAGAGAAAGGGGATTGCCTTTGCTTTTCCTGCTTTCTATTAAGATGCTTTTAGTTAACGATGTTGAGAATAAGTTCTGAAGTCAATTCTATCTCCTGGAAGTAGGTCAAGTCTGCGTCTTGTTCATTCTGTTCGTTTTGTTAGGTTTTCGTAATCAGTCAATATGCTGCTGCTGTTCAGTTCTATGCATTGCATGCCATTGTTTAATATTGTGAAACTGTCCCACGTCTGCTGTTTGGTTCTTAGTTTCTTGTCATCTAAACAATTATATTACAAAGTCCCTGATAGTAATATATTTTAAAGCTGTTTTGTGGTCTTGTATCTTAAATTATCACCATTATGGCACCAAATACTATTCATGTTTGGATGTGTACTGTCCAGTGTCCATTTTCTTTGAGACAAGAGACCAAATGAAGCTCATTCTTCAGTTAACTGTGTCATTCTGTTGTGCATCGTCATTTGTTTCTCTTGATGATCCAGGATTTGCATCCCCTCTTTTTTGTTGAAAAGCAAAACAGATTTATTGGTCCATCATGATATATTGAAATTGGTTGAAATACGTAAAGCAGGTGTCTAAAAAAAATATTCGTTTACCAGAACTAAACTAATATTTTATGGAATGATTCAGATTGCATTGTAGTATATAACCCCGGCTTAAAGGTTTTAGTGTAAAAAATGTCACAATGCCCGACATCTCCATAAAGATGCTCAATTACTCTGGTTCCTGAGTCATGTACATTGACATTCACCAAAGTTGAACAGGCAGCTATGGTAAATTATCATGTGGGATTGGAAATAGGAAACCTGTCATTGGTAAAACCAGTTAATGATTTTGTTATCTTGGAAGGTCTTGGGGAAAACTGTTTAAAGATTGAAAAAAAAAAACTAAGGCTCCATTCCCTTCCAGTTGACGTCTATCAGTCACTTTTTCTGTTATATTCCAAAAGGTCCTGGACTTCATCTCTTTTGGAGGAATCTGTATGTGTCAATCAGCATGAGCTGAAGCTTCTTGCTTGCACTTCACTTTCAGTTTCTCGTTCTCTAGACTTGTATATCTTCAGCGATGCATTTTTTTATCATTAAGTTTATTAGGGACATAGGGTGTGTTGAAAGCCTTTACAGATTGTCTTGGGTGAATAATTTGTACTTTCTTCATGCTTATTGGTGAACTCCTTTGTGGTTTATGTCTATAATCACCTGCATCGCGCTGAGAATTGGAAAGCGTTGTTGATACTACATGCTGTTTGGTGCGCACAAAACTTTAAGGATTTGCTCTTCAGCTATAGTATGGTCATAGTGTCACTTTACTATGTCAGAAAGTTACACTGGTTGATTCTAGCAATTAAACAGTTTTAGGTGATCCAATAGCTATTTGGGTTTCTTGTCCCAACAGGGAAAAGATTATTGTTTTCACCTCAATGCTGTTCTAGAGTTTGTATCGGTTCAAATTTCCTCGTCTGAGAGCCTGTCACTGTTTGGCTAAACTACAGGTCGTTTGCACTGAACTGTTGAATGTTTTTTTCTGTATCCCCCCCCCCCCCCCCCCCCCCCCCCCAAAAAAAACCCCTTTTACACACTGTCACTTTACATTAATTGAAAAACACTCCAAAGTATGTGTTTCACTGAGCTCCCAAGTGTTAGAGCCTTTCTAGGTTTGTTTTTATTTTTTGGCATCGCAGTTAATTAGCTCTATACCCTAATCCATGGACAACTTTGTTGATGATGGGTTCTAGAAGCATGATTAGTTGCTGTTTCTTGGTTGCAGAGGGATACTTCTGGATTGACTACCGAGAACAAAGAATTGAAACTGCGGCTGCAAGCTTTGGAACAACAAGCGCACCTTAGAGATGGTGAGCATATCACCAGGAACTATATGCTTCTAGTTTTATAGAGCATTTCTCGTTTTTTTCATTTCTCGTTTTCTTCGAATGAAGCTCTGCATGAAAATCTGTATCCAGTAACACTTGTTTGCTCAAATGGCAGCTCTGAATGAAGCACTGAGGGAGGAAGTGCAGCGCCTGAAGATAACAGCAAGTCAAATGCCAAATGGAAACCCTTACCATCGAGGTCTGGCACCCCAATTTCCACCTCATCAGCAGCCAGCATTTCCCGGTGGGTTCAACAGCAGTAACCAAACCCAGCAGCAGCAACAGCAACAGGGTCTTCCACCACAGTCACCTCCGAACAATGGGGCAACCCGCCCTAGCTTCTCGAGCTTCAGCAGCCAGAGGGTGTAGTTGGACTCTGCCGAAGAAAACCTCCCATATGGATTCAACTCTGATATGGATTTGGAATCCAAACATTTTACTACATTAGAGTTAATCAAATTCAATACCACAGAGAGAGTTAGTAGCGTCCTGTATATGCCAATGCCAGAGTATGTACATATAAATGCAGCAGGGGGTCAAAGTTATCAAAGTTTGGGGGGAATTATTATAAGGCGTTTTTACTTGTCACATCAGATACAGCTGCTGTCTTAAGTCATTTGGCACTTCATGGTGTTTGATTAACCAATTATCATCCTGTAATTTATGTATTTGTAGAAAGTCTAGTTAGTGGCATATCTTCTTGTGATCTTATAGTGCCGATGGTGTTATTTTTATAAAAAAATATTGTTGCCTGCGTCAAACAGTTTGTGTTATTTTATTTACGTGATTTCTCTTACTTGAGCAGTAAGTAAATAGTCTACGGTCGGAGGCGATTAGGTTTTCGTATTATTGAATCAAAGCCCTAACCTCTACGTACAAGACGTATATATATAACTACTCTACCTATTCCCCAAGCAACCAAAATGACAGGGGGAACAAAGTCCAAACTCAAAACTAGAATTATCTCTTACTCTACCAAGTAACAACCACCTAAAATTGACGGAGTTCTTGCACCATCAAGTTAGAAACCAATGTCGACTTATAGGAGATGATTTGTTCGATGTTCCGAAGTAGCATGATGCACAACACCATCGCGACCCAAATCTTGAACATAATGGACAATGCACCCAAAGTGTTTGGTCTGATTGTGCAAGATATGATTGGTGGCAATCCGAATGACACTAGTGTTGTCCACAAATAATCCATAGGAAGAGGACACGGTACCCCCCTTCCCCCCCCCCCCCCCCCTAACCCAACAAGAGACAATGAAGTCATTCGAGCTTAGAAGTCGCTTCTGACATGGCTATGTACTCAACCTATGTGGATGTTTTGGAGACCCGGTCCTGATTCTTATACCTCTATGAAATGAACGAATTCCCAACCCAAATACACCACCCTTTAGTTGATATACGAGTATAAATACATACTGCATAATCAGAGTCCAAGAAAGCTTGCAAAGCCAAAGAGGACCCATCGAAAGACAACAATAAGCCAACATGGTGTGTACCTTGTAAGTACTGAAGTATACGATGGACGAGCGTAAATCGGACATATGTAATGTAGGACTGATCATGAACCGACTCACGAGTTGAATGACATAAGAAATATCAGGATGGTCAAGTAGATCAAACTTCCAACCACTCTCTGATAGTGACTAGTGTCCACCAATGGTTGACCAGTGTCGCGACCAAGCTTGAGATGGAGCTCCATAAGGTTTGCACTGGTGTACATTCATCAAATTGTGCAGTGACAAGTAAGTCAACGATATACTCACTCTACCAAAGTAAGATACCTTTGGATAACGCTCGATCTCAATCCCAAGAAAATAGGAGAGCAATCTGAGTTGTTTGATACAAAATGCAGCATGAAACCAAAAGTAAGACAATTAATATGAGCTTCATCATCACCAGTGACCACCATATCATCCACGTATATCAAAAGTGCAACGAGACCACGTCCCAAACTCATTGTAAAAAGAGAAGGGTCGTTCGAACTCCACTGGAAACCAAGCTCCATGATTGTATTTTGAAATTACCAAACCACGCTCATGGAGCTTATTTCAAACTAGATAACGATCGATGAAAAATAAAAACTTGATTCTCATCCCCGATTATACGTCATGCGTGCTGCTCCATGTACGCAACCTCCTTAAGATCACCATGTTGAAACAAATTTTTTACAACGAGTTGATACAGGGGCCACTTGCGAACAAGGGAGAACAACTAATAAGGTCTTCCCTTCCGTTATCGTCGAGCTCATCGCTGACACGAAGATCTCCCGAATCTTTGCCTGCAGTACCCCCGCAGGTTTTGCTACGCTCAACCCCCCTTCAGATAGAAGATTCTGGGCGAGGAGCGAGAAGGGAGAAGAACGAAAGGCAGAAGGTGAAAGGGATATGGCGAGAGGAGAGAGCCAAGAGGAGAAGAATCATTTTTGTACCTTATGTTTAGTTAAAAATTTCCACCTCAGATAGTCAGGTTGACGTTGACTAGTTTTTCAGTTAAATACAACGGTCAAACTAACAGAAAAAAATAAAATGATAGACAAATGATATACCAAGATTACGTCATATAAATGACACTTTCGTTAAAAATTAGTATTTTTGGTGGTATTAGACTATTTGCCAATAAATTATAATAAAACTTGGCTATTCTCAATTCCCGATCCAAGAGATAAGGCCTGTCCCCATACAACACGTGATTCCCCCCGTACCTTCACCTACCCAATCAGCGCAGCGCACGCTGTCCCAAACGGTGTCGTATCGGATAGTAAGTGCAAACGGACGCGGAGAGTCCCGCGCGGCGCGCGGCCGCCTTTCTTGAGACCGTCCGAACGTCGACCACCGTCTTCAACTTGTTCTGTGTTCCTCCCAAAAATCTCATTTTCCACGTATTGTTGACTCATGCTAGACCATAAATTAATTACTTTCAATAATTCGAAAAGTTAGGAGATATTCAATTGTTAATCATATACAAATTATATCTGATTTTTGGGAATTTGTAATGAGAAAGAATTAAAATTTAAAAGAATTGATTCACGGCGACATATACATAATTAAATATTTCGTTTCGACGAGCCACCGCCACTTCCAGTTCTCCACAGCTCCTATTTCGTTCCAGTACTATTTATAGTAAAATCCGATCTAGTTTCTCAATCGGCTCTTTGCCTCTGCCTCCTTCCCCTGCTTCCCATTTCCTCCAGATTCCAGGAGCTGAGCGCCGCCGCTGCCGCATCGGAAAAACCGATCGAAACCCGCCATGGAGGTTCAGGCAGTGATGACCCCGACGGCTCCGCATCTAAACGGCTTGAAGGGCGACTTCGATCCCGTCGCCATCGTGCGTGCGGAGCCGCTTCCTCCCGTCGTCGCTGCGGAGAACGGCGTCCACGACGACGCCGGCGGCGCGAAGCAGAAGGAGATCGTGCTGGGGAGAAATGTGCACACGGCGTGCCTGGAGGTCACGGAGCCCGACGCTAACGACGATTTCACCGGAGACAAAGACGCCTACATGGCCGGCGTCCTTGCCCGCTACAGAAACAACTTGCTCGAGCGGACTAAGCATCATCTAGGTAATTGAATGGATCAAGTTTAGATCTTTTTTGTCTTCTTTTTTTTGTACCCTTATCGTGCTAATTAGGAATTGGTTGTTTTTGTTCGTTCTACTTCTAGCTGGTATTCGGATTTTACTGGGTTGAGCCTTTGAATGTTGAAAGTATCGATCCTTTTTTAGTTTCATAACTGTTGCTCAAGCTGATATTCTATAGATCAGCCTGATTCGCCTAGAAAGCTAGTTTCTGCTGGCAGTTAGAAGATGGTCACAGATGGTGAATTCGAAGACTGCAACAGAGGCGCATACATGTTTGATAATCCCTTTTGGCTTGGAAATCTAAGTCACTAAGTGTTGTAGTCCAAGAATTGAACTTTTTCTCAACTTACTGCCCAAGTGTTTCTGTGCCCTGAAGATGAAATCAATAACTGTGTTTGTTGCTGTAATAGTAGTAGTGTTGGACTTGATTCATTAGAGCTCTAAACTCATGTCATAGTTCATGTCGAGTTTTGGCCTTTTTTCTTGTTATATTCATTTGAGGGTAATCTGTAGTTAGCGGAGTGTGTTGCGAAATGGATTTTGGTAACCATGAAGGTGATGGATCCTGATTTGTTGTGCTATGCTGCAGGTTATCCTTATAATTTGGACTTTGATTATGGTGCTCTGTCGCAATTGCAACATTTCTCCATCAACAATCTTGGGGATCCATTTATCGAGAGCAACTACGGTGTTCATTCACGACAGTTTGAAGTTGGCGTCTTGGACTGGTTTGCTCGGTTATGGGAGATAGAGAGAGATGAGTACTGGGGTTACATAACCAATTGTGGCACGGAGGGCAATCTTCATGGGATTCTAATGGGGTTAGTGTGTCTTGTTACTTGATGGCGTTTCATGATTTTAGGACAAACTATTTGATCAAGAGTTAATGTGAAAGTAACAAATTTTGATCGTGCAGGAGGGAAGTATTTCCTGATGGCATTTTGTATGCCTCCCGTGAGTCACACTATTCCGTGTTCAAGGCAGCCCGTATGTACCGAATGGAATGTGTCAAGGTAGACTGTTTGACATCCGGTGAAATTGATTGTTTGGATTTGAAAAAACAACTGCTTGCCAACAAAGACAAGCCAGCCATCCTGAATGTCAACATAGGTATCAAGCCTCTATTGCTATACATTCGATTTTCTCTCTCGTGCAGTTGTGCTCTCATTTGCAGGCAAACCTGCACTTGTTTACAACCATCCCACATTGTCTCATCGGTGTTGGGATTATCCCCATGGCAGGAACAACTGTAAAAGGAGCAGTTGACGACCTCGACCTTGTAATAAAGACCCTTGAAGATAATGGGTTTCCACAGGATCGGTTCTACATTCATTGTGATGGAGCTTTGTTTGGACTCATGATGCCTTTTGTGAAACGGGTAAATGATATGATTTTCTTCTCTCTATCTGTGCTTATAGAATGATCTCTGGCAAGCATGTTGGAGGTGGGGGAGATAATAGGTTTAGCTCATTCCTTATTTCCTTTTCTCTTTTGAAGTCATGAATAAGTGTTTCAAGGAGTTTGACTGAAGAAATGAGTTTATTTCAGCAAAATCACTAAGTAACCCTTCTTTGTAAAGCTGAAACTAACACACCCTTGGTTTTGTGCAGGCACCGAAGGTCAGCTTCAAGAAACCGATTGGCAGTGTCAGCGTCTCGGGACACAAATTCGTCGGGTGCCCAATGCCATGCGGCGTCCAGCTCACTAGAATGTCCCACATCAAGGTCCTCTCCAGCAACGTCGAGTACCTTGCATCACGAGACGCCACAATCATGGGGAGCCGGAACGGCCACGCACCAATCTTCCTGTGGTACACCCTGAACAAGAAGGGCTACAAGGGGTTCCAGAAGGAGGTCCAGAAGTGCCTCCGCAACGCCCACTACTTGAAGGACAAGCTGCGCGATGCAGGGATCAGCGCCATGCTGAACGAGCTCAGCAGCACGGTCGTGTTCGAACGACCCCACGACGAGGAGTTTGTTCGCAGGTGGCAGCTCGCGTGCCAGGGTAACATTGCTCACGTGGTGGTGATGCCGAACGTCACCATCGAGAAGCTGGACGGGTTTCTGGAGGAGCTGGTGGAGAAGAGGAAGGTGTGGTACACAGGTAGTGGCGTCGGGGAGGGAGTGGCGGCGTCGCCGCCTTGTGTTGCGGTTGATATTGGGAGTGAGAACTGTGATTGTGGTTTGCACAAGTGAGAGTTGAAAGAGAGAGGATTGGATGTTTTGGTTTAGGGAAAGAACTTGTGTGTTTGTCTCTTGGTTTCATTAGGGTAACTTGTATTTGTACGCCTAGAATAATTATTCTTTCCTAGTTACTTATAAGGGTTTCCCATTCGAAGGAACTTTTCAACTGGCAATCCTTTGTTAACTGATGGTTGAGTTATTTGGAAGATCTAGTGTATAGTGGCGAATAGGAGCAAATGGTAGCCTGAGAAATACCCCGCCGGACATCCGTTGAGACCCCTAACCAACTCAACAAATACTACCTCAGCATAGGAGTGCTAAAGTGTCAAGCCGCTCACGAGTTGTTCAATGTTCGCCACTCGGCTCGTTAGTAACAAGCTGAGTTTGAACTAAGTCTTGTTTGCTTTGTAAGGCTCGTGAGTCAGTTCAATTTGGTGACAGGTTGAGCTTAATTCATGAACTAGTTTGTTTTGAGCTGGCTCAACAATTTGGCTAGCAAGCCACCTTAACTAGTAACTTATGAGCAAATCGGTTAATAGTTTATCACAGGCAAATGTTCCATGTTCATTGAGAGTGGAAGACAGGAAGAGCCATCCAGGGTGGTGCCAAAAGCTTGATGAACACCAAACCTTCTTTTTTTTTTTTTTTGTCAAAAGATATCATATATTGATCAAAATCATAGACAATTACACCTTGGAACCCAGCCAGGTCTGGAAATCAAAAAAACGACTCATAGTCGGATACAAAGAGAGAGCTTTCCTAGCTACCAAATGAGCTACCCTATTGTTATCCCGACCTACAAAACGCACACTAAAACCAGGCTGAGTACGAAAATAATGAACAATCTCTTCCAGAACTGCACCCAACCGGCTATCTCTTGTATCGGCTTGATTAATTTTGTCAATAATCACCTTCGCATCGCCCTCAAAACGGACCGCCGACAAATCTTGCTCCACGCACCAAATAAGATATACGGCCCATTCAAGATTCCCCAGCCCAGCCCAACCTAATCCAACCAAACACCAGCTCAGCAGGCAGCGCCACTGACACAAAGCTGTAGTACAGCAGAAAGCTCCCCACCTAAATCTTTCCCCCAATCCAATTCCAAACACGCACCAAAGACAAGATACCCGAAAATTATATTACCCAATAAATAATTAACAAAATAAAAATTAAAAAAAAAAGTTCTTCCTTCCTTCTCTTGCAGCTGAGCCGACAGATAGAAGCCCTGGAAGTCTAACGCACACCCAATTCAATTCATTTTCCCCCATCTCCTCCGCCTTCCACTTCTCCGATTCCCTCCGCCGCCGCCAAAATGGACGAATCTCCGATGAACAACCTCCCACAGGAAACGCTCCACCAGATCTTCTCCTCCCTCACCCTCCGCGAAATCGTCGCCTGCCGATCCGTCTGCAGATCCTTCCGCCAAACCCTCACTTCCCCTTCCTTCATCTCCCTCCTCCTCTCTTCCAAACCTCCCCTCTCTCTCATCGCCCTCCGCCCTCCTCCCCACCTCCACCACCGCCACCACCACTCCCTCCTTCCTCCTCCTCCTCAGCCTTCTTTCCCCGCCTTCGACCCCACCGGCCGCCGCTGGCTCCGCTTCGACCTCTCCTTCCTCCCCTTCCGCTCCCTCCACCCCGTCGCTTCCGCCGCCGGCCTAGTCTACTTATGGGCCTCCGATCCCTTCCCCGACCTCACGGCTTCTCCCCCTTCCAACAGCAACAAATCCCTCCTCGCTTGCAACCCTTTGACTCGCCAGTTCAAGGTCCTCCCCCAGCTCGGCTCCGCCTGGTCCCGCCACGGCGCCGTCCTGGTTGACTACGACAACCGCGTCATGGTCCTGATGGAGCCCGCCGCCCTGTACCTGCCCGATATCGCCGCCGATTCATGGGTAACTTTCGCTTCCAATCTCCCTGCGAAACCTAGGAGCCCTGTTTTGATCTCCAGCTCTGTTTTCGCCCTGTGCGATGTTGGCTCCCCGTGGCGATCTCAGTGGAAATTGTTCACATGTACTTTGAATTTGAATAATTCGGTTCCAGTTCATGAGCAATTGGGTGTTGGTAGTGGGAGTGGGGTGTTCTCTTCGTGTTCCTCGAATCATAACAACTGGGTTTGCTTGGAGAAGCATGAATGGGCGGATATATTCGATCTCATCAAGCGGCCTCGTTTGGTGCGTGGGGATGGGAACAAGCTGCTGATGATTGGTGGGTTGAAGTCGACCTTCTCGTTGAACCCGTCTTGCTCGACCATGCTGATACTTAGGCTGGATTTGGAGAAGTTGGAGTGGGAGGAAGCTGGGAGGATGCCGCTGGAGATGTACAGGTGTTTTCTCGAATCCAGCAAGTTGAAGGTGTTTGGTGGAGGGGACAGAGTTTGTTTCTCAGCCAAAAGGCTTGGGAAAATAGCGCTGTGGGATGATTCTGGAAGTGGGAAGGAAGGGGAAGGAGAAGGGGCGGCGTGGAGATGGATCGATGAAGTGCCTGGTGGTGGAGATGGGATTTCCAGAGGGTTTACTTACGATGCTCGGCTCACTGCATTGCCTTGATCGTTCGCGCGGTACGTGGTTCTGAATTCGAGAGATCTTTGTGTTTGGTTATGTTTGTATCTTTTTCTCTTGCTATCCCTTCCCGAGTTTTGGAGGGGAGCTTTTTATTACCACCACATAGTGGTTTTGTGTTTCTCTGTTGTTTGATCTGGTTGTGCATTGATTCTCTCAAGGAATTCAAGCTTGAGCTTTTCGCATAATGTGAAGTGTTCATGTAATCGGTATGCCATGGCATCAGCAGGCATTCAATTGGTATACGGGTTGAAGATTTGGTTTGCATAGTTGGATTAGACTTCATACAGTGATTGTGAAGATTGATGAGTTGTGTGTGAAGGTCGAACTCGTTCGTATTATCGAATGAAAGTTTTAAGATTTGTTTTGGGTAATTGGATTGGAGTGATTGCAGTGTCAAATGCGGTTTGTATTATCGAATGAAAGATCTTCATGATGATTTGAAACTCTTATTGTGAATCGATATGCCGCCTCCATCTGCCAATGTGGTCAGGAAATGCTGCTGCATCTTGTGTTGGTAAATGTCCTTGTGTAGTAGTTTCCAGCATTGAACATGAAGGTTGCTCCTTCTAAGGTAATTGTCGATGTACTCCTGCAATATAACATTCCTTTTATGGGTTTTTCATGAGTGCATTATGTGCTGCTGCCTGCTGCCAGACTTCCGCCAACTAGTTCGATTAGGTACTTGAGATTCCCTAGAATAATGGTGTGGTTGGAGGAAAGACTTTCAGAACACATTATAGTTTCCATAACTCCATAAATATGCCGAGGATGATTATTGGAAGAAGAAAAAAATGATCTTAACCACAAGAAAAGAGTTCTTTGAAATGGAAGAAATTAAGCAAAGATAAACCAACTCACGCAAATATATTCTTGTTTGAATGTCCACATATTATTTGAGTTTGTTTGAATGTCCCGTTAAGCACCATTAGATCATTTAAGGTCTTACCTCTTGGTGATGAGATTCTTACTACTTGGGACTACCTTTGAGCCAAATTGCTATGATGAATGGATTTTCATTATGGTTTGTTATTGATAATTAAAATTTTGCTAAACTCGCAACGATGGATACCAAGACTTTACGGTTTATTCCACTGGTCTCAACGTCGTTGGATCCATTGCGCTTCCCACAACCTTGCAAACCTGGCCACACTTGTTTAATGGCTGGCATGGATAGTCCCACAACCTTGTTCTCCACTAAACAACGTCGATTTTTAGTACCGCGGTTGATTTCCACTAAACAACGACTGTGATCTGCAATAATTATTATAATTAATTAATTATATTAGCTTTTTGAAATCAATTAAATGCAAAGACTCGACATAATTTAAACCCAAACAGAATAAAGAGTCCGAGTAGCTTCTCTTCCTTCCTTGCCTAACAAGGTTTCCTTCCTCACCAGGAACCCCAATTTCACCAAAACCTTTTCAGTGAAGGAACGGACTCTGGAATTCCTCTCTACATAAACTTTGTTCTCTCCAGTAGTGATGTGGCCGCTCCATGAATAGATAGCCCTACCCATCTATCAGCTCGCATCAACATCTTCAGCAACACACAACAAACAAATCCATCAGCTCACGAACATGGTTCCTCAAACATGGTAAGATATGGACTTCCTCGTTGATTGTTCTGTGTTGCGCTCACTTTTTTGGATGCATTCAATGCACTCGTTTCATAATTGTCACTCTCAACAGCAGATATCATGTCAAAATGATGTCAATCGTTACTTGCAACGGCGGATCCAGGGGTGCCGCGACCCAGCCCTCCTCTGGATCAAAACTAGTATAGCAATTGTAAATTTTTTATTTTCAGTATTCGTTTAAGTGTTCGTCGACCTACGGCCCAGCCTACTCTGCCTCTTTTTAAAATGTGGTCCAGTGCTCTACCCAGTCCTGGATCCGCCGCTGGTTACTTGTGATATGATGGACAAGAAAACACATGAATTTTTACAAAAAAATCATTCAAAATTTACTTTTGAAGGTTTTAGGATTTTGGAGATTTAGGGTTAGGGTTTATTAGGGTTTACAGTTTTGGTTTGTGTTCAAAAAATTGAAGGTTTAGAGGTTAGGATAATGAATTGATTTGTTATGGTTATGTGTTATATCATCGTATTAGACTAATGCTATCCATTAAAATTCGAAAATTCAGTATCTTTTACTCTACTTTTAGAGTTAGTGCACTAGACCCACTATATATATATATATATATATATATATATATATATATATATATATATATATATATATATATTATCTATCTTAACCCTAAAATTCGTTAATGCTCAAAGGTTCGACCCTCGCCAACAACAAATACAGTCTTGTGAATCCAAGATTGCTGTATTGAAGGCAGAGATTGAAAGACTCGAAAAAGAGAAGCAAAGCTTGGAGAGTGAAATGACCAAAGACGCGAAGCTTCTGGCCACAATTCATGCACTCGTGGCCCACACTCGAGCATTGGTAGAGCAAGAAGCCGTCGATGACAAGCTCGAGGTTAAGAAGATGGAGGCGGCCCAAGCCCAACATCGGCAGCAAGCGGCGAGGACCGGTTTGGACTTGCTGCGGGCTCCACTGTCCTACATTGCCAAACGCCTCAACGGCTAAGAAAGCTCATCAGCACTTTTATTTTACTTCCAGTGCAGGTTCTTGCTTTCGAACTGAGTTTGATGAACTTCTGCAATGTAATATTTCCCTTTGTGGGTTTTGCTCTTATTGGAGAGGGTTGTCAACTTTTTTATGAGCTGTGAGAACTTTCCACAGGTCAAATACGACCATCTTCTTAATTACTAACCTCCTACTTTACAGCAAGTTAGTATGAAGTTCAGATACAATATACAAGTGCTAAACATTGCTAAGTAACCATGAAACTTTAAAAGTAGCAGTCATACTAACATCATCCTCTAAGGTGCTAATGGTGTTTCATGTAGATGTACCAATTATGTTGTAGTTCAAGTGATTAAAGTGTTTGAAGACACGGGCTTCACACTTACAGAGAAAAAAAAAATTCTCTTTATGTGACACATAAGAAACGAGCCTAAGTTCCTTGTGGGAACATGTGATCCACAAGTTTCTCTTCTTTTTTTTTTTTTCACCATGAGGAGACCTAGTGTTCGATAAAAACAGCCAAATGTTGTAAAAAAAAAAGAGAGAAATTATTGTGTTGACATTGAGGGAGCTACAACAATGTGGCGAGATATGCTAGTTATAGATGTGGTAACAGAAGGAGGGCTTTCGGTATGTTAACGAACATGGCGACCATTGCCCTGCGTCACACAATTGGTAATGACAGCCTGACAAAGTAAACTTGGGCACAAGATGTGTGTTAGGCCCTTTAATCGAATATATATGTATATTTTGTTTGGTCCATTATGTTAGTTTCCTTGACTCGACATAGAGTTGAGCATAGATGTTGTCATGTCTTCTCTTATCACGTTTATGTCGTATACAATTATGTTGGTGTTGGTGTCGGTGTCTATGCTTATGTGTATGTGGCTCAAACTCAAACACTCTAAAGTTAATGCACTAATATGATACTGCTATGTTAGAAGAATGTTAATCATCCATATTGTCATACCTAGGGGTTAGAAATGACAATTGGTTACTCATTGAGTAATTTGAACTAATTTTCATAATCCATATTAGTATTGGGTCAATCCAAATGAGCTCATATGCACTACTAATGTTTTGAATTTGGGTTGGGTTGGGTTTGAATTGAGTCCATTTTTCTTTATTTTCCACCAAATAATTCCCGTTAAGCATCATTACTTAACTTCCACATGTGTTATTATAAATTATTGAAATGTCCCGTTAAGCATCATTAGTTCTTTTAAGGTCTTATCTCTTGGTGATGAGATTCTTACCGCTTGGGACTACCTTTGAGCTTTAAGCCAAATTCCTATGATGAACCGATTTCATTATGGGTTGTTACGTATATACTTTTGCTCAAGTGATCACTATTTATAAGGATCCGTTTCATCATCAAGTCTAACTAGTTGAAAAAAGTAAAAATAGAAGAAATGTAATATATATCCTAAGAAATTGAGATATAATGAGCCAAGAACGGGGCGGGCCAAGAGGAGGCAAAGCGGCTAAGAAGTAGACACTCATGCCTCGCCCACACTACTGCAGATCGAGTGATACACACTCCATCACGAATCAGGTCGGGTAATACTTATCAGGACGAGTTTAAATTGCCATCTCTAAATTATACCTGATCTCCAGTTCTCAGATTCTTAGTGTTATTTTTTCTTCATGTTCCCACAATGGAGATGGTGCATCTTACTGTAGGACTTTAGAAAAATATGATGCTCCAAATCTAAAAACTTTCTATTTAATTATGACTGTAAGGAAAGTCAACTTCCAACAAAGGTAAGAAATAATTAGGTTACCGATATTAATGCTAATAATAATATTAGATATCGCTTTTTGTTATACCATATAGGAAAGATGATCATGGAGGATCTTCTCTATGAGGTATTTGGTTTCTTAAGCTCTCATTGGCCTAAAATTTGGGCAGTTTCCAGGCAGAGAGATCCTTGTGCTCGTATGACACGATTAAGAGACAACTTCACTTGGAGATTCCAAATGATCTTTAATTTGCCTACTCTAATTACTTAATTACTTGAGCTATTACTTATGTTAATCGAGTTTGATTGAACCCTTCTCATAATATTTTTATGCTAATAGAGTTTGGTTGGAGTGGTTAATTAAATTATCTACTATTTATCGATAAAAGTTCACTTGTCAAACATGCTCGACGTTACTGATGTTTCCTCAATCTCTTTTTTTTTTTTGACAATATGTTTCCTCGATCTCATCGTCCATTAAATTACTTTGTTTTTCAAATATAAATTGCGAAACAAAACATTAACACTAGAGACTTTAATAATGTAAAAGTAACATCAGGGACTCCGGTGTAATTTACAACACTTATATAATTAAATTCTCTACTATTCATCGTTAAAAGTCCACTTGTCAAACATGCTTGACGTTAACTGATGTTTCCTCGATTTCATCGCCCATAAAATTACTTTTTCCCAACTATAAATTGTGAAACAAAATATTAACGCCAGCGACTTTGATAATGTAAATTAACATCCGGGACTCCATTGTAATTTACAACACCAATATCACTTATCTCATGCAAAAAAAGACTAAATTACAGTTATCTGAAAGTTCAGCGGTAGGAAAGGTAGATACCTAAAGTTGCTGGACCTTATTATAATGTCTCCTAAATATTATATAAATAAGGAGCTACCGTATTTGCTAGAAAAATAAAAAATTATAAATATATCACTTATTAAAACATTTTCCTGATAATTTTATTTAATTATTATAGTTAATTTGAAATTAGTCTTTCATAAAAAATAAGAAGATAAGTATATATATATTTTCACGAAACACTTTGATAAATTATTAACTTCATAATTTTCTAACTCTAACTAGGTAAATAAAATACACGAGTACCAGGTACCTTTTGGTCATTTACCCCTAAAGATTAACAGAAAAAATATGACCCAATCCTATCCACTTTTATGGTCCTTTTTTATAATTTCTTATCTTTTTTTTTTTGCGCTAATATTTTGGTCATGAATCAGACGAAACTGCCCTTCCCTCCCTCCAAAATCCCCTTGCCTCTCTAACAGATTCCATCGCTACAGTCAAAGATACTCTCCCCTTTTCTTCTTCACACTATAAACTCCCGCTACCTTCCCTTGCCATACCTTCCTTCTCCCATGGCGGCAGCGGTGGTCAGAGTTCCGTGAATTCAAAGTCAAGAGGAGGTTCCCCCGTTTCTGTCGTCTTCTTGCTTTCTCTATCTTTCTATTTCCGTCTCCGGAAATGGATTTGACGGAAGGCGTCGGGGAGAGCAGTTCGCCGCCGAGGAGCTTCGGGAGTTTCGGCAATTATGATGTCAGGAACGACGTCTTCAATCGCCTGATTGAGAATGGCTACGACGAGGCCGTCTCCGAGCCCGACATCTTCCGCCTCCGCCTCGATGCGCATTTCAATCGCCTTTCTGCTAGGTATCTAATTTGTGTTTGCGCTCATGGCGGCAGCTTTTCCCTCGCCGTTCGCTTTCCTTCGTTGTTACTGGTAGATCTTTTTTCCCATTTTCTTGTGCATTTCTAGTCGCTGGATGATCGCTGCTTGAATCAGTTGGAGTTCGTTTGTTCGCTGCTTGCTAGTTTTGGTGATCATGTTTCTATTCCTTCTTAATCAGTTTTAGGGAGCTGTAGGCTTACTTCTCCGTTTGATCCTCGTGTCTAGTTGTAGATCTACCGGCAGGTTGTTCTTTTTGCACCAATGACGGCAAGAGTAGTTTATAACCACGGCTTAGAAGCAATTCCTTCTTTGAGGGGTATCTTATTGGACTGTAACTTTCGGATATGGAAAAGTGAATTGTTTCCTTTGCTTTGTAACTTTCTGGGCGTATCTTTCCTGGAACTGCTAAAGGAAACGATTCTTTGTCCCTGTAGGATTAAAAAAGTGGTGCATTCTCAGACCTTTTTAGAAATGTAGTTTCCTTTTGTTTATCATTTTCCCGAACGAGGTGGAGATTGCCTTTTGTTCAGTGATTTGTGTATATAATAGTAGTAGAATATGATTCCGAGCCTTTCCTTATAAGGGAGCTTTGATATCTTAATGTGGCTCCTTATGTGGTTTGATTGGTGTAATTTCAGTTATGGCCTTGACGTTAACATGGATAGAGTAGAGGATATTATGCTGCATCAAACACTCCTAGAAAAGGCAAAGGATCCGGAGGAGCGTCCTGTTTACCATGTCCGTTTCATGGAGGTATTACCTTCTGATTTCTTATGGTGGCCATCCATTTAAAACTGGTATGGCTACGCAAACCTCCTTTTTAATGAAGAACGAATCACTTTGTGACAAGCCAAGTGCAGTGAAACGACCATTCGTGAAGGCATTGCATTAGAGTTTAGTACTTGACTTAGAGTTTAGGTAGCGGAACAGAGGCATGCAGTGACATGAGTATTCAAGCTAGTACTTCCACCCCCCTAATGATAGATAGTGTGGTCTATGCCATTCTGAGGTTATACATATGTTAGCTGACGGGTTTAAGATGGTAATCTTATTCAGCTGACCATCAACTGTGAATACCAAAAAAGGAGAGGTTTCTATATATGTTAGTTGAATCAACAGCTCCAAGAAGGTATAGATTTTTGTTGCATAATGTCTTTGAAGCTGGGAAAGAGGTGCATCTTTGAGAGATTATTTAGCTGTGTTATCTGGTTCATGCTAATATTTTCCCCTTTGAATTGTTCCATAGAACCATGGTACACATGCAAATGGTAATGATGAGGAACATTATTCAGGCCCACTGACTACTTCAAGACTAGCAACAAGTGAAGAAGGCGCTCCATCGCACAAGAGGTATCTTTCTATTCTTAGGTGTATGGTTTTCTACAGATTTTGAATTTTTGAATGCATTGTCTTTTTATTCATTATTTATGTGATCAACCTCATTAGAGTCAGGGACGGAGTTGATTTTGAACCATGCTCTAAGCTCGGGGATCTGAATTTGGAGAAAACTTCCAAGGACATGGAGGATAGGTATCAGTCGGATAACCTATCAAGAAGGTACTTACATCATCATATTGTTTTTGTTTAAATTATTTAAATGCTGAGTTTGTAACTATTTTGTGATTCTCCTGTAAATCAGCACGACAATTTAATTGCGTCTTTCATGTAAAATGTTTTGGAACTGTTAACATTTCCCGTCCTGGATGAAATGTTAAGCTGCTTTAAAATTCAGGTAGTATTAACCAGAATGTATGGTTGAAACAGGAGAATAAGAATTGCTTGCTTAGCAGCCCCTTATTTTATATTTACTCTCTTAAGGTTGGGAAAGTAGGAAGGCAAAGTTCGATTCAAGATAGGTTCTATTCAATTACTATATATTTGGTAAAAGTTCCTGGTTCTCAAGTGCAGGCAAGAATTAGAACAGGCTCCAGTACATGAAGTAATTTTTTCTACAATCGATAAGCCGAAGCTACTTAGTCAGGTACGTCTGAATAATCAGTCTGGCACTCTCTGTGACTAGATTTTGGTACTGGTACTTTTTGCTAGACTTAATCTATAGTAGGAGAAATGGCAATGGAAAATAGAAGCTTTTTAAAACTCTGCTACCCTAATTCTTCCTTATTTGTTTTTATGAACAGATAAAGTAATAGCTATTGGCTCCAGTGCTACGTGCACATTATTTGGCATATTAGGAAACTTGATAGGCCTAGCTTTTTCTACCTTAAAGCTTTTCTTCAAAAGTAGCTTGGTGTAAAAGTTGGAGTGTTGTTGAAAATAAAAAATCTAATTTGAAGAAGAATATATTAATCAGGGGTTTCATGTGTTAGGAAAAGTTTGAGATTCGTGGCCTCTGATCCTTTGTTTTCATTATGTGCCTACTGTACATATGGATACTCTTGGTGAATTGTAGGAAATGTTGAGTCTGGGTTATGGAATTCATTTTGATGAGATCTTGTTTTGTTTTTGTTTTAGCTCTCAGCACTGCTTTCTGATATAGGACTGAACATCCGTGAGGCACATGTATTCTCGACAATTGATGGCTACTCTTTGGATGTATTTGTGGTAGATGGATGGCCAGTTGAGGTACCTGTCACTTCATTGTGGATATAGATTATATGGTTATTCTTTGACGCGCGAAAGAGGTTGAGGAAAGATGGAGGAATTTATCATAAAATTCTTTGTAGTCTCCTTCAAAAGTTTCTATGTGAAGATTTAGTTATTCTTTTTCTAAGAATCAATGGCTGTTTTTTTTAGCTTAGTATCATGTAAACTGAAAATGAAGTCAACTTTCATGCTTCTGTTTCCTTCGTCGTTAAATCTGGCCAATGGTCTATTTTTGAGGGACATTGTGATTAAATCTCTATGACAGGGATCTTTGCTGAGTCCAAATGTTGTTGACTTTGCAATGTTGTGGCCAGGATACAGATAGTTTGACTAAGGCATTGGGAAAAGCAATTGCTAGAAGTGAGGTAAACTCTCTCTCTCATTTGGTGTGTTTCCTTTCTTCCTTTTGTCTGTACACATTTCTTCTGCATTTATGTTTCGTAGTCTTCAGCTGTTATTTTATTTTTGGATAGTTCTGTTGTGGTAGTGTGTATATGGCGATGAGGGAGTTATGTTTGCTTTATTGAAGCCTTACCTAAGAGCTACGAAGAGTTTCTCATATGTCCTTTTTGAATTGTAATGCTAAATGTTCCTCATGGATCTTTACTGTCTGTAGTTGGTGAAATAAGTTGAAATTATTCTTTATCGAACTGAGAATTGTACCATCTTGAGTCTTGACCGGGTTTGATTGTAGAGTTCTGTCAATGTCCGTTGTCATTTGTCAATGAGCTGTATGTAGTCATCAACTACCATATTATTGTATATAACTTGCTTCACCATGTTTATTAGGGATGCTTTACAATCTTGACTTACCCGATTTTTTATGTGGCTTAGGGGTTGACATTGTGTAACCCTGTCTCCCTTGCTCACGGTCACGGGGCTAACATCCGCAGCTAAAAAACCTGTCCATGCAGGGTTCGTGGTCCGGTTCTTCGCATGGTCGCTCGGTTATAGGCAAAGAATTATCGAATGATGCAAAATATGGAGATTGGGAAATAGATAGAAGATTGCTGAAGATAGGAGAAAGAATTGCTTCTGGGTCTTGTGGGGATTTGTGAGTTCTTATTTTCAATGGTTGTACCTGTATCGTTCTGGGTAATCACTGTCTCTGACACTTTCTCATCATTTTCATCCATCTGTAGGTTTCGCGGAGTCTACATTGGTCAAGATGTTGCTATCAAGATTCTAAGAGCTGAGCATTTAAGCGCTTCACAAGAAGAAGAATTCTCTCAAGAAGTGTCAATTCTGAGGTATAATTTGTGATTTAGGGCTCTGCCATAGCCAAGGAGGTTGCTTAAGTAAAAAAATATGTTTAATCATTTCAAGTGTTTGCTTTCCTGTACTATGTCCTTTCTCTCCTTTCTCCTTGATGATGCTCTGTGCTTTCTGTTGATTTTAGGGAGGTCCAGCATATCAATGTTGTTCGTTTTGTTGGTGCATCTACCAGATCCCCGCACTTATGCATTGTAACAGGTAATAACTCCTGACATTGTGATTTTCCCCTCTTGTGATTTATGCTTCCCTATGCTGTATCCCTTACCCTTGCAATATAGTCAGGAAAAGTTATCTTATAACCATTTTCCATCTTTTTCTTCTTCTGATATTGTGGAAAAGGTTACCTTATTGTTCTTTCTGTTTGTTAGTTGATGCTTAATGATTTTCTGCTTTAATTTTTGAATTTGGTCGTTGCCGCCAAACAATTTTTTTTATGATGTATGGTCGTCCATTCTATGCTGTAGTTTTGTGACTTGAACTGATAGTTTGTTTCTCTACTGCCCAAAGAGTACATGCCTGGAGGAAGTTTGTATGATTACTTGCACGAGAACCACAAGACATTGAAGCTTCCTCAACTGCTCAAGTTCGCAATAGATGTTAGCAAAGGCATGGAATATTTGCATCAAAACAACATAATTCACAGGGACTTGAAGACGGCTAATTTGTTGATGGACACAGACAATGTAAGATCCGTGATGCTAATTTGTTATTTGAGGTTGAAGCGTTGCTTGCCCATCATACTGATACTTGAACCTGAAATCACCCTACACTTATACAAGATTCTTAGTTCATAAAAGACACTGCCACCATAAACCAACCATGCTGCAATAGGCAATATGCAATTTGGGAATTCTGCCATGAATTTCGGATGACACATGAGTGATAATTCTATACCCATTTATTGTAGGTTGCGTTTGTCCTGAATTAGTTAGTATGTAACTAGATATCTGACTGAAACTGTTTTGCTTCTTTACCCCTGCTTGCTTGCTTGTTTTCTTCTTTTTCCTTGATCATTATTTACTGCGTGGTTTTACTGTAACATTTCAAATTAATGGAATTTGGGAAAATTTTGTGCCTTGGTTGTGCTTGTTGCATTAATGTGTTTATTGGCAAGTTGGAGATAGTGATAGTGGTTCCAGATCCTGAGGTAAATTGAATCGTTATCATTTTTGTTCTCAAGGTTGTTAAGGTGGCAGATTTCGGGGTTGCCCGTTTCCAGAATCAAGGGGGAGTAATGACAGCGGAGACTGGTACATACAGATGGATGGCCCCTGAGGTTTAGAAACTTTGCCCTCTTGGTCATCTGAAATACTGGACATAAGTATCCTCTCAACTCCTTTTGTTGGGTTATCCGATTATGGATATCACATGGAGGACCTTATTCTGTGTCTACATCAGAACATCACTTTAACTTTGCCTGTCCATCAAGTGATGCTGTATCAATTCCATTGTGACAGGTTATAAACCACCAACCATACGATCAGAAAGCCGATGTCTTCAGTTTTGCTATTGTGCTGTGGGAGCTGGTGACTGCTAAGGTTCGCAATTTTGCATGCACTCAACAGTTGGTTTGTTTTCTTGTTGCTTACAGTTTCAAGATTATATCTTCATGTTGTGTAACTGTCAACAACAGGTGCCTTACGAGTCCATGACACCCCTGCAAGCTGCCCTGGGAGTTAGACAGGTGAACTTTGCCGTTTCCCTTCTGTATCCTATTTCTCTACTTCGTTCTTCCTTTGCTATTTTCCCTCGACATTTCAAGTGTATTTGGATCTTAATAGAGTATAGTGGAGTAGAATTTTTAAGATCAAAATTTCACCAGTTGTACATGTTTGCAGTGATGTTCATGGGTATGAAAAAGTTTCTAAAAAAGAGCAACCAGCGATTCTTTTCGTGTGTTTGCCTTTGGTTTCAGGGGCTGCGTCCAGAGCTTCCACAGAATATCCATCCGAAGTTGTTAGACATAATGCAGAGGTGTTGGGAGAAAGATCCGGACAAGCGGCCATCCTTCTCTGAGATAACTATTGAACTGGAAAAACTTGTCCAAGAAATCCAGGTACAAATTTCCTTGACCATTTCGGCTAATAAACGTAAATGTACAGCTTCAATCATCAGAAAATGAGTGAGATTGCTTTGCCTTGCCTTGATGGGAAGTGATTTACTGAACGCATGTCTCTCCGCATGCAGTTAGTTTGAGAAGCAGTTTTGTGGAGTAAATGGTTGTATACAAACTGACAGTTAAAAATACCACGGCACTGAAGGATAGTTGAGGAGAGAGAGACTACTACTACTACGATGTTAATTCCGGCACGTCGTCACAGTTCAACTTTCTAATGCTAGAGCTGTAAATGTTTCCGAGGATGGTGCACACTGCGGATGTAACCGTTACTATAGATGATGCTTATCTACCAAGGTCTAGTGCTTTTCTAGTATGTTGTTGCTTAACGCAAACGCTGAACTGTATAGGCTCTCGCTTGTTGTAGAAGTTCCGATCTCCAAAACTGTAGAGAGAAATTTTGTTGTTGTTGAGGTTAAGATTTGTTCGGTTCGGCCTAAGAATGATGATGATTGAACTTTTAGGATGGCTACTGGATACCTGTTTGAGATGATTGGTTCTTTGTTTTAGATGTCTGTTGTGATTTGTGAAGTTCTGTAGATTTGTTTTAAGATGGCTATTGGATGTTTGAGATGATTGGCTCAATGGAACCATCGTCAGCTTTTGCACCGTGTCACTACAATTACCGTCAATGGAAATAGTAACAAAATTTATTATCCATTGAAGAAAACATCCAACTCAAATGTGCGACAAACCAAACATGTTATCAGTAAATAGGGAAAAAATGTTTTAAGTCTGTCAGACAACCACATGACCATCCCAAACCGTTGGAACGGCTGAGAACGAGCATCTACAAATCAGATTAGTCAACAAGACCATAGTCACCGTTAATCACACTCTGATCATGTGGTCACAATTCATCTACCAGACTTGGAATCCTGTCTCCTTAGTGCTAAAGGACACAGAGGTACGAGCCTATAGAACAGATCCTGTTCAAGTAAGGTCGTGGCAGTATATGGTGTACTGTGAATTTATAAAAATTTCCTTCTTGTTTCTTGTTGTCGATGTGGTACATTTGGTTCTGCATTTCGTGCGTTTTGGGCCGGGCCATTTACGTCCATATGGGTAATTAAAAGTCGTTGGGCCTAGCACTATACCCGGTTATTAAACGACGCCGCAAATGTGCAGGTGGTTTAGATAATTAGATCTAATGGTAGTCTTATGCAAAAAGAGGTATTCTAGAACCAAAGCAAAAAATTATACTTTTCTTTTCTAACTCTTGACATTTTGTTTTAAGGGGTTAAATAACGATCAAATCATTTCCAATAAATCGTTACGGAGAGTCGCACAAAGCAAGTCTTTTCTTGCACGACATCCCTTACTGCATCAACGAAAGTTTGCATTGGTGGATCCCTAGGAGGCCTTGCTTTAACCTACATCTCCCACACCGTAAATCTACGACCTCGAATAAACCGTTACGGAGAGTCGCACAATGCAAGTATTTTTCTTGCACGACGTCCCTTACTGCATCAACGAAAATTTGGATTGGCTCCCTAGGAGGCCTTGCTTTAACCTACATCTCCCACACCGTGAACCTACGACCTCGATATGCATTTCTGGATAGATGTGTGGGACAGAGGGCTCGTGGTGCCGCCTTAACTAAGTTAATAAACAACAATCAACGCAAGATTCTCTTCTTGGGAATAACTGGGTAGCTTCCAAGGCTTAACTAATTATTACTATCTATATAAAATAATCTATAAATTAGCTAATTACAATTATGAATTCTACACTAAACTTCATAATTACAAAACGTGAAAGTTTGACACCTTGCTACTCTAGCAGTTCTTATTGGTTTGGTTTGCATGACCACTCAATTATATTTCAAATTTTTTTTTTAACTATCCTTCTTTTTCGTTGATATGTTGCAATTGAATCTCTATTTTTAATATATGAACAGGTAATCTTAGTGGAGTATGCATGTGAATTGAGGACGATGGAATACCCGCGATTACTGGTTTGATTGTCGTTGTATAAGTAACCAACAAATGTGGAATGGATTGGACATTTTAGATGGTTACTGAGTGTGGGATGCTGATTGGTTGTTTGTTACAATCCAGCTTCTTTTTGAGTGGTGTACGTCTGATATGGAGTTCTGTACACGTGCTTTGGTAATATATACTTGAAGGTAATTTGCAGTGTTACTAAAGCCGAGCCGAGCCGCTCGGCCCGACTGGTAAAACCGTCACCCGGTCATAAAACCGGCTCGAAACAGTCTAAAAGCCGCTCCGGTTTTATGTAGCGGTTGGCGAGCGGCCGAGGCGGTTAACCGTTCGAGCCGATTGAGCCGCTGGTCCGGTTTTTACCATTCAGCCACTAAATTTAATAAAAAAAAATTGCAGAAAATTGAAATAATAAAAAAACGTAGGCTCTCAAACTGAATCATTATTTCCATTTCACAATTTCGAAGGAAAGAGATGAGCTCTGATTAATAAATATCCACTATTTATACTGATAACGTTTATTAGGTACCGGTTCTCTAACGGTTTTTAAACGGTCTAATGTCGGTTGGACCACTAAAGTGCGAGCCGTTCGCATTACCGGGTCATGCTCCGGTTCGGTTATGACAACATTGGTAATTTGGCAATGTTTATTGTACCATTCTACCGGGCCAGAAGAATGTTTTTATCTGGTTTAGTTTCGACCCAAAACGACCACATGTGGGAAGTTTCGCGCTACATATATTATGGAACATCATGTAAAAATGATCACTGAATGGTCCATTGGCAGCTTTGGTTATGCTACTTGTGGGAGCTTGGGACTTGACCCGAGTTCGAACATTCGGTACCTGTCACCGTTGTTTAATGGAACCCAAAAAGAAAAAAAGAAAATGATAAATCCAAAAAGAGTTATTCTAAAATACTTAAATACTTTTATTTTTTTACTTATAATAATGTTTCCTAGGGCGAGTGGCACAGTGGTTACTTGTTTTGTTCATCGGCAGGCCAAAATAATGGACTTGAGCTTAAATGGTCTCAAACTTAACGACACATTCTTGATGAATTTTTTTAAAAAATAATTAGAAATTCATTTACCAACCGAGGAGGTATACAGATATTAGCCAAAATCTCATGGAAATTATTTCGTCTCTAATAATAAAACAAGATTATCTTAAGAAAGCATATTGAAAAAAACAAACAAACAAACTAGAATAATAAGAATACATTTTTTGGCTTTCTTATTTATCTCCTCAATTTATTTCTATTGTTAATACTATCACTATTATAATTTTGTTGAGTAATTTGTTTTTTATTTTCAAACAGAAAGAGACATCAGTGTCCAATAGGTGAAAGTGTCAAATGAACTTGGCCACAAATGGAGTTATATTCATTCCGTGGAAGGAATTGCAATTTTCTAACAAATGGAATTGTCCAATTCTCCCGAGAAACAATTTCAAACCGCCCTTAGGTTTCTGCCCTAATCTGCCTAAGGACTCTAGAGAGGACAATTAGCTAAACAACAACAACAATAATAATGATAATAATAATAATAATAATAATAATGATGACAAAAACAGTGGGGCACATGTAAGAAAAATTTCAAGTCCAAATTAAAGGGACTATTGTACGCTTCAGCTCCTGACACGTGTCTAGCTATTCTACTTACCCACACTCCCATAACCAGTTTTCCACGTCCAATGCTTCAATCAATCATTCAGTCAGTCAGACAGTCAGATCGACTGATATATCATCATATACAAAAACTAGTTTTTTACCCGCCCGTTGGGCGGTGCATTATGCTTGGTTATTTTATAATTTGTTATAGTATTCTAATTATTATTATTATTTATATTTGTTGAGCTAATATACATGGAATTGTAAATCCCACTTATCTTATTTTTGGTAATGTTTCATACTTTTATACCTGTTTTATTTATGAAAAATTTAATTGTATTAACTGAGCTCTTTATAGATTGTTGTTTATCGATTTAGAATTTTGTATCTAAATCAAAAAAGTGATAAAGAAGTTAAAAAAATTTAAGGCAACAAACGAAGAAGTTAGAATAAGAAAATATGCTTCAATTAATAAAAAAAATAAGCGAAGAGTTTTTCATTTTCTTTCCCTTTTCATATGTCGGTATAAGATAATAGAGAATATTCCGATATTGATCCCAAGAATATCGTGTATTATCAGTTACACCTGCAATTCTGGAATAATGATGAAACACATAAGCATCCACATCCATCAATCTTCCGCATACTCATTTAATTTATCTTGACAATGTTCTAGCAAAACCAACCACAAACAGAACTATCAGTTGTCACTAATTTATTAAAGCAATATTTTCAGCCAACTAAACTGCATATAAACACAATTTATATTTTATAGAGGGCTACATATCTCCTGCAGAAAAAAATGGTGCTTTTCTACCTAATAACAACATAGACAAATAATGAAAGGAGCATACTTCAATACAACTCAACTCATTCTATCTTGCATATTCCTCATTTGTGATTATGCACCAATCCAAATAATAGTTGGTAAGAAAACAATCATGTCAAAATCAAGTTTTAGTTAGGAATTCAATGAGTAAAAATTCACCCTAATGAAACAAACAAATGTCATTGCAAACGTGTAGAACTTGAAAAAACATCGAAATACACAACTGAGGAACCACCACCATCATTTTTTTCTTCTTCACGACCTTTATAAAACCCCAATTATGTTCTCTTCTACTTATAATCCCTTTCCTACCTACTAATTACTAACCAGATTGTCATCTTATAGCTAGCTAGTAACATGTCAATCATGAACATAAAAATATAATGAATAACCCTCACAACTCTACTTTTCATTTCAACATCTAAGGAATCGGGTTGCAATAGACATTTAAGGAAAATGATCAATTATTCAACCAAAGGAGATATGCCCTAAGTCCAACCAATTATCCCTTCTAATTATATATTACCTATTTACATAAAAGTATATGACGTAATAAAGAACATAAAATAACTCCATGAAAACGAAGAAGAAATACATTCGCTCATCAAGTGGAGCAATTTACCATCCAACAGTCTTAATTTGGAAGAAATTAAGAAAAGAACAAAAAGAAGAGCGAGCAGTTGCCAGCTTAAGATCAAAGAGGAAGAGGGAGCAGTCGACAATCCTCGATTTGGATCACCTCGTCTTCGCAATTATAGGATGAACTGTTTTCATCAATAGGCAAAAATATGCTACAATTGCTCAAAAAATTTTCATCTAATCGCTGCCTCGTGTAACTCCCTCCCCCAACTCTCCTAAAAAAAATTCATATGCATTACCATTTCTTTCTCTATCTAATTTCTTATTTTCAATGTTGGATTTTATTTCTAGAGAGAGAATCAAAATGGGAAAAGGGTAGAGATAAATTAAAAGGTTGCATTCATAATTAATATGTTTCATTTAATCGGAATGAATAAGAAGTGTTTTAAAAAAATAACAATTATTGCTCTGTCAAGTTTATCTTCAGACCTTTTTCTATAAAAATTATAAGTATATGCATAAGGAAGAAGTGAGTGTTTGATAGCACAAAATATATAGTCACATAGTTTATTTTTCAAAGTCGATTGATTGTCAAACACTTATTTTCTCTTAGGCCATCGTTTAAACTTTGTTTAATTGAAAAATTATATGTGTGCTTCTTTTTTCATCAAAATGTAACTTATTATAAAGTTTTAGTAAAAATCAATAAAAATTTTACGTAATGAGATTTAATAAGATATTTTTGGGTTAAACAAACACGACTTATGTCACTATATATTTTCATCTTTATAGTTTGTTTAATTGAAAAAACATTAGTACTTATGTGTGTTTGTTTGTTTAAATGTATCATAAAAAAAGTAAATTATTTTAAGTTTTAGTAAAAATGAGTAGAATTATTAAAAGAAGAGAGAGATAGCTTCATAAATAGATCAATAAATAAAATTTTGCTTGTAAAAAAATTGTCCACCTTGTCATCTTGTGAATTTACCAAGTGCTTATGTGGCAAGAAGTTACTTTTGAATAGCCATAATATTAAGTATAGATACATGCACGTGTCTCAGTTTTTGGCATATCGAAGATAATGAATATTTATTCATCAATCAATGTAACACTAGATGCCTGTTTACTTTCATTTTTATTTTCTGGTTTTAGAAAACAGATGTTGTAAACAGACGTAAACAACATTTTGTTGTTTGTGAAAACAGTAAGAAGTTGTCACTTTCTATTTTCATAGTTGGAAACGAATAGAAAATAGAATGAAAAGTAAACAAGTTTTCTCATTTCGGTTGTCAAATTTATGATATGAAAACAGAAAACGAAAATAGAAGTGAACCGGTGCGAATTCCTAAAAAAAGCTGTAATTCTATGGTCAGTCAGAAGAAGAAAAAAACATTGTTTTTATGTTATGACTTATGACCAAATGCAGAAGTCTGGTTTGCATTTAGAAATAGTCGAAGAAGAATTCAACCAAACTAATGTTTTTCTTCTTCTTCTTCTTATTCCATTTCTAATACCATAATTATATTTGAACTCTAATTTGATCTTGAATTTCTAAATTTTGGATTGGCGTTATACGAGATTGGAATTGATTGTGTTGTGTACATCTCATATGCAACTTATTGTGATGAATTAGTTGTCAATTTGATACAAGAGTTTTATTAACCAATGTTCTTCTTCTTGGAATTCTGATTACCTTGATGAAAACGTATAATATTTAAACGTGTGATATGTAATTGACCTACATAAAAAAAAAAATGTAGATCGTTATTTTTACTTTGGTTGTTCGATTTTCCTACATGGTATATATACAAGTGGCAGTTGACACGTGCTATGGTGGTATTTATTCATATTTCGTTTTTTTTAATTTACCTCATGAATGAAGTTTTTTATCGGAAGAAAAATCAGACACTACACACAAGTATGTTAGAGAAATTCAATGAAAAGTAAGAATTCAAAGCGTACAATAAAAAAGGAAAAAATCAAGCATGCCACTGTTCAAGTGTCGGCAGCTACCATTCCACGTTTTGATTTATCATCTACTTGACTGGTAAGTTTTTTTTTTTTTTTGTCAAGAGATATCATATATTGATCATAAAAAATAGTTACATCCTGGAAACCAGCCAGGCCCTGAAATCAAACCGACGATACATAGAAGGAGACAAAGAGAGGGCCTTTCTAGCTACAACATGAGCTACCCTATTGTTCTCCCGTCCTATAAATCGCACACTAAAATCTGGTTGGGCATCCAACAAAATACCAATCTCCTCTAAGATCGCACCCAACCGATTCTCCCTATTATCACCCTGATTGATTTTATCAATAAGCACCTTAGCATCCCCCTCAAACCGGACCTCTGTCCACCCACTGTCCAAACACCAAGTAATAGCCTCCCGGAGCGTAAGCAACTCCACCAGCGCTGGCTCTTCCACCGAAGGAAACTGAACCCCCTTAGCCTGAAGCAGCGTATTAGCAGGAGTGAGAAGAACCATCCCACCGGCCGCATGCGACCCACCCTTAGTAGCCCCATCCCAACGACAGATCCACCGGGAATCCCCCACGTTTACCTCCGCCGGCACCACCCGATCTCTGCCCGGAGGCCGCCCATCCACTGGCAAGGCCATCCACTCCTCATACTGTTGATGGAATTGTCGCATAAGGGCTGGAATCCCAAACTGTTTGCCCTCAAAGACCACCCAGTTCCGGGATTTCCAGATCCGCCAAAGGACTGCAACCACCGCCATCACTAGCGAGGGCTGGTGGATCAATGCCAATAACCGCTTAAGAAACAACGGGAAAGTATGACGGGGCAAACCCTCTCCCAGATAATCGAGCCCGGAATGGTCCCAAATAGCTCGCGCAACCGGGCAGTATAGAAACAAATGTTCCATCGTTTCCGAGCCATTCCAGCAGACTGGACAACGGGGCAACACTGGCACCTTTCTCTCGATAAGCGCTTCCATAGTAGGAAGAATCCGGTTACAAATTTGCCATATAAAAACCTTCAATTTCGGAGGTATCTTAGCTTCCCAAATCCTGATCCAGCTTTTTTTATCCATCCAACTAACAGCCTCCCTCCAACCCCCCCTCCTCCTGTCTAGATCCACCGCCAAATGATAAGCGGACTTAACCGAGAAGACTCCATCAGCCGTGTTATGCCAAATGAGTTTGTCAGCAACATTCCGCCGCGGAAGAGGAATAGACTTAATGGCTGCGCATGTCGAAGGGTCAAACCACAGACTCAACTTAGCATCCGACCACCTACCTTCCCCTTCGCAGATGAGCTCCGCCACCAAAGGATCCCCCCCCTCGGGCAGAATTAACGGATTATAACTCGGGGCTGCAAGCTGGCAACCAGGGATCCAGTTAGACTGGAGAAGAGAGGCCGATTGGCCATTGCCAATCTGCCATCTCAAACCCGTCCCTAACAACTGGCGACCAAAAAGAATACTTTGCCACCCCCAAGAGGGGCGAGATCTGGCCGTAGCCGTGAGGAACGAACCCCTAGGAAAATACTTCCCTCTATAAACTTGAGCCAGAAGGCTTTGCGGTTCTTGAAGGATACGCCAACCAATTTTAGCTAACAGCGCTTGATTAAAGTGTTCAAACTGGCGAAATCCCATCCCACCCTCATGCTTACTCCTACACATATTCCGCCAAGACACCCATCGAATCTTTGGCTGCCCCTCTTCCGCCCCCCACCAGAATTTCGCGACAAGCTTATCAAGAAGCCGGCATAAGGATAAAGGGAGCCTGAAGCAGGACATCACATGCAACGGAAGGGCCAACGCAATGGACTTAATTAAAGTCTCCTTCGCAGCCCATGATAACGTCCTTTGTTTCCAACCTTGAAGCCTCTCAATCAACTTCTCCTCAAGATATCTGAATGTTGCCATTTTTGATCTAGCCACCAGTGACGGGAGTCCAAGATATTTGTCATGGACCCCAACAGCACCAACCCCGAGCACTGTGGCTAAGAACTCCTGATCAGGCAAGGAGACATTCTTACTAAAGCACACTGCCGACTTCTCCAGGTTAACACGCTGACCACTAAGTTCCTCATACTCATTCAGAACCTCCAGTAAATTCTCGCACTCCTGCAGCGATCCCCGCAAAAATAAGTAGGAATCATCTGCGAAGAAAAGATGAGAGACTCTAGGCGCCTGCGGGGCCACCTTTACCCCCTCTAACTTCTTCTCAGAGATCGCCTTCCGGAGGAGTGCCGCAAACCCCTCCGTGCATAGCACAAACAGAAGAGGGGATAACGGATCACCCTGGCGAAGACCCCGAGAGGCAGAGAAATACCCAGATGGCGCACCATTCATCAGAACCGAGAAAGAAGAGGAGCGAAGACACTCATGCACCCACCCTTGCCAGATCGAGCTAAAACCCATCTTGTCCAGAACCGCCAGAAGAAAGGGCCATTCGACTCTATCATAGGCCTTTTCCATGTCAACCTTCAAAGCCATGTACCCTTTCTTCCCTTGGTTCTTAATTTTAAGATAATGCATTAGCTCATGCCCAATAAGGATGTTATCAATGATCTGACGATCCCGAATAAACGCATTCTGCCCCTCCGAGACAATTTGCGGTAGCAAACCAGCAAGACGTTCAGCCATAATTTTGGTAATAATTTTATACACAAATTGACACAGACTAATTGGGCGCAGCTGCCGGATATTATCCACAGAGTCCACCTTAGGAATCAAAGTCAGCCACGTATGGTTAAAGCTACGCAGCATCTTACTCGAAGAGAAGAATGAGATAACTGCTTCAACCACCGAGTCTCCAACTACATCCCAAAAAGCTTTAAAAAACTTCCCAGTAAAGCCATCAGAGCCCGGGGCTTGTTTTGATCCCATCGCGAAAACTGTCTTCCGAACCTCACTTGGCAGTACCTCCGCCGTCAAATGCGCATTCATTTGCGGGGTGACCTTGCGGGCAATTGGCAGGCCAGCCACCCGAGTAGCCATGTTCTCTACCTGAGTCTCTGAGGTGAACAGAGCCTGATAAAAATTTGTAGCAATGGCTGCTTTACCATTTTCCTCCGTGACCCATTCACCGACCTCATTCCGAAGCCCTGCGACAAAATTCTTTTTCCGTCGAGCACGAGTAACTGTGTGGAAGTATGCAGAATTCTGATCTCCTTTCTTTAACCAGCGAACCCTAGATTTCTGCTGCCAATAGATCTCCTCTGCTTCCCATTGGCGGGATAGCTCCGATTCCAGCACTTTCACCATATCCCAGTCCACTGGATGGGATGATTTGATACGATCAATCTCTGCCTGAAGTGTTTTTATATTACGCAGCGAATTCGTAGTGCCTGCCCTGCTCCAGTCATACAGCAAATGTCGTAGCTTCTTTAAGCGCTCCCAAAGCCGGAACATAGGAGTACCCTGAACCTCTTCACTCCAGACATAGTATACCATGGCCCGAACTTCCGGATTGTCGGCCCAGCGGGCATCAAACCGGAACAGAGGCCGGCTGGTTCTACTATACGGTTTATCCGAAAGAAGCAGAGCACGATGGTCCGAACCCTGATCCGTAAAGTGCTTCACCAGAGTCTCTGGGAACATGTCTATCCAGGTTTGCGAACAAAGTGCCCTATCCAGGCGCTCACGAATACAAGCTGTACCCATACGCTTGTTCGTCCAGGTAAATTGATCCCCTTGGAACCCCGGATCATGTAGCCCCAGCTCATGAATGAAGTCACGGAGGCTGGCAGCTGGAGCAGCACTCCACTCCCGACCCCCATCTTTTTCACTAGCCAGGAGAGTCGTATTAAAGTCTCCAATGATCACATAAGGGAGGGTTATAAGGTCGCAAATTTCGCGCAAGTGAGATAGTTGAACAGCACGCTCAGCAAGATTACAGCTAATGTACACAAAGAACACTACATAAGAAAAACCATTCTCATTAATTTGGGAGCAAATAAAGAAATTGGAATGAAACAACACCGAAGAGTCAACTCCGTGAGACCAAGCCATGACTAAACCACCTGATGCATCAACTGCATCAATAAAGAAACAATGGGAAATATCAAAACCTAACCCCCGCATACGGCGGGCAACTACCCGGCGGCTCGATCGCGTCTCCGAGAAGAACACGAGATCCGGCTTATTCGAATATACCAGACCGACAGCAGACTGGAATGTGAGGGACGGTCCAATTCCTCTCACATTCCAGGCGAGTATCCTCATTTATCAGATTGGGGCCACTTATGGCTGGCTTCCTCCACCTGATTCAGATTCTCGTCCTCCTCCACAATTTGTTTTTTGGGAGCAGGGTTGTCTCCCAAGTCTTCCCCCATAGCATCCAATGGCCGCTTGCGCGCTCCAATATTGATGTTCATAAGATTCGACCCGTACTCATCCAGCTGCGGAGGATCAACCTGGACCTCCTCACCCTGGGTACTCTATCCCGGATCAATTGATATTTCCTTCGAGTGAATCACAGGCTCCTGGTCAACAGTGATGTCCATCCCGGCCTCAAAAGCCGCGACTACCTGGCTCACCTGCCCCGTTGGGATATCCATGCTCTGGTTCATCTTTTGTACCTTCGGAGGACGCCTTTTAATTTCAAAGCATGGAGCCTCTTCCTCCGAATCCGACTCAGCCAGCACTAGGGCCCGGATTATTTCGCCTTTTGGGCCAGATCCTTTGGCCTGATCATGCGGGACAGCCGCCCTCTTTCCCCCATTGTCAGCACCTGGCCCGCGCCTGGGACGAGAGGAAGCCTTCTTCAGAGGCCCAGCTTGGGCACTCGTTTTCGGCGGCCCAGCTTTTCTCAGCCGGCTCTTCGGCCCAGCTTTGGCCACATTCGGCGTCGGGTGGCCTGGTCCATCCTCCAGGGTGATTACCCGGCCCATCTCTGTCTGATCCACTACCCCTGGCCCAGCAACATTGCCCACCTGGGTCCGGCCCACCTCAACCGCACCTGCAGGTCTGTGCCCTTCGACCATGCCGCCCTCTCCACCTTCCATCGGCCCAAGCTTCCTTTCCCCACTATCCCCCTCGGCCGGCGGCTGCTGCTCGAATTCCAGTGCATCATCATCCGGGTCAGCCTCCAGAATGATTCTGCGGCGCCTGGTTTGCTCAAACATGGTTTGGCCGTCGCCTCCCTCACCGCAAGACACCATCTTCTGCCCACCCGGCATCCTGCTCTGCTCCGGTTTCTTTGTTTCTTTCCCCCTCGACATGTTTCTTTTCCCCCGCCCTCCCCCAATTTGGACCTTCGGAGATTTCTTCACAATGAATCCACGGGGGCTGGCCGTCCCGCTCGATAGCTTTGGGACTTCAGGTGGCTGTAACCTCGGATCAGGCTGTCCAGATCCTCCCTTGGCAGGACGGCTGTTCTCCCCACCGCCCATAATAGAAATTTGGCCCTGCTCGTCACTTCCACGAGTATCTGTCCGAGGCTGGTTCGCCGAGCCAACCGGTCCAGATATCTGGCGATTCACCCAGACCGACCGCCGAGGACCACCAAATTTTGGACCCTCATCCTCTTCCTCGAAGACTTTACGCCCCACTTTCTTGGTCGACATATGGGGACCAAACCGCTCCCTCCCATGTGGCGGGTCAAAGGAGCATTCCCGGCGCGAGTGACCTACCCGACCACAATGATAACAGAGACTGGGAAGATATTCGTACCGTAGGTTCACCCAGAAGCCGCCAATATCATCATTGGACGCATATAGCTGGGAACGGAGCGGCTTAGAGAAGTCAATGAGAGTACGAACTTTGATAAACCTTTCCCCAGTTTCTTTGCAGGCGAAGACATCAGATTCCAACACCTGCCCAATGGCCGCCGACACCATTTTGCGTCCAAAAAGCTTGGTACAGCAGTCTTCCTTAACACCCCAGATTTGGACTCGAAATGGTGCCACTGCTAGTTCTTCAAATATTGGGCGTGGGATCGAGGAAGTCCAGGGTCGCAGACAAAGGATTTTGTCTTTGATGATCCACGGGGATCTCTTGAGCGCCCAGTTCTTCGCTTCCTCATTGGGTAGCATAATCTCAAACAGCTCATAATTGGCTTTCGTGACCTTCACTCTCCCTTTGATTTGCCACGCATCAATGACTGCATCCCGGAGTTCCAGTGTTGAGAACTGCTCGGCAGTGATTAATCTCCCCAACATCGACCTTGCTGCCCGAACTTTCGTGGACAGCACTTCATCCATTGAAAACTGGAACACTTGGTCCTCCGATACATGCACCATGATTCGATCCTGAAACAGAGAGACAGGGGAAACACGCTGGGTCATGTGCCAAGCATCAGGACTAGCTTCCAACGAAGTGGAAGCTCTAGTATTTTCTGCACAAGCCGTAACTAGCATACGCAGTTGATAAGGGGCGGCTATAGGCAAAAAAGAGGGAGCGTGAGGTTTGTCAACCGTCACCATACCTGAGCTTTGCTTAGCCGCGCTCGGAGGGATAAGGATAGCTGGCCTGCTTGATGTTCCCCAATTCTTCACAGTTTGGAAGCTGTGGTAGAGCAGGCGCAGCACTGGGGTATAAATAAGAAAAAACGCAGCAGTAGCTGCTTTTCTAGAATCAACCGTGAGATCTATCTCACCGTTAACAATTGGATTCCTAATAGGAGAGGGAGACTCAACACAAGTAGGAGTCCATTCACAACTCAGCCGAATTCGGTTATGTCCCGATAGGGGGATCCGAAGATTTCTCCCCAGCACCCTTAGAGAATCCGAATTTGATTTTCGAATAATAGGACCGGTACGATTCGTCCGACAATCACGTCCTGAACGATTATCCAGAATCGGCGGTGACCCCCACCGTCCGCCGGCGGGATTGCTAATTAGCGGGTTTTTCCCCTGCTTCGCCGGCCATTTCACCTCTGGCTTTTGTTGGGCAATCTCCCAAACCAGGTGTGCTTGAATAGGAGGATTAGACATCGGGTCAGAGGCTTTATTATTTTCTTGCACTCTGTCCTCCCCTGTCCCAGATTGATGTAATTTCGTTTCCTCACTCCCCATGTCAAACGACGGAGGGAGCCATAATCGCCAGCCCTTCAGCGGCTGAACTCTGACTTTTTTGGGCCGAGGCTCCGGCGGGCGGTCAAATTGCCCCTGCGCCAGGCCTAATTTGCGTTTTCGGAGCAAGCATACAACTTCGTGCTTCCTCTCATAAGGCCCCTCTGTGTAGAACGCTCTGCTACACAGGGGTGAACGCGGATGCCACACGCGCAGGGGGTGTTTCCCCAGATCCTTTCCAGAGGCGGAGGGTCTGCATCCGCTGGGTTGATGACTTTGCTCACTGGTTGCGCTGCCATGCAAGCCGGATTCTTGGTTTCTCACACTGGCCGCGAACAGAGAACAGACTCCCTGTATGAGGCCCTCACCGATCCAGATGGCGAAAGCGAGGAGAGAGATCAGAGCGTTTCTCATTTTTTTTTTTTAAACAAATTGGCATCAGGGTTTCAGCGGCACAAGTGTTTAACAGCAGCAGCTAGGCTGCATTACTTGACTGGTAAGTTAGTAACTGCAAAATATCAAAGATTTTAGAAAGTTGTCAGTTGAAATTGTCAATGAATATGACCACTGTTTCCTACACTGTCCACGGGTAAAAGTTGGTTATCAACATTGTAATAATCCTGTCATAAACAAGCTGGTCTATATACTTCGAGTTTTTCGAAGATTTTAATTTATATATTTTAATAATACTATTAAAAGAAAAAATCAATTCATGGACTTGAAGTTTGCACATGTCCATCATATAGTGTACTTTAAGAGAACACTTAATATTGATGGTCGTGATGACTAACTTGAACTCCCGACCTCTAGGACAAACAACATCTGATACTATATCATCAACCAACTGATCTCAATAACTTTAGTTGTTGGGAGATGTTCAATAATTGATCTTATACCGCACACCATTACACCCACTAACTCAAACGAAAACCAACTCATATGAGTTTGAATTTTGCAAAGATCTGAATACGATGTGCTTAACAAATGACGGTCTTCGTGATCCGAACATAAGAGCTTTCAATCACATGAGACTCTAATATAATATAAAAAAACTAATTGATCCAAATAACTCAAATTGTAGCCTAATGAAGGCAATAAGAGATTACATATAAATGTAGTAGATAGATGTGGGCCTCATTTATCTGCCTAAGAAAAGAAAGATTAGATATATACGTGGGCCGGGCTGCGCAGAGACACCCTTTTGACAAGGTAAAGTTTCCTCTGTCCCTCCAAAAGCTCTTTCAATTTTCCTCCATCAAATTCCAAAACCAGCACATTGATTCATATGTTGCCATCTTTTGGTTTTGGGATGTTTTTGGCTGGTTTGCTTTTGGTGCGATAAAAAAGCAGCCTAAACTCTATCTGTTTGTGAAATCGTATCAAAAGTTAAATCATAGTTATTTTGTACTAAACTATAATTAAATCGTGGGTCAACCTTTTTGTATCGCCAAAATCGCATATTATTTAGAATTCAGTATTTGTGGTCGGACCGGCTGGTATAATAGGATTACTTAAACCATATACCTTTCATCAAACGAGATTCAAAAATAATATCGGAAGAAGTAATATATGATCAGCTAGTGAATTAGCATACCAACCGTTCATATTATCAAAGATGAAAGGAATTTCGAGTTTTTGTTGTACAATATAATCCGTAAAAATACATACTACTTCGTAACAGACACGAGTTTATAAAAGACCAACATTCACAAAAGATAATATTCATATTACAAATAACCACATAAATATAATCAACGCATGTTATCATGCCTGTCGAAGTAAGTTGAATTTCCACGGACAAATCGGTCCATGGAGTTACTTCTTCAAACCCTATTTTCTAAAATGATTAAGCGACCATGCAAATCTAAATAGATTCATATGTTACGTAATACGTGGTCATATCTTTAATGATGAGTTGGTGGGTTTGACGATAATTTCTAGGGTTTTCTCCATTCATCTTTTAATAACTTTTCTGGAAATCTGCTGGTGATGAAGAAGAGGGCCCAACTTTATATCTAGAGTTGGTGGAGATTAGTGTAACAACTTTTTTCTCATAACAAAAAGCAATCTGAACATATACAATTATTGGAATGATCTCGTCCAATTTCTAAAGATGTAACCCTGTTCGAAGAATGCTAAAGTACCATTACCAGACTGAGCTGTTGGTCGATCATGACAAGACATAAATTGGTCAGCACTCAGTACTAAAAAAGGAGAAACAAGAATGGTGGAAAGATTTCTCGTCCGTCATCTTTTGATGTTCAATATTCAGTATTTCCAATATATACAGAGATTTTTCTCCATATATCGCGTTTCTTTTGGGAAAGATCATCGATTTCATCAGCAATCTTGATGGATCACTCTTGTTTAATTTATTGCAATCCATGTTAGTTTGAAGTCGATTCGCTTCAATTGACCGCGAGTTTGGGCTCTCCATACTCCGGCAAACCGGTACATAGATTGTTGGACACAACAACGAACTGTATCAAACTTGTGTGTGTAGCAAATTTTTAGTGTAAGTGTTGTATTTTGGTGGGTTATAGGTATAATATGCCCCTCTACTATGACGTTCTATCAAACATATCCCTCTACTATTTTTTACATAAAACATGTCCTTCTGTTAAAATTTCGATTGAAAAAATCGTCAATCATGGATGAACCGATATTTAGACGACCCGACATCGGCAAATGGGAGGGAAAATGATAATTTTGTCCCCGTTTTATTCCTCTAGTTCTCTTCAAAGTGAAATTATTTGAATATTTGGCTATACAAAAGAACCAAAATAAATTCTAAAATGAAATTATTACGGATATTTTAGACATTTGTGTCGCCCAAACCAAAGTTCAGCCTTGGTTAATGATTTTGGATGAAATTTTTAAAAAAAGGGCATGTTTGATCATTTTTACAAAGTACAGGGGCATGTTTGATAAAACGTCATAGTAGAAGGGCATATTATACCTATAACTCTATTTTGGTAATTCTTTTAGTAAGGATTGTGTTTTGGGGAAAAGTTTGTATATATAGTGACCAAATATAAAAGTTTTTGGTATGAGCTACGAGATTAAGGGTACATGGGGTAGTTGCTTGTTATTCTTTATGACCAAGTAGCCTTGACTGTCTTGCAGTCGATACTCTTCAATAATATACTTAATCTCTAGGTAACATGTTTGTTAATTGGTTCTTAAATTTGGAAGTTCAAATTAGGAGGGAATTCTAAAAGATTTTACTCTTAATCTTCTTCCTATATAACAATTTGAGGTCTTGGAGAATGGTAACTAATAATTATAGATCTTATACTACCTTATTAGATGCCCTCCAAAATGAGAGTCAACTCACAAATCACATGGTTGGAATTTGCACAAGTCAACCATATAATCATCTCATTATTAAATCAACATTTAATGTTGGTGGTCTTGGCAATTTCAACACAAAACCATCTGTTCACACCAGCCCTGATACAATGTCATAAAAAGTTTGATCTCAATAACTCAGGTTGTTTAGAGAAAATTAATTATTGATATTATTATACTACTCTTACAGACACGGTATCAAAATATGTGATCAATAGGTTTCATTTGTTCAAATCTTAAAGAAGGCAACACTGACCGGCCTGTTGAGTTGTGTACACATATAGCTTCTTTTTTTTTTCTTTCGCAAAGTCAGTTGTTATAAAAGCAGACATACAGAGTTAGTTTTTATTCAAATGATTATATTACAAACACAAAAATGCATTTTAATGTTATCGATGGAAGAACTCGAATTAACGAGATAAATATGAATGGATAGTCCACATAATTAACTTTCAAGAAAGATTAAGTATTTATGGTGAGAGGCTTGTAGCAGTACTGCTTTGTACTGCATGACGTAAAATGAATAAATATCCGAAGTTACTTTTGCAAACTCCATGCAGAACTCTTAATAGATAACCAAACCTTAATTTATTTCCTCACATAATCGACATTGCAAACAGTTGAGTGATGATAATTTGGGAAAGAGTAATATCAAAGCACAACATACAAGAATATTCTTTTTCCCTTTGGATCCCCTCAAACTTAAAAGCACTGCCACCATGCAAGTTATTGCTACCAACAACAACGTGGGTTTTTTTTTACTCCCCGTCTGGCAAACATAAGCATATAATATATATTGACAATAATGTCGAAACAAACTAGTCCCTGTCTTCTGTTCTGTTCTCTCTCTTTTTTTATTTAATTCCTCTGCTGAAAAGATCGACACGTCCTATAATCATAATAATACTCTCGTAACGCGGAAACTCGCTTTCTTCCTTCTTTCCCTGCAAACAGAGACAACACGAAGATAAGATAATTACCAAGAAATCATTACCGTTGAATCATTTATGTGATAATGATATTATAATTCTGGTATTGAACTTGACCGTGCATGTAAAATTACGTTGTTATTGTTACTACTACTACGTACCTTGGAGCTATAAGAGAGACAGTAGTGCTACAGAGACGGGTTACCGGCAAGCTGATAATTTCTAGACGTGGTACGGGGGAGGCGGCGAGGCATAGATGTAATGATGAGGAGGCGATGGCTTGTGCATCGGCGGAGGCGGCGGAGACTTGTACTTGTATGGTTTGTGGGGCGGTGGTGGTGGCGATTTGTAAACCGGTGGTGGTGGGGACTTGTGGACAGGTGGTGGAGGTGGCGACTTGTACTTGTAAGGCTTATGGGGCGGAGACGGCGGGGACTTGTAGACAGGTGGTGGAGGTGGGGACTTGTACTTGTATGGCTTATGGGGCGGCGGCGGTGGTGACTTGTAAACCGGTGGTGGCGGTGGTGGTGGTGGAGACTTGTAAACAGGTGGAGGTGGGGACTTGTACTTGTAAGGCTTGTGGGGTGGCGGCGGCGGCGACTTGTGGACAGGTGGTGGCGGTGGTGACTTGTACTTGTATGGTTTATGGGGTGGTGGTGGTGACTTGTAAACGGGTGGTGGCGGCGACTTGTGGACAGGTGGTGGAGGTGGCGACTTGTACTTGTATGGCTTATGAGGCGGCGGTGGTGGCGACTTGTGGACTGGTGGTGGCGGTGGCGACTTGTACTTGTATGGCTTATGGGGCGATGGTGGTGGTGACTTGTAAACCGGTGGAGGTAGTGGCGGCGACTTGTGGACTGGCGGTGGAGGTGGCGACTTGTACTTGTATGGCTTATGAGGCGGTGGTGGTGGCGACTTGTGGACTGGCGGTGGCGGTGGCGACTTGTACTTGTATGGCTTATGGGTCGGCGGTGGTGGAGACTTGTAAACCGGAGGCGGAGGTGGTGGGGACTTGTAAACCGGCGGTGGAGGTGGTGGGGACTTGTATTTGTAAGGCTTCTTGTGGGGTGGTGGTGGCGGTGGAGACTTGTGGACAGGCGGAGGAGGTGGTGGTGGGGACTTGTACTTGTACGGAGTATGTGGCGGCGGTGGGTAGTGCACCGGCGGCGGCGGGGACTTGTGGTGGAAGTAAGGAGAGGGCGGCGGAGGGTATTTCTTGGGTGGTGGTGGTGGTGGAGAGGAGTAATGGTAGTTAGCTGTGATCTCCAAGGGAAAGAAGCTGAAGGAAAATATTGCCACTACAAGAGTGGCAATGAGAGAAGCCATTTTTGGGGTCGTTTCTTTGTTTGTTTTTCCCAAACTTCACTAATGGGAGTGGGTGTTGGAATTGGATGGATGCCTTTCTAGATTGGCTTCTTTGCTCCCTTTATATAGATAAACAAGAGTTAATTACCACAAGGGTAGTTTACCATTTGATTAATTACTGTAATTGTATAAGCTTTGTTTCAATTAGACACCTCAATTTTGATAAGTTGATAAATAATAAACTTTTGAAGTTCAAATAAAATCATACCGTCTGCTGCATCCTATGCCTTCAAAGTCAAGATCTGAAATGTACCCTACATCAATTTACTATATTTTCTTTGGGGAAAATTTATTGTGTTTTTTGGTAGTATAAATTTTACCAAGCAGAAATTCTATAGAGACTAGACTCCACATAAACATTATTGTGTAATCTGTGTTTGTCTTTGATATCGCCATTTTTCCTACTATTCATTTCGGTGTGATGGTTGAGTTTAAGACTCAAACTCACGATACTGTCTAGTTTATTATTTTTTTACAACATGTCCAGAGTCATGCACCTGATCCACTATTTTTTTGTGGAGTATATCACTTAAAAAGATTTATTACCATTCAAAATTGTATTATTGATTAACCTGCTACAGTAATTGAGCCAATAACATAATATCATAATTTTACTGTAATTTTAACGAAGATCGTTATAATAAAAAAAAATATGAATATTTTTTTGTGTAACACTAAAGTTTGGCACATTGTGAGCTTTCTATTAAAATTTTTGCTTCCTCTTCATCGGGAGGATAATGTTTATATTATACATATTTATTACATAATGTCCTTGTTATAAGAACCGAACCGGATAACCGGCCGGGCCAGTAGAATCGTCAAACCAGTTACGATAGCGGTTCGGTTCATTGTTTGAACGGTTATTGATAGACCAAACGGTTTTTCACGGCTCAACATAAAATCAGATGAACCGACACGATTTAGCTGGTCCATTGGTTCACTATTTTAACAAAAAAATATTTTAACGTAAACTAAGACCATCAAATCATAATTATTAATTTTATATATGTTCCCTCAACCTTATTGTCGATTTTACATTGTCTACTACCAACTAGAATCGTAAATTTTAATTTGAATTAAAAAATGTGGTTTCTTTTGTGAGATGGTTGGAATGATTTATTAGATATTTTCGTGATGTATGAATTTGAACTTGTTTATGGTCAATGATAATTTCATTATCAAATTAGTGTAATATACAAGTCTTATATGTTATATATCATTAACGGTTCACCAACAATTTTGTAACGGTTAACCGGATGAACTCTTAAACCGCTAACTTTTCCGGTTCATCCTCCGATTCAGTTCTGAAAACAGAGCATAATGTGTAACGTGGAAATTTGGGGGAGGATAGAGAGGCTGCTTGCTGAGAAAGGGAGGTAAAGTAAAGGTATACAGAGTTGGAAATTTGGAATTTAGCACCAACTATGAGCAAATAATTCAAACAAGGAAAAGTCATTTCCCTGATTTAAAATTAATATTACTCTTCATAAGAGGATATAAAAAAGATGGTCCGGAGGGAATCAAAATAATAAAATGGGATATGTATCCAAGCATTGTTTTCCACAATGGATTTTCGGCAGCTCTATCTTTGCTTTTGGGGCTATTTAGTTGGGACCATGCATGCAGGCGGCTATTTGAGACTACTTGGAAGGAGCCTTTATTATTTCTTCTTACATTTGGAAGCACCTACCATTGTCCAATCGTCTTTAATTGTGTCCATTATTATTAGACTAGTGTATGTCGAGATAGTAACCTTTTTCATTGTAAAACTGTACCAGAACAGAAATTATACTAGGAAAAGTCAGAAATAATATATTTTGTTCTAAAATCATAATTTAATTGTCATTTAATCATTTCATATGGTTAAAAACCGCCTATTAATATTGGTTCAATTGTCATTCAATCATTCGATCGAACAACTGGTTAGATTTTACAACACTACCGTGCAAACCAGTATTGGTTCAATTGTGAGGAGAGTGACTGGAGCAGGAGGTTTAAACCAATGTGTATGAAATCGTACCGGAATCTATACCAGAAATGTTAGTGGTAGAGTATTTTGGGCTAGTTTGGTCCCACTATAACTTTTGCCAAATGTGTTTTTGGTTTGAGTTTTTAGAAAAGTAATTTTGAAAAAAAGCATCGTTGGGCTGAAAACGATTAGAAGTATTTTTTAATATAAAAGATCATGTAAAATTACTAAAAAGGATTTATAATATAAAATATAAATAAAAATGAGTCAAAAATGGATCTTATTAGATCTATTTTATGTTGATTAATATTATTTTATAAATTATTTTATTTTTAAAATGATATATATGAAATACAATTATATTTTCTTAAATAAATTTAAAATATGATAGGGATAATCTTGTATTTTCAAAATAGGTTTATCGCATAAGCTCCAAATCAGAGCTTCTGCTTTTATGTTATACAAAAACACTTTTCACCTTTTCCAAAACCAAACTTTTAGAGGTGTTTGACCCTGCTTTTTTTTTTAAACATAAATGAACTTCTAAAAGCCGGACAAACATAGGCTTTCTAATAAAACTTGTTCAACCATTATGTACTGCGAAAACCGCCTACCGTTTGGAGTCCAATATCCGATAGACCAAATTGATGTCAATCATCACTTGTGATATGATGAATAAGAAAATATATGAATATGCAGAAAAGTCATTCAAAATTACCTTGATTTGAAAGTTTTGGGTTCGTTTGGATGAAGCATTTGAGTGAGTTATTTGGGTTCAAATAACCCACAATGAGTTATTTGGACACGAATAACTCGTTTGATAGCATTTTACTGAAATGAGTTATTTGGGAAGTGAGTTATTTGAAATAACTCCTAACCCCGTGTTATTTCGACATAACTCATTTTACCACTCTGTTTTTTCCAAATACCACATTTGCATGGTTCTAGCAAACGAGATACTTTAATCCAATTACCACTGAAACAACACTGACATATCACATGAACAAGTAATGATTTATTCATCCATTCAAACGACCCTTCTATAGTTTAGAAATTTAAGGGTTTAGGTTAGTGCTCAAAATTGAAGATATAGGTTAGCATAATAGATTGATTGACGTAATTCTATGTTATATGATCATATCAGACGGATTTTACCAACTAAAATTTAATAACTTAAAACTATTTGAGTGCAATGTATAGTAGTGAATCTATCGAAGAAGCCACCTATATATAAAAAGTGTTGCATTCTCGTTTCTTAATAATATGACAACGGTGTCCGTTTTCCCACTAGGCTATTTCAAATACATTGAAATACTAATGCCCCAATATTTCGTTTTCACGTACTTACGTTAGTACCTATTGATTTTATTTATTACATATGAGAGAAAATGATTGTTCTTTTTTTTTTTTTTTTGAAACCAAGAGAAGAGGATGATTGGAACAACACTAAAGTCTGTATATTAATGCAAGCTGCATGGTTATTTATTATAATAATGGGGAAATGTTACACATTGTTTGTGCCACGTACCCTCCACGCCCCAGATGGTTCCCACACCTCTTTAGACCCCTCTGCGTCTTCCCTGCGGTCCGTAACCTGCACACCACGGCGCCCAGCGAACCCCTTGGTTGGGGTCGTTAGCACTCCGACGCCCAAGTTAGAACGAACTTTCTAGTGAGAGAAGTGAGATGTAAGTTTAGAGAGAAGTTGGAACCTGAGTAAATGAGCTCCACCCACTTCACTATTTATACTCGGGGTAGGGCCGACCAGTGCCCCCCAAATCCGCCCCACGTCATCACCTCATTAAATGCACTGTACCCTCCTTTCCTCAGGCGCCCTGCCATCTGACAACCATCTTGGCCCCGAAGGCGCATGGCCCCACCTCCTGTCCCCTCCGTACGTCCCTGGCCGTTACTTCTCTTTTGTCGTCCAGCGCCCTGTTTCGGGCCCGGTTCCGCCACTTGGGCCATGGCCTTTAGCCCTTTTCTCGGCCCAGGCCCACACTCCGGGCCCAAGCCTGCTTCCTAGTTCCTTGCTTGGGCCACTCACTATATGTCCCCCAACACACATGTATGGACATATAGGATGTGCCCACATTGACTGTTAGAGCTAATACCACACCAAACTTAGCTAGACTTGGGGTATCTAATCTAATCTAATCTTCAATCATGACGACATGACAATGATACATGTTTTGGCGTTTTTATTTCGTATTCGTACCTAATATTTTCCACAAAATTGGTAAAAAAAAGAAAAGATTTAACGTGTATGAGTTTTTCGATTTTCCAATTCGATTATTAGACCCTTATTGATTGATCGACATCGAGATCTAGATTAATTGCAGACTAATTAAACAGCTATTAAACTATTTTGTTCAGTCACAAATATTACTGAACTAATAGACACTTTTCACATTGGATATTTGCGGACATGATACTTTTGTGTCTTGTGATACTAATGAGTGGATAAAAGATCTGAAAGGTAATGATCAAGAAAAGTTAGTAGGTAGGATAATTTAATTTTATTAATAACTCGAGACAAATCTTCAAGTTGATAATTAATCTAGAACCGGTCGACATGGTAAGAAAAGCAGCAATACTGTACTGATTTTGAGGAGCCGCCGGCGTCCCTACCAACCAGCGAAATTGCTGTAAAGACTGCCGGGAAATCGGTACGGAGACCCGCCAACCCAAAACTTAACATTAACGTAGACGGTTGAGAGAAAAACACGCCATCTACCCTTACAGCTGTGGGCACTATTGTTTCTCTATCTGTTTTTTTTTTTTATCCTAGAAAAAAGAAGTTCAAAAGAAAGTTTTCCATTTAAACAGGAGATCCATGGACGGAATGTGCAGAAAAGATGGAGCTCTTAGCTAGACTTTTCGTGCATGAATCGTTCCTGACATGGGCAATGATGAATTCAATCGAACGCCAATAATTGCACCGGACAGTTAGGATAATCCACGTCGAAGTTGTAGTCCTTCAATTACAACAACAACAAAAAATTTTTTTGTCTAAAAGTTAAAGATAAAAAAAACATGAAATGTGGCTCTTTAACTAGTTAGAAAAATATAGAGAGAAAGAGAAATACAAACTAAAGATGATTGATCTCCAGCTGGAATGGTCCAGTTGATTCACGTATCATTTTTCATCTGTTGTGTTTGTAAGAAAAAAAATCGAAATTTTCGTTTTGGATGGGGATTGTTGTTCTATAACGAATTAATACTGTAGTAAAAAATCAACAATAAACAAGATATAATATGTTCATAAATCATAATGAAGTACTCTTTGTACGTCCCTACAATTATATTGAAATTATAGATACAATAGTAGGAAGGCCTAGCTAGTTATCTAACTCATAATAAAGTCACCCACAGGCCACAACTACTTAACATTAATAATTATAATCTTTCGAATCGATAGAATGCGATCGATTTGGTGTGTTGAAAGTCACATAAGGTTACGAAAAGATGGGCCTAATTCTTTTACAGTATTTAATTTGAACGAAAACAATTTTGGGGATACATCAAGGCAACACTATTACAACAGATTAACGTAACTACAATAGGGAGAATTAGTGTTTTTTTTTTTTTTCATTTTTCATTTCAGTACTGGAATAAATTGACTAGAAGGAGAAATGAAATCAACAAAAATCGTGAAAATATACATGTTTAACTCTTTTCATGTAAGGTGCTTGTTTGGGAATTCACCAAAAATTATTGTGTAGCCATGTTTTACACTAGGTAGAACTATTTTATAATATTTTATACTCCCCGCGGATTTCAAATGGATCAAGTCACGACTTGGAGCATCAAGCATGCATTTGGAGTTTAGAAGAGCACACTCATAATTCGCAGTTAAGAAAAATATAAAAATTTGCATCATTATTTCACATCGGTTGATCCACACAAATAATAAAATTTATAAATAGATTTTTTGATAAATAATTAGTCTTGGTTAAACCGAGGCATTTTTTGTGTCGGTTACTCAGACGGTTGCCCAAAAGCGACACGATTCCGGTTACTCGGACCATTTCAAACTCATTACCAAACGTGTGCATTTTGAGTTCAAGTTTGGAGGTCTCTCATTTGGTATGTGATCCAATTTTTGAGAGAGAAAATAGAGCTCAAGCAATTTCTAGAGAGAGAGAGTGTGTGTGATTGTGAGAAGAAAATGGGAGGAATAAGCACCCAAGAGGCCCCAAATTCATCCAAGAATCAAGAAGAATATAAAAATCTTGAAGAATTACATGACTTGAACCTCGAAGATGTATTATTATTTTATATGAACGCTAGAATTGTGGATAGGGTTCACATTTTTGTGAGCTAATATGTTCTATCACTTCTAGTCTTGGAGATTAGTATCTCATTTGTGCATGTTCGCTTCTAACCTTGGACAAATCTCCAAAATTACATAGAAGTCTCCTATATATATAGGATGAAGCTGTTGATTTGATTGCATGAAAGTTAATCACATAACCTCTTTGGATTAGGGTAATACCTCACATATAGTAGAGGGACTGAAAACTTTTATTAAAAATATTTTCTAAACAAATTAGATGGAGATTGTGGCGAGAATTCTACCTTTCTATCATTATCGTTCGATTGTTTGTGTTAGCTGCGTATTCTGATCAAAAGCACCCCCTGGTGCTTTATTACATTATAAATGTTACGATGTAATTTTATATAACTATCTGCCTGTCCATATGTAGCAACACATCAATGAGAAGGAAAATAGAAAAAATATAGTAATGCTAAATATTGGAAATTCCAGTAGAGTAGTAGCAAACTTATGAAATAAGAAGTGATTAAAAAAAAGTATTCTTCGAGGAAAAGTTCGAGTTTTTGGTTGAAGAAACATGTGTTGCTTATATAAGGATTAGAATTATTAGACGAGAGTTGAAAGTTCGGTTGAGAATTTAAATTTAACACACTATGTTAATCAAATCAATACATTGACGTCGTAGAACGAATCAAAAATATGTTTTTGAATAATGAGCTAAAAACATAGAAGAAGCTTACGAGAGACTAAATAATTTAAACATAAAGATAGCTAGATCAATATAAATGACAAACGAAATTCTTCCCACCAACAGTCCAGGGACAAAGCTATTGCAAACAAACAAGTTGATTCATAATTAATAATTTTAACTTACAAGACAAAATGCAAAGTCATATGACTCATAGAAAATGCTAGAAAAGTGGAGCCTCTGAGGGAAGCTAATCTGTAAAGGAATATGTGGAACAAGACACAAAAATAGTATTTCCACAAAATATGGGGAATAACATTTTTTTTCTTGTTTATTGTTCAGGGGTCATGGAACATCCTATGTGGAGGTGGTGAGGTCTTTAGGTGCGCGATTTAATGTTGTGGTATTTCAAAATGATATTAATAAATGTCACATATTGGACTCGTCAGACTACATGTTGACAGCCATGAATTAAATATGTGTTGGTGGAGTGTTTAGGTGAGCAATTTAATAAAATTAGTTTATAAAATATTATTTGATAAATTTTTTATATATAATTTATTATCACTACAAAATAAACCACTTACAGCATGATTTTGTTTTTTTTTTTTTTTTTTTTGCATTTAGCGACGAAAATAATCTTTGTTAACTAACCCCCAACGATTTCTATGATCCCAGCATAACCGCCGCAAGGACGACGGCCACAAAGTATGGCAGCAGTCGGCCACAAAGTATGGCAACAATCGGTCGAAGTTAACATCCAAGGCGATGCTTTCTTGGCCACCTTCATCGCCTACTCCTTGGCTTTCATGGCGGCTTGCCTCCGGTCGCTGCTTTTGTTCAAAGTGGGTAGGAGGATCACCTTTATCTGCTCATCTTTGATCATGATGATGACCACGGTAAGTAGTCATGTTTATCTAGCCCTAGTACTTATTAGCCTACTTATTAATGTACTACCAATAAATTCTCACAAATAACTGAATAATACTTGTTGTTTTTGTTGTCAATACACGCAGGCGGTGGCATGGGTCATTTTCCAAATGCAGATAAGAGGATACACATACTTTCAGAAGTACCAGGTGTATGCAATCGGCGTCCTATCCGGTACGTACATCATTTGCCAAACACTGATATTCGGACCAGCTGGACCTCTAAGAATTTCGTTTCCAAAGAGCACAGACCAAGTTGGAACAATGCTGGGGATCTTAGTGTCTGTTGGAAATGAATGTATATGAATAGCTTTGAAAGCTATAGAGTCTCTAGTGGAAAAAACTACCACATTGGTAGTTTTACTTGGTGAAATGTGTATAAAGATAGGAGCCTCTCTCCCAAGGGCATGCCCCTTGGGGTGACCCACTTTTGTGGGAGAGGGAGGACCTAATGGACCACCACACACACGCGCGCGCCGTCCGTCCGGTCGGTCGGTCGGTTGGTTGGTCAGCTCCCCAGCCCCTCTAAACACATCACAACGAGCAGAAACACAATAGAGAGAGTGTTTAGAGAGCTTCGGTTTTCGCACAAAATCGCGAGTATTGAGAGGAGCTGTTTTATCCTGGAGACGACCGGTTGATAGTCTGCCGTGCGCATCGAAGGCAGTGCCGCGAACGTCTTAAAGAAAGCGACCTAGTCCGCGACTCAGCTCCAGATTCGATAACCTCGTTCCTTTTGTTGTTCCGTTCCTAACAGTGTCATTATCTTTTTACTCTGTTGCGTCGTTATACTTCATTCGCCTGCTCTGTTCCCTCAAGCAAAATGTGTTCGTAGTTTATTTTTGGGGAAACTGGCTTGCACTATTTTTCATTTGGTGTTTCGTGCCCGAGACACTGAAGGCGAAACAACGCAGCGTGGTTAGTATGGTATGGGGTAAGCATTGGTTCTGGGAGAATTATGTGAGTGGTGAGGGTAAAGTTTATGTTTGAACATTTATTTGTAGAGGACGTGTACTGTACTGGGAGTGGGATGTTATTTATTTATGTTTGAATGTTTAAATGTATCCAACTTTAACTTCCATTTGGCTTATTTCCATTTCTGCTCAATGTTTTGGAGACTACTTCTTCTGGACATTGCGTATGGTGTCTTGGAGAGGATAGTCGCTTTTGTGGGCATGCAAAGGACAAATGTTGAGCAATTAGTTTTTCTTTCTTGTGGGATGACTACGCAAATTTTCAGTTTAATAGCTAGGTATTAACACAAGATGCCAATTTCTTGCTTCGAGAAGAGGATACAAACCAACTAGTTAATTTTGAGCTCATCACACTGGAGTTATACTCGACTTACACGATGGTGCTTTCTACCTACACTAAAGAAAAACTCTCAGTTTGGCTCAACTTGACCTACCCATTTATAACGAATTTATATAACAGTGATTCGCTATTCCCTACATTTTTTTTCATGCCGAATGGATGATTTGTGGGTGGATGTGGTTGACTTGTGGGTCAATCCGCAAAGCAATAACTAGTTCTTGGAGAAGTTGACTTATATTTATAATACATCCCTTGCAAATGAGAAAGACATTAGCAATTTAGATAATTTCATTTTGTCTCCTGTGGATCTCTCTAGTTCTTGTGACAAGTAAATTTTTTTATTACTCATACCAACTTTTTAGTTGACCACTTTAGATGCAGTATTCATTGACAAAGAAAACAAATTCACTAATTACATATTCATAGAGACCAAAGTTTTTTTTTTGTGTGAATTTCAATTCATTTTGAAGATGTATCAAATCTTTTATTACTCTATCAACCAATTGTGAATAGAAATTGACGCTTATTATAAATTTGATACAATTAATAGTTTATAATTTGCATCCCTATATCAAATGGATATTTACATAATATAGTAACCAATAACAATAATTCAAAAATATTCTTTATTATTTTCCATTAGAAGTGCATGGTCAGTGTGTGGACAATAACAGTTTATTATTTTGCACATATCAAATACAGAATCGAGTAAAATATATAATGTGTAAGGAGTGGCGATAACTAAAAAGTAATCTTACTTTGATAAAAAAAAAAAATCTAAGCACAAGTCTTACTAAAGACAAAGTGACAATAAATAGTTCATTATCACTTTCTGTAAGAAGCCAAAAATCAATGGACAAAAACAAAAATCTAGACCTAAAAACAAACATCAAATGGGGGAAATATTTAAAGGAAAATAATTGTCCTCACTCCATTAACCAATACTACATGATTTTTTGGTTCTAATTATATATTAATATCTCATTCTGAAAAATTAGTTTCTATATAGTATGTTGACTAGTTAATGTTAGTTACCGCAAATTTACTATATTCATAATATTTTATATGTTGATATGAACTTGCTCTTTCAATGTTCATCTGACGTATTGTACCAATCAATTAAAAAAAATTCATATGGGCAGCCACTCACCTTTATTCTCCCAATCACTTTAACATTTTCAAAAATATGCAAAATTGTAAGAGTACCAAGTATATGTGATGGACAACTTTTTTGGTACGTACATCATTTGCAAAACGACGGTGTTTGGACAAAAGAAACACGAAAATAATGTGATAAGACGTAAGTATGTGTTTTTTTTTATCTCTTTCTTTATCTGCTTACACACCTTCATTTCTTTAACTATTTCTATCTATTCTTGTTTCCCTTGTCAGACTAATTTATTTATGTCTATTCAATTTAAGGCATTCTTGTTTTCATTCAATATTCATGTGATTCTGATTATTTTTATTATAACAGAGAGCATTGGCTATAATCATGTTATATAACCATGTTATAAAAAAAAACTTGTATAACTATGTTCTATGAACAAGTTGATAATTTTTATGCATTCTTACTTTTAATGTGTGACAATAAACAAATATATGTGTCTTGATAAAAAATTTAACAAAAGATTATATTTAGGAAGTAACTTTATTAAACTATTTATCCAATTAATTGTGTCTACCTTTGTAAAATTTTGTATGACTATGTGGTTTTCGTTTAATTTTCACATGATGGCGATTTTTGGAGGCATGACCATTGGATATGTTCAAACAGTAATAGGTATCTATGTTGTTATCTTATGATGAAATCTTATTAGTTTTGGAAAAAAAAGTTTGGAATGCATTATTTATAATTGTTGCTAGTTTCATTCATGTCCTAACCATTTTTATTGTGTTTTCATGTCAATTGGAGTCTAGAACATGAATAATTTTCTTTGAAAATTGGATCATTCAACTTATATACGTAAGATGTATGCTAATATCAACATTTAATATGCATATGAGGGCACGTGGATACTCCATGTGGCTTTATTGTTGACCATAGTTGCCTTACACACATTGGAACAACACCAAATGGGGAAACAAAAACAACATTTTGGTTGCAAATCTTTTTCTCTTCCTAGGTGTAGTGTTCATCCAACACTCTCCTCCTAATATGTGGTTCCAAGTTACCAGCAACACTCAGCCATCTACATAGCTGAGAATCCCAAAACAAACCAAACACATAGAAATTGACTGTAAAGGGAAATGACATATGCAGATCATCTGTAAGCATACAAGGAGAGGCAATCTACAGACTAGGACAAGCAATCTGCATAGCCCATGTGAAACATTCACATGTCAGGATCACATGTCATGATCTACTGTGACAATATTGCTCTCTATGACTTTAAAGTTGTGAGCAAAGCAACTCCAAAGACTTTCCAAATTCCTTGATGGCAAGCTACAAAATCAAGCTAATTCACAAACCATGCAAGATGAATAAGGCATAGCTCAATTGTCGAATGAGAAAGTGGTGGAGCAAGGTTCATACTAAGTATCCATTGTCTCAGAACCCAATCTCAATCTTCATATAGATTTCATATTGCATAGCACAACATTACCCACCCCCAAAAGTCTACCACCCAAAACAGCAAAGGAAGCAAGCAACTCCAATGCCTGTTAGTTGTCACCTATTATGACACTACACGGACCAATTGGGGTGGGATTATGGTAACGGTTCTTGACCGAATGGATTTTGTGATACAAACTCCTGAATATTGGGCGCCTCAATTATCCTCTCCAGATATCCACGAATGTCACCTTGCGGACCTGTCATTGTTGCAACCACGTAATCACACGTTAGCAATAAACCCCACCAACTGATGTATGGCCACAATGAAATCCAGATAACCACCAACAATGAACTTAACAACAGTAACTACCAAAAGAAAGAAAAGGATTCTCTGAATGCAGGGTAAATTGGATTTCTACATCAGGTTAGTCGATATTATGCTACCCGCAAAAAACATATATATATATGGGGAGTTCTACGGTACCCAGGATGAAATCCGGGGTATCGCATACCTTGAGTAAGAAAACGCTATTCAGAACTTGAATTGACTGATCTTTCGGACATGAAACTATACTCTAACCCTTAAAGATCAAAATCAAGGTCTTAATTCTCTAAATCTTATATTCCAAGATCAATTTAATTAGAAACAATAATCGACGGCTATGATTCGTCCAAATATAGGCAAAAAAATTAATGCACCATCTTAGGGTTTATAGTTTATGATTTAGATAATTAGCACCTAGGGTTCACTCAATAAGGCTTAGGGTATAGTATCATGCACAAAAATCCAGCTAATTCGAGGTCTAGATAGCGTTTTCATACTCAAGTTATGCGGTACCCCGGATTTCACCCGGGGTACCGTAGAAGTCACCATATATATGAAAAAGAAAGCATTATAGCATACACAATTCTTCTATATGTTCGAATTTTCCTTAATAAAAAGTGGTAATTTATAACATATTCTAGTTAATTATTTTGTGTAGGCAACACTAAGTCTGCTATCGGAATTGACACCTATAAACTTACGCACAAACTTACGCATCGATTCACCATGGGCTCACTACGTATTCTTTGTGTTTTTTAATAAGATGATATAAATTTTATATTTTTGTGATTAGATACTACTTAAAGTATTCGAACATGTGACTCACCTCCGTAATCTTTGTTTAGAGGACAAAGATACGAGTCTGGTAGTGTAAAACACTATAAAGTCAACTTTTTATCACAAAATCTTTACATGTATATAATGAACAACATATATACTACTTAAATAACCCGAATATTGGGTTTAACAATGTTAGTAAAATACGATATGAGTATATTATAAAATATGTACGGTATTTTATTTCGGTTTAAACTAATGATACGACTAATAGTACGTCGGAAAATTACAAAAATATTAAATTAATTATTCTATAATAAGTAAAGGTAGACATAATAGTTAAATTATCAATTTTATTCATTAAATATGAATATTAAATGTGTTATACGGATTTATACGTGTTTAGTACAAGAGCCATCAAATGGATGAGAAAAATGTGGGTTAGATCCGGTCTTTAATGCTCATTCCTTAAGAAGAATCTTAAAGTCTTTCTATTGGATGATAGTGGATTAGGACATTAGGTAGTTAATAGGGGGTTAGTAGTTAATAGGTAGAGGATGGATTTGTTCTTTTTCTTCATCCATTTACCAACATTCAAACACTCAATCTCTTTCTTGAAGTAACTCGACGTAACGGTCTGGTTGTCTCTAAACCAAAAGTTAGTCTTTTTCAAACTAAGATACCTTTTTTGGGTCACTACATTAATCAAGGAACTATTGTTCCAATCGAAATATCTCTTCAATTTGAAGAGAAATTTCCTAATCAAATTTTAGACAAAAATCAATTACAAAGGTTCCTTGGTAGTTTACATAATATATTAAATTAATTATTCTATAATAAGTAAAGGTATAAATAATAGTTAAATTATCAATTTAATTCATTAAATACGAATATTAAATGTGTTATACGGGTTTTATACGTGTTTAGTACAAAAGCCATCAAATGGATGAGAAAAATGCGGGTTAGATCTAGTCCTTAAGCTTTATTCCTTAAGAAGAATCTTAAAGTCATTCTAATGGATGATAGTGGATTAGGTAGTTAATAGGGGGTTTATAGTTAATAGGTAGTGGATGAATGTGTTCTTTTTCTTTATCCATTAACCAACATTCAAACATCTCAATCTATTTCTTGAAGTCACTCGACGTAACGGTCTGACTGTCTCTAAACCAAAACTTAGTCTTTTTCAAATTAAGATATGTTTTTTTGGGTCACTACATTAATCAAGGAACTATTGTTCCAATCACAAGATCTTTTCAATTTTAAGATAAATTTTCTGATCAAATTTTAGCTAAAATTCAATTACAACGGTTCCTTGGTAGTTTGAATTATATCCTTGACTTTTATCCCAACATAAATATTCTTTGTAAACCTCTCCATAATAGATTAAAGAAGAGTCCCCCTCCTTGGAGTGACCAGCATACTAAAATAGTTCAGCAAATTAAGAGGCAGATTCAGAGTCTCCAATGCCTTCACATAAGTGATCCTTCTCCCTCTAAATTTGTTGAAATCGATACCTCTTACCTAGGATATGGAGGAATCCTTAAGCAGATCCAAAATGATAAGGAGTTGTTAGTATGCTTTACTTCTAAACATAGGAAGCCTATCAAAATAAATTACTCCACAGTAAAAAAAAATATTGCTTGCTATTGTTTTATGCATCTCAAAATTTCAGCATGATTTGTTCAATCAAAAGTTTTTACTACGCATTGATTGCGAATCATCAAAATACATTTTGGAAAAAATGTTCAAAATTTTGCTTCTAAACAAATATTAATTATTAAGTAAATTAATTTTTTGGATTGCATAATTTTTTTTTTGAAAATAATATCCCATGTAAAATTTCTAGATCAACCATAGCTTACAATATTGTATTTATATATACTCAAATGAGATCACCACAAATTAAAGAAACCAAACAAATTGCGCATGTGAATTGAATTTAACAATTTTATTAGGTCCCACATTGCCCAATAAATTTTCATACAAACATAACCCGGGCAACAGATCGAAGATCGAGTAATTAACAATGTAAGCTAGTTACTAAGACTAGGAATTTGATCTTATTTATGTACCAGAATGACCAATTGAGAGAATTCAAAGGTCAAACTAAGCATCTTTGCCCAAAAGGAAGAAAAATCTCGTAGTAATAATAAGGGTAAATACAATTTAATATCAAAACCTTTTATTTTAAACAATATAATAGTCAAATTTTTTCGAAAACAATCTAATATCCAAATCGTCAACTTTCTGTCTGTTTGACCGTTAGTTGACACTTCAAAAAAGTTCGAAGTACGACACTTCATCAATATCCATCGATATCTTCTTTGAAAAACCACCAACATATCGTAGTTCCAAACCCGAGAAGTCTATGACTCCACCATGATGGTATAGAATATCTAAATATTCAGTCATCTGCAATGCCAAAACAAGAAACAAAGTTGTATTGTGACAATTTCCCCTAAACAAAGCTTTTTTGAAGTGTCAACTAACGGTCAAACGAACGGAAAGTTGACGATTTGGATATTAGATTGTTTCCGAAAAGGTTTGGCTATTATATTGTTTAAAATGAAAGGTTTGGATGTTAAATTGTATTTACCCTAATAATAATAGTGTAAAACGTGGAGTCAGCTAAACCAAAAGGAAAAAATAAAATAAAAAACTCTAAGAGCATACACATTAATGCAATTGCAAAATACAATTGGATTTGTACTTTTTATTGTCAACTCAATTTTTTTTTTCAATCCACCTCAAATCACTTTCATTCACCTACATTAATGCAACTGCATATATCATTAAACATTATGTTTAAATTATAGAAAATAAAGTAAAAGAGGAAATAAAATAAAATAAATCTCGATTTTTTAGACCTTCATATGCAATTGCATTTGTTGCAGGCTGCAAACATGCAATTAGCAATTGATTTTACAATTGTAAACATCCATGTCGTTTCATCTTAAATATTGAGAATGCAATATAAACGTGAATTGCTCTGATAAAATTACCCAGCTACTAGCCTGCTATTATATCGAAAGCTGATGCGGCCATCTCTGTGGAGAAGTTTCCTCCCAGCTTGGCGTCTCCTCCTCTGTGAACCGAAGTTAAAAGCACTCACTCGCTATGTATACTTTTTGAGCATATGACTAAATGGTCATTGGCTTTATATTTGCGTTGCACCAACGAATGATCCCCATCCATCCAACTGTTGTTTAAGTGAACCTAGCAAGAAAAATGGAGTCCGCGGTTATGGCTAGAGGCTTGAAAATTAAGTCAAGGTTGCTAGCGTTACAAATAGCTCAATGAAGAGAAGTCATGGCCGGCCAACTGGATAACAAGAGTGGAGTCAAGTGTCAACTGTCCACAATTCGTATACGCTGAAATAAGAAGTTGACATATTCAAGGGTCGGGGGCAAATGACAAACCCATCCAGCGTCGATGCCACCAAACCATCACAGCACCACCAGCACTACCCTTTGGCACACCTCAAGGATAGATAAGTAACCTTCAGCACTACAGACAGAAAGACCAGACAAAGTATCCCATCCACCCCCAGAATTATCCATTCTAGACTAAAGTTTCTGTTCCCTATTTTCAGTGAAGACAAAACTTGGCTAATGTGTTTATGTTTTCAAATTTAGTCGAAGGCATCAGATACTCAAGTTTTTTTTTCCTATTTTGAATGCAGACAAAAATATGGCAGATGTATATGTGCGGTGAGCACAAAGTTTGTTAATATGTTTGTTAATTTCTGGAATCAATCTTACCCCGCAGCGGAGCGCGGGCCGAGTACTAGTTATCCATTAAAATGATAAAAACAATTATGCATTGTTGAGTAACTATATAGTTAGTGGGAAAAAATATACATGAAAGGATATCAATGATTGTGAAACCTTACTGGAAGTTATATGGAAAAATTACTTTGAAAAATATTTTGTAGTAAAACGCCCCGGTTGGTTTAATGCATAAAGGTTGGGGCGCCCTTTAAGCGCCCTATATTCTACCAAAAAAAATTAATATAGAGTTTGAGCCGAGGTCCATGGAAGTAAAGAAAGCCCAACACAAGATATTGAGAGCCCACAAACAAAACAGTAAACGAGAGCCAATTTACGAACCCTAGCCCACAGCAAACGACAAACCCATCCAGCGTCGATGCCACCAAACCATCACAGCACCACCAGCTACAAGAAACAAATTCGTATGATCACATTCCCCAATCGCACATAACAACAACAACAATAATAATTTGTCTAATAATAGATAATAGTAGCAATAATAATAGATTGAAAACAACAACTAAATCACAACAAATTCAAGGGTCGGGGGAGCTTTAGACTTGAATTCCAAAGCCAGCTTCTCGGCTGTGCAGGCTTGTTCCTCGCTGCAAACTCTACTTTTTCTAGTGCCAAAAGTCACTCCATCGTAAAAGAAAGGAGCTTCCAATCCCCGATCAATCACTAGTCTCTCTAACCCCACAAAGTACTCCATCACATACTCAACAAAATCACTCTCCATTTCAAAGCCACTAAACCCAACAATCTCAACCACTTTGATGCTCGGTCGATGCCTTTTCACGATGCCTACGTCCCTTGGTCCCCCGTTGTATGGATTCTCACTATAGTGCGTATGCAACTGAGAGATTAAGTCATAATCAGAAACCCATGAAAGGAAGAGTAGGCAAGTAGCTAGGAACGATACCAAATACTAATTGGCCAGGATAACTCACAAACACTTGCACTGTGTGCAAACGAGGACATGCGTTTATCAAAGGAGTCAGCCGAAGGAGACTTCCATAGCTTCCTCCATTAACTTGGATAATTAGCCGCTCAAGATGTGTGTGTTCAGCCATATCCAAAGGCAGTAAACCGCTTTCCTATAAGAAACAAGCAAATACAACATATTTGTAAAGCAACCAACAATCAATAAACACAAAGAGTAGTTCTTGTATGAATAGTATAGTTTGTACTTACCCAAAAGATCTTCAAAAACATGGACTTCAACTGACTAGCGTTGCCATAAAGGGCTTTGAACGTGGAATCATACCGTGCACTATATAACCCCAAGGTCAAATCCACGAGACAAGGACAGTTTTTCACTTGCAAATCTTCCTTCACCGCGAAACAATTATCAAAAATCAAGCGGACCAGGCGAGGGGCATGATTGATCTCCAGGGACTTGAGAGAGTTGCAGTATCTCAGCTCCAAGTGCTTCAATCGGAGTGGTGATTGTGATGAGCCCACAACCCTAAGCATTTTCAGGGAGTTTGACATTCTCACAACCAATTCTTCAAGTAAGGGGCAATTGTGGACGAAATGTTCAAGAACCTCCCCTCGAATGTCGACACAATTCAAACGCAATGATGTGAGGAACTTGATATCCCTCAGACCAGCTGGAGCCTTAATGTGATTGTAACATTCTTCCGAGAATGCATAATCATAATCGAGGCGATACTGATAATCCGGCGGCACTTGCAAGTCCAGGTGAAGAGACTCGACTCTTCTCGAAATGGAAAACTCCAACCACCTATCGATATCCCTCTCGCAGTTGCATTGATTAGTCAAGCTAAATACAACTCTCAGCTTTTTTAGTTTCGGGGCATTGTGCAGCTGGCTCACCACTACATTCACCCAATTCTTGAACCACTGCCTCTTTTCTTCCACAAACGGCTCGTTCCTGTGCAGCAGCCTATCATACATATCTACCAACACCTTGGAGCCATCGAAATCTAGCTCCAAATCGGCCCATCTCCACAAATTTCTCCACCTGCTGGAGAGGACTGAAGTAGAAACAGCTTCTTTGAGGGTCAAGAAGGACAGAACGCTGACAAGAACTTCATCAGGTAACTTACTAGTCCAATCCAGTTCTTCTTCCTAACCACATCAAACATACAAACAACCACCAAACCAATCCAATAAGTTCAACTTTTGCCAGTCAAGTTTCGAGCTTTTAAATCTTGCTCTTTATCCAAACCCTAAAAGAAGAAAAAGAAAAAGAACTCAATTTGGAGTTAGAAACTCACTCTCCCAGGTTCTGTCAAGCCAGTAGATTCGGACTCCGCCATAGTTTCTAGGGTTCTTCTGAACCTTTCCTGCAACTGAAAAGGAAGATAAATTTTACCTTCGGATTCAGTTCTGCTTGGCTTCTCCTTTCCCTCTACTCTCCCTTTCCAATCAGCACTACCCTTCAATTTTCGATGATGCACTGCCTGTTGGGAAGTACGAGAACCTACTGCGGTTAAAGCCCTTCTTCAAACTCGTGGCGATGGCCGATGAATGACCGAATTGTCGCCGAGATCTCTGTGAATGCAACACTGTCTCTACAATTGAATTTAGGGCTTTGGATTTGCAGAAAAGAGAAGGGGAATGGAAGGAGACGGAGGCAGACGGTGACGAAGACTCAGAGTGGAAGAGACGCTATTGTCATCTTTCCTCTTTAGTGGGCTGGGCTTTAGAGCAAAACACAAACAGAGCTATAATAAATTAAACGATCAAATTTTATTCATTTGTGGCAGCCCAAATAGAATTGAGCCCAGCTGAAACAAACACAATCTGGTGGACTGGAACCAAATACAGAGTGTGGGTTTGCTATTAATGTGTATATGTGTAGGCTTTAATTAATTATTGTTAGAAACAAGTCCAATTTTTTCAATAACAGGAAGAAATTTTATGAATGAATCATAATAGAGAAGACATATTTCTGGAAACAGAAACATTATTTCTTTCAATATTATAAAAAAACTTACGAGAGAATCGTTCTCTTTACAAATTGGGCTTAATTGCAAGTTTGGTCACTCGAATTGCTATAAAATTTCACGTTTGCCACTCAAATTAATTTATTCCATTTATAGTCACTCGAATTAGTTGAACAGTTCAAGTTCGGTCACTCTCCGTTAACCTCCATTAACTTTGTCTGACGTGGCGGTCAACTCTGACAGTTGACCGTTAAATGTATGACGTGGCAAACAAAAAATAATTAAAAATTAAATTTTTAAAAATTACACATCATTATCACAAAAAAATTACAATTATAAAAAATGAAAAAAAGATTACAGTTAAGGGAAAGAGAATGGCTTCACTTCCTACTGAACTTCCCGCGCTTCCCATGATTCTTCTGCATCTCGGAACCAACTCTCTTCTTTATCCTCCTTGCCAAAGAGCGAGATTTGGCCTCGTGCTGCTTGCCCGCGAGGTGTTCGATCATTTGCTTATGAGAAGTAGCACTCACCTGGCAAACCACGCACCTGAAATCTTCCTTGGGTTTCTCCCCCTCATCGTCCTCCGATTTCTCATGCTTCCCGCCTCCGAGATCGGACAGCTTCTCCGCTTTGTTAGGTTCCGCGACAGAGGCAGAAGGAGGCATGACCTCAGGCGTCGGCGGCACCGGAGGAGTAATAATGAAACGGCGCTCTGGCGGCTGTTCCGGAAATATCAGGCGCCCCGACTCCGCCGTCGAAATCGCCGGCTCCGGATCTTTCTCCCCGATCATCTGCCGACGCAACTCTGCCCTCATAACCTCCTTACGCCGCTCGATCTCTTCCGCGATTATCTCCTGCGACACCCGCGCCTTCTCAAGCTCCCGATGGAGCGTCTCGTCCGTCATCAGTTGGAGGCTCGACTGAACACCTGATCATTCCCGGCCCAAAAAAAAAACAGAGGTACTCGTAAGAAACTGAATCGAAGAGTGCAGGCGAAAGAAGAGAACCGACCGAGAAATACCGAACCTCGAAACGGCGGATGAGGCACGGCGGCGGAGGGTGAAGGCCGGTGGTGGGAGGACTCAATCGGCGGCGATATGCGGTCGCCGGCTCTGCACCTGAACTCCATGGAAAAATTATAATTATAAAATTTTTTATAATTATAATTTTTTGTGATAATGATGTGTAATTTCTAAAAATTTATTTTTTATTTTTAATTATTTTTTATTTGCCACGTCACACATTTAACGGTCAACTATCAGAGTTGACTGCCACGTCAGTCAAAGTTAACGGAGGTTAACGGAGAATGACCGAACTTGAACTGTTCAACTAATTCGAGTGACTATAAATGGAATAAATTAATTTGAGTGGCAAACGTGAAATTTTATAGCAATTCGAGTGACCAAACGTGAAATTAAGCCTTACAAATTGTTTACTCAACTGGACTCAATTCTTTAGTCCACGTGTATATTTCTATCAATGATAAGTTTTTTAGCTTCTATATAAAAGTTCTTTGTAAATTACATTACTATTAATACGTCACGGTCTAAAAATTAAATTCTCAAAGAATCTACGCTTTCGTGCTCTCGATCTCACTTTGAGGACTTGTTAGCTCTTACTACGTTGTTGGTTCGGGAAAATTCAAAAGTCACCAAATCTGCCTTTTCTTTTTCCCCTTTATTTTTATAGATACCAAGGTTGTCATACCGGCTTATACCATTACGCCGGTTTAACAAGTGGTATGGTCCAAAAGCGATACAACCAATTTATATGACAGTTAAAAAAAAGCATACGATGAAATGGGAAACCATTAACGTCAAATGAATTATGCATTTATATATCTATTTTAAGTCATTTTATTAATCTATATATTCATTAGTCTTTAGATGTACGTTAAAGCATTATTTCTCAATTGTGTTCTTAAGTTTAAGTCACTCGTTATATCGGATTTCCATTCAAGCTCATTTTTCACGTTGAATCTCTACTTGAAACATGCGTCACATGAGCATAATTCGTCATTAATTAGATCGTGTTTAAGAAAGCAAACACAAGTAACAAGCTAAGTACTTCATGTTATTGTCGAGATCTTTCCCTTTCTACTCACAGGATGGATATGGTAAGTTTGAGAACTCTACGCTTGGACAAATATACTTGTTGTTTGCATGTGTTGTATACCATTGCAGGAAGGTATCGTCAATCAAGATGATCTCAGAGGATCGTTGAAGATCTGAACGATGTTATAACTTATAAGCAGGTGCACAATGCAAGGAGCTGGATACAGACCCCGAGAGCAAAAAACCACGAGCAACAAGACCAATACCTTGTGATTAATTAGTAAAATGGATTGGATTTAAATGGATTGGATTAGGTGGATATTTTTAATGGATTGATGGATTGGATTGGTGGATTGGATTGAAATTGCCACCTCTAGATGGTGGTGAATCATCAATGAAAGGACAAGTGGTGGATGGAAGGGGATAGAAGTGAATAAGTGATCATCACCAAACTGTTCGGGGGGTTTCTTGATTGATAGTTTTGAAACGGAAATGAGATTCATAAAAAATGACATCTTTAGAAATGAAAATGTCACAGGTCATAATTTTTTTTTTTTTTTTTTTTTGCCTGACACATAACCAAGAAACACACTCTTTCTAGCTCTAGGTTGGAACTAGGTTCTGTGATTTCCAATGTGCTAACAAAGCAAAGACAACAAAATACTGGTGGTGTGTTATGAACCATTTCACGAGGATTTTGTTGTCTGAGACTGATGAAGGGACCCTATTGATAAGGAAAACTGCATGTTCAAAGTGACCCCAAAAGCCAACTGGCAGGTAAGCTTGTTAGAAACAAAGTTTCTAACGGGTTTCTAGATTAGATCTAGAGATTGAGAATTTAGGGTTTATAGTACAAAATTGGGAATTTATGGATTTGAGAAGAGAATTTGGGGAAGAACATAAGAGAATCGGCCTAAACCTTTAGAGGGATTGAGGTCAAGAATTGAGAGGATGGGGAGAGGGATTAAGGAGATAATTTTTTTATTAATTTCTACTTAATATGACGAATGACCCAAAGTACATATATATAGGGAAATACTAGAAAACCCTAAGAATAAACCTAATTCTACTAGAAGACTACTAACCATAATAAGAAATACCCTAATATAATAATTATAACCATAAATATAGAAACCCTAAAGAAATCGGTTTCTAACAAAGCTTGATCTGGCAACAACAAGTATATATTGATGTTTTTCTTTTTACTTTGATGTTTTGTTGCGGAGTTTCAACACAAGATATTTCATGAATTATCCCTTGTGAATCATAATACTGATCGAATTGGTACTCTTTTCCTTGGTCACTCCTGATTCTTTTGATTTGGAAGTTAAATTGTCTTTGCATTTTGTTGCAGAAGGCAATCAACTTAGGTCAATCTTCAGACTTAAGTTCTAATAAAAAAATCCATGACATACGTGAGAAATCATTCACTGTGGTCAAGAAGCATTTGAAACCATCATAAGTTGGAACTAGGTTTGGACCCCAAATGTCAACTTGTAGGAGTTCAAAAGGAAAGTGAGTTACTTTCTGACTTGAAAGAAAAGTTAGTCTTCTCTCCTTTGCAAAGTGACAGATATCACATGGTTGATTTTCTGAGTTTAATGGAGTTACAAAATCGATTGAGGTATGGAACTTTGGAATGGGACATGTGTCCTAATTTAAGATGCCAAAGATCAAAAGTTGAAGAACTGGTTGCTGTGATGAGTTGAGGTATACTATATGCTTCTAGATAGTAAAGACCATTGGAGAATCGAGCAGAACCAATCATTCTCTTCTCCTCTAGATCCTGTATGACACATAGGTTAGAAAAAAAGGTAAATATAACGAGTTTTTTGGTGGCTAACTTGCTGACAGATACAAGATTGAAGGTGAAGTTAGGAACATTGAAGACATCTTCAAGTATCAAAGATTCATTGCATACTACTGAACCTATATAGGTTGCTTGGATCTGTTCACCAATTGGCAATATTATGAATACATTGCTAATCACGCTAATGACAGTATTTTTTGTAGTGGAACTAGAGTCATGAGAAAATGATGGAGATGATAGGATCGATGACTCTCCTTGCAGCTTGTGAAATTTGAGGAAAAGAAAAACAAATTCATTGATAGACTAAAGAATGATAAGAAAAATAAGTAATTGAAAGAAAATGATAAAAATGGGTTTATTAAAAAGTGGCAATACATAATAGGAAAGATTGAGCTAAACTAAAGAGTCATTTGAAAATGACTCAATAGAGTTATTTGGAACTTTCATATAAGCCAAATGACTCATGCATTTTTTTTTCCCCAGTAGTAAAGTCATTTGGTACCAAATGACTCAATTAAGTCATTTGATGTATCAAATAACTCATCCAAATGACTGAAGCAAACAATCTCTAAATCTTTTAATGATCTAAAATAGATTTTTTTGGTGATTTAGTGTTCTTTAAAAATTTATGAATCATGTTTGATATTGTTTATGAGAATGCTCATTACCCGAAATTACTCAAGACCCGATCCAATATCCGATGAGTTGGGTCAATATTTGATCCAAAATCAGTCAACCCGTGATGACCTGACCCATGATAACCCGTAACCCAAGATTCTCAATCTAAAATTACCCAACCCGACCCTGTTGGCAGGTTTAATATATATGTAAGAAACCGAAAAATACAAGAAAATAAGAAAGATAGCATATTCCTTTGAACTAGTCTTGTTCGAGCATATCGAACAAGTAAACCATGTAAATCATGTTCGATTTTGATTACTCACGTAACGATTATCAAATACATCTTCAATTAAAATAAATCAACTTGTACAGTGACGAGGCCGATGGTTATAAAACACAAATGAGTGAATGACACCATATATAAAATATAATCACTGAGTTAGTCGACTAAGTTGGTGAAAAAGTGTACTGAATTATCTGCCAAACGAATTATTCTCGTATGGAGCTTAACCCAAGTGCCCTTAGACACAATGAGATTAGGGACTTATTCTTTAAAGGGTTAACATCATATTAATCAATCACGAATTATTCTCATATGGAGCTTAACCCAAGTTCCCTTAGACACAATGAGATTAGGGACTTATTCTTTAAGGGGTTAACATCATATTAATTAATCTAATAATTATTAAATAAAAAATAACTCCAAGGTAAGAATTAATTAGAAAATAATTTAGTTTTAATTTTATCTAACCTTAATATAAATAGCGGGTAATTGATCAAAATGGTCCCGAAGATTTGAGCCAGTAACAAATAGGTCACCAACATTTAAAACATAACAAAAAGGTCATATATGTATCATGATATAAAAATAATTTAGTTTTAATTTTATCTAACCTTAATATAAATAGCGGGTAATTGATCAAAATGGTCCCGAAGATTTGAGCCAGTAACAAATAGGTCACCAACATTTAAAACATAACAAAAAGGTCATATATGTATCATGATATAAAAATAGTCATTCCATCTTTTTTTTACCATATTTTTGCATACAAAATAACCAATTAGCTTGCTGACACATTGCAAAATCAATAACAAATTATCAAACACCTAACCCAATGCGTAAAATTACCTCGTTACATAGCAAACTAACTGACTATTTTGGTAGAAAATATAGTTGTAAAGACATGAAATAGCTGGTTTTGTTCTATCTTGATAGTTATGTGACTTTATTTTTGTTACATTTTAAACGTTTGTGGCCATTTTATTACTAGCCCAAACCTATGTAAACATTTTGATCAATTACCTATACATTCTCTCCCACATCTCTCCTATGAAACCCTACCATTTCTATCCGAATCTTCCCTCTTTGCCTACTCATCTTCCAAGCCGGTTGCCAAGGTTCCAAGCCATCTCTAGGCCCTCCGCAACACCCTTCAGCTCGGCCTTAGTAATCGAGCAACTCCCAAGATTGGAAGTAAACGCCCCCAAGCATCTACCAAGGTGGTTTCGAAGAAGACCTCCTGTAGCGGCTTATCCTGATGGCTGGATTACAGATCCATCTGTTTGGACCTGGATCCAACCTTCACGTGGGGGTTTCCATGCAATCTCTCGGTTTGTTTTGTTGTTCTTCATTGGCAGCAGACACTTCTGAACGCTGGTAGTAGCTTGCTTGTTGATGTTGATCCAAGCATTAATCTTGGAGATCAGACCAGCTTCAGAAAATGTTTTTCCATCCATCACCTCTTCACATCTTTGTTTCCAAAGTTTCCAGCAGACAATCCCAAAATCAACCCCTCTGCCCTGGTCCATCAGGTTTCTGTTAAGCTAATTCTAGAAGTCCACTCTTCTGTCTTTTTCCACCAGTTTGTCTTGAAAGTGTCTCCAAATGTCATAGGCCTTTGAACAACCTCTTAGTATGTGTTCAGTGGTTTCTTCTGCTGTGCTGCAGTGGTTGCACATCTTGTTCCCCGTCAATTTCCTTTTCTCTCTTTCTTTGTTTGTCAACAGCTTCTCATGGCTGGCTAGCCACAAGAAATGTTTGATTCTACTTGGCCCCTTCCACTTCCAGAGATCCCTCCAAAGCTGCACAGGGGAGCTCTCCAGATCACCAGCCACCAGTGAGTATGTTGACTTGAGTCTGAACCTTCCATCCTTCTCGATCCCCCAAACAGTTCTGTCCTCACCACTTCCAGCTCTTGGCGCATCAATGCCTGCAATAAGATTAACCAAACTGTCAGGGAGAAGGGATCTAATTCTTTCCCAATCCCACTCACATGTTTCATCAACCCACCTGGCCACTGATGCGTTTTGTTCTTCATCAGTCAGCACCCTGGAAGCAAAATCCTAAAGAACCAGTCCATTAGAAACCCAAGGTTGGGTCCAAAATCCAATAGTCTCCCCATCCCTAGGACTCCAGAGGGTAGCATGCTTCATGCATGGCATTGGTTTGCAATACCCTTTCACAAGCTGGAGTGATTACTCTTCTTCATCTTGTGGATCTTGTCATCTTTATGGTGGAAGTACTTCCCCTGCAAGACTTTAACCCACAACTCCTTCTCATTATTAAGCAAATTCCAGGCTTGTTTTACCATGTAAGCTAGGTTCATGTTTCTAGCAGACCTAAGACCCAGGCCCCCCCTGATTCTTTGGTTTACATTCAGTGTCCCAAGAAATCAGATGCACTTTCTTTTTCCCCTCATACGAACCCCAAACAAAACCCATTATCTTTTGGTCAATGGCATCACAAATTGAGAGGGGCAGGAAGGATGTCTGCATGGCATATGATGGAATAGCATTAAGCACACTCGTGGCAAGGGAAACCCTTCCTGCTAAGGATACACTTATACAAGTAATGTTAGATACACTTATACATGAGTATCGAGCACTCCCGGGCCCCGGCCGATGAGCCGGGTCCTAATCTAGTATAATAAATGTATATTTTGTATGAATAACTAATTTATATTTACAGGTGGCCTTGTGCGAAATATGTGGGCCTTCGATCTATGTATAACCCATTATTCATTATAAAAAAAGTAGACCCCATTATTGGCCTGGTGTTGTCCTCTCGACATATAGCCCGTTATTGCAGGCTTCAGCAAACACACACGGAAGCCGATAAAAGGAGAAGCTCCCTGTTGAAGCGTTTAAAAAGGCACGAATAGGCGTAAGGCAATGACAAAACGCTTCGTCTAGGAGTTCGTGCCAAGTTAGATTTGGAACACGTCAATAGAGTAAGACGACATTTAAGTCTTTGCTAAACATAACCACATGAGCTAGGAAGTCAATATTAAAGGAGGAAATTAACACCAACTACAAAATCAATTTTCTATATAAATATTTTCAATAGCTCAAGAACTTTATGAGCTATTGAGCTAGGATTCTACGCATTCGTG